TACATTAATTTGTCCATCCTTATTTCAGAATTTGCGGATTTACTTTAGTTCATTTCTATGATGTTCTTATATTTTGGTATTCATGTATCGATTTGTGTGTATCAATGAATGATTTAACTACTTTCTAATTAATCTTCTTTTCTTTTGGGCTCTCGCGAGAGATCGCGCATGGCCTTATTTTCGCCCAAGAAGATGAGTTGGAGATGGTATTATAATATATCCAATTGAGCTAATTAACAGTTATGTCAAAGTGTAAACTCTTGTAGCTAATTAACTTAAATTAGCCATTATTTTCCAAGGTATTGTGTTTTGTGTTAATTGGCTCAATATTTATTTATATTAATTTTATATTAATAATTTTACATGTACGACTCTCACGGCCATATCTATACTCTACATGAACATAAATTCAAATTATTGACAATAATTTCATTTATGGCAATGTGAGAGTCGGTTAAGGTTTAGGTATGAACAAGCCCTAAGAAGACCATTCCCCGGTTATCCCAGGTAAATGTTTCTGGTAAGTTACACTGAACGAAACATCAAGCTTCAGATCTCGAGAGTACGAGATGAGACTTCAGACGAGATATCGATAGGATTGTAGTTGGAGGGTTTTCTCCCTAGGTGCGTACAAAATCCATTAACATCAATGTAAGTTATACATTTCGATTCTTTTCCCTCACCTCCTTCCCCAGCTTACACCACCAGTTGGAGATTTATTTTCGCCCAAGAAGATGAGTTGGAGATGGTATTATAATATATCCAATTGAGCTAATTAACAGTTATGTCAAAGTGTAAACTCTTGTAGCTAATTAACTTAAATTAGCCATTATTTTCCAAGGTATTGTGTTTTGTGTTAATTGGCTCAATATTTATTTATATTAATTTTATATTAATAATTTTACATGTACGACTCTCACGGCCATATCTATACTCTACATGAACATAAATATAAATATGATTTGCCAGAAAATTTTATAATTTATAAATTCATATTTTGAATGTGCATTATTTGTAGAAGCATAATTTGTTTGTTATTTGCACTCATTCCTAATAATACATACAAACATTCATCATAGTATATCCACATATTTATGATAGTTCATACACATATTCATGGAAAGTATGTACACATATTCATGGAAAGTATGTACACATATTCATGGAAAGTATGTACACATATTCATGGAAAGTATGTACACATATTCATGGATAGTACATACACATATTCATGGATAGTATTTACACATATTCATGATAGTATGTACTCATATTCATGATAGTATGTACTCATATTCATGGATAGTACATACACATATTCATGGATAGTATTTACACATATTCATGATAGTATGTACTCATATTCATGATAGTATGTACTCATATTCATGATAGTATGTACTCATATTCATGGATAGTACATACACATATTCATGGATAGTATTTACACATATTCATGATAGTATGTACTCATATTCATGATAGTATGTACTCATATTCATGGATAGTACATACACATATTCATGGATAGTATTTACACATATTCATGATAGTATGTACTCATATTCATGATAGTATGTACTCATATTCATGATAGTATGTACTCATATTCATGGATAGTACATACACATATTCATGGATAGTTTTTACACATATTCATGATAGTATGTACTCATATTCATGATAGTATGTACTCATATTCATGATAGTACAAACACATATTCATGGATAGTACATACACATATTCATGGATAGTATTTACACATATTCATGATAGTATGTACTCATATTCATGATAGTATGTACTCATATTCATGATAGTACAAACACATATTCATGGATAGTACATACACATATTTATGGATAGTATGTACACATATTCATGATAGTATGTACTCATATTTGTGATAGTACTTACACATATTCATTATAGTGCATACACATATTCATGGATAGTATGTACACATATTCATGATAGTATGTACCCATATTTGTGATAGTACTTACACATATTCATTATAGTTCATACACATACTCATTATAGAGCAGACAGATATTCATGATATAATGTAGACATATTCATGATAGTACAATATGTACATACACATATTCTGTAAATCGCACAAGGTGTAACATCATGAACAATAATTTGACTATGTTGCCCATTGGTCATATTTATTGAAGATTTATTGTTTTCAATGATTTCTTAAAGTTCCAAAATCCTGTGAGAGTAGCTTGCTGTGAAACAGTCAGGCATACAAAGCAACTTTCTCATCAAAATTTTACAGAAAATTATTTTTTAGACATGATTTTTGAACTGATACTAAAATCATGACCTTTAGAACTTCATGCCTTTATTACCTGATTATATTGTGTTGAATGTGTTTTGCAATTTTGCATGTGATATATTATATATACATACATGACATACATATAGACTATATTATATAAATGTTTATTATACAAACAAATGTTTATATTGAGCCAAACAAATGCATGGAGTTGCATGTGAATGTAATGTATTGTTTAATAATTGTATGAATTGTTATTGTGTATAAAAATGTACAGATGTACAAAACATGAACAATTTAGCTTCAGGGAAAGACATTTATAGCATCAATTTTCAAGAAATGTCAGCTTACATATTTTGAGCTGTTGTCAAATATGAGTGTATAGTTTTACCAGATTTTCTCAAAATAGGTCACTCCATTTATATGACCTGTTGGTCATTTACTGAAACTGTTTTCAAAATAATGCCCAAATATGGCTTTTTATTTGAGGGAAATATTAGATTTTGTTCAAAGAGATAAGTTCTCAAACATCTGAACCTATTAATCAGTGATTTATTTGCCATATATTAGTGCATTTAAATGAAATTATTCAAATCCAAATATAATTGACCTAATTATAAGGAAAAGATAAATTGACATAACTTTCATTTAAATGGCATAACCTTCATTTAAATGGCATAACCTTATTATTATGAGAAAATCTGTTAATATGTAGGCTAATTAGATATTTCAAGTGCTTTAGATTTATAATGTCTTATTTAATGGCCAAGTATTTGCATATGTAGGATCTAGATGTTTATTATTTATTACAATTACTGTTAATCACTGGAATAAAGTCCGCTATCTCTAAGAAACCAAAGCCTTTTGTTGTATTCTTATGATGAGTACTGTAGATTGGGTTAATTTGGCGCTACTTTATTGGCGATTTTGCCATTTTTGGCATATTGGCGGCTATTTAATTCGGCACACACCAGGGCTTGTACATTGCTCTCCCATAACTTCCATATACGCTGGAACAAAATACAAATTGTTACACCCATTCCTACAATTCAACTACTACATCTAGTAATTTATTATTGAAACGATTCTACTGAGCCAATTTAGAGGTGGTGTGTTCTTATTATCACTCTTAACCTTTTCAGATTTGTTAAAACTGACTTTAATACACCCTGAGACAAAATTCCCGGGGATCCTTTTTAAATTTTGGCGAAGATTGTAAAGATGGTGAAGATGTAAATTGGCGTTTTTTCTATTTCGCCAAATTAAAGCAGGCACCAAATTAACCCAATCTACAGTAACCTTTTGAAAAAATGGTTTTGAAAGTTCAACTGTTAGGTAAAGTGAATACAGGAGACAATTCCATGATTATTTATTTGTGCTTGATTTAGTTTATATTAACTGCATTTATCTATATTATAGATTAGAATTGCATTATCTATTTTAATAGATCATATTATGAATAAATAATATGATAAAACACCATATTTGGAAATGGTACATTGATTTGCTGATTCACTTACTACAGTCAATACTATAAATCAGCCAATTTTCTGGCACCTGGTTCAACACTCACTGGGCACTGGGTACATCAAAAAGAATAAAAAAAGTTTCAAACCTACCTCAGTATTGAAGCACTAACATTTACAATATTTACATTTTTGGTTCTGATGTATGAAAGGCCCTATGCAAAGTTTAAAAATCAGTTTTTATCGTTCATTTACTATTTTTCATGATTTTAGAGATTTTTGAAAAATGTTATAAGCTGTTTATTTCTCAAATATTCAAATTTCCCGCCTTTTCTATGTTAATCTTTTCTAAATATGCCAAACTTTCAAATAAACCAATGTTGATTATAGCTATCTAAGTCGAAAAGAAGAATATATTGGGTTTTAAATATCTAATATTTTAAATGTATTTTTCTCTGAACCACTTTCATACTGATCAACTAATTTTCTTATTTTTGATTAAAGCATGTGAGGATGAATGCTATGCATTGGTCCTTCAAAAATCACATTTTGAAATTAGAAAGATTCATGTATCACATTTTGATTATGAGTAAGGACATAAGCCAAAGTGGTTTAAACTTTATGTAGGGCCTTTAAGAAAATTATTGGGTGGGGGAGTAGCATACATTTTGGGTGTATTCAAATTCAAGTCTATTTTTATTTGGAGAATAGTATACATATTTGGTATTACTGGGTAGGTTGTCAAATCTGACAAATCACAATTTTCTGCCTAATGCTTAGCACATGTTCTGCAATATGCTGTGATGCATTTAATCCTAAAGATTGAATCCTTAGAATGTTTCTTCTAAATTGAAAGCCCATGGTTAAAGATACCTTCTTTCACTGATTAAAAATATTTTCAACCTTTACATAGGGCCTTGAAATTCATGTTGTATTAAAAAACTCTTAATTAGTTTTCAAAATGAAGGCATACATGTTTGTCTCTATTCAAAAATATGAATTCTGATGTCAACCATGGCCTTTCTCTTGGAACCGCACGTATGAACCTAATGGTTCAGCCCTACCATGACATGATTATTTATCATGACATGGCATGATGCCTATTCATTCTTTCATAAAAGTACATTGGTCTGTATCTTTAATTGGTAACTAGACCACTCAGCTGAACTCAACTATTGGCCAAACAAATTGCAGTTGCTATGTCGTTTCTAACAACAGATCGCACGTGATCAACGTGGTTTCCCTGGCGATACTGCAAATGGCAGCAATTTTTCAAAATGAGGTTGCAATTAATATTTATCCTTCTAATGTTTGGGAATTCTAGCGGATTGAACCTTAAAGATGTAATTAAAGGTGACCCAATAAAATGGGTGGAAGCTATTACACGTCCAGCTTACAGCGTATTGGAAGTTCCATGGGGTAAGAAAGTCTGATTAGATCGTTTAGATAGCTGAAGTTCTTGCTCATTTTTATTCTCATTTTTTTATATTTTGAAAGATTTTTTCCATCGCATTTGATAAGCAGATAACAATTGATGTTTTCAAGTATCACATTTCTCAGCTCACTCCTGGTCCCCCTGCATCATAGACGGTGAACACCGCCTCTAATGCGTTGGATTGTCGTATGGACTTGCAACACGATCCTCAGAGACCCAGAGGGTGCATGAATGCACCTACCTGCATCACAGACACTGGGACCTGAGACTTATCCCGTTCCAGGACTATAGTCCTGTACGGAGCCAATACATTTGCCTGTACGATTACAACTTGGGAGAATTATCTACGCCCCTTCCACTTAAGAAACCTACCTCAATGCATTCTAGAACTCAAAATGTAACTTCTAATATATTGGAGCCGCCGATTGTCTGGGTTAGTTGGCAGAACGAGGTCTTTTTGTTTCTTATGGCTCTTTTGGTCGAAGTTCGATTAAGATGGCGGTTATAACGGAATTTCCCGAACTCTTCCGTAATAGCACGAACTTGGATTTTCGTTACGTCACTTCCGTGTAAAATGGATTTGTTTCGGGTAAGAGGGAATTTCGAAAATTTTCGACAATATTTTCAATATTTACTGCCATGTCGACATCCTATGCTCTTAACTGTATACCGAATGGTTAAACAATGTTTCTTACCGGAAACAAATCCATTTTACATGGAAGTGAAGTAACGAAAAACCAAGTTCGTGCTATTACGGAAGAGTTCGGGAAATTCCGTTATAACCGCCATCTTAATCGAACTTCGACCAAAAGAGCCATAAGAAACAAAAAGACCTCGTTCTGCCAACTAACCCAGACAATCGGCGGTTCCAATATATTAGAAGTTACATTTTGAGTTCTAGAATGCATTGAGGTAGGTTTCTTAAGTGGAAGGGGCGTAGATAATTCTCCCAAGTTGTAATCGTACAGGCAAATGTATGGGCTCCGTACAGGACTATAGTCCGGGAACAGGATAACCTGAGACCATCAGACAGTAGATCTGGTGGAAAAGAAAATCACCCCCCCCCCACACACACACACACTGACACTCTCTAAAGACAGCTCACATGGGGCCGTGAATTCGTACGATCCCCAATACAATCTGGATAAATTTTATCTTTTGGGATATGAGAAGAGAAGGTAGATAGACTAATGATTTGGGCTTGCCCCAAATCATAACTGCATATAGACTGTGGGTGAATTCGTACGATCCGAGGATTATGAGGGGGAATCCCCAAGATTTATCCAATTTGCATTGGAATTCGGATAAAATTTATTTGGATTGAGATTTATCCTGAGATTAATCCCAGGATCCTACGAATTCACCGATTTTTGGATTAATTCTTGGATTAATCCCACAATGCATCATTACCGTGACGAAATTTATCCGGATTGGATCGCGGATCGTACGAATTCACCACCCCCTGGTCCCCCTTCATTACAGACACTGGGACAGACAGTAGAACTGGTGGAAAAGAAAATCACCCCCCCCCCCCCCACACACACACAACACACAAACACACTGACACTCTCTAAAGTAGATCTTTAGTCTCTGTGACCATGGGCTCTATCCTTAGTAAAAGCGCATGGATTTTTTCCATCCAAAGCACATGCAAAGACCATGCAATCTGAAAAAAATCCATGCAATGCCATGCAAAAGAGGAAGTTGTACAGAAAACCCATGCACTTATCCATGTAATTCACATGCATTGACATCTAGTAGGCCTAATGCTAACATTATAATCATCCCCCCCGTAGGATAGATATGTAGCCTAGGAGGCCTACAATGGATGTCTAACCCCAGTATTCTCTCAGAACTCGACATGTACACTGTAAGCCTTTGTCATCTATTTTATCTTAAAGCGATTAAATATAGATATAGACTAAAACTCAATTTATTTTTAGGCCTGGTTCGAGACATCTTCCAGGCAGTAATGACTGATGGCTATGAATCTGTAATGCCTCTCTTGATGGAAAACATCACTCCAGTTAGTAACCCTATAATCAATTATAATTTTTGCGGGGTACATTTGTACTATATTTCGGGCTTCTGGCTTGTGAGTTTTGGAAAATTTGAGAAATAATTATATTTTGAGACATTGCCAAAACTCACAAAAAATGCAAAAAGCAGCAAAATTCGAAAATTTAGTGAGAAAATTAAATGACAATCTGTCACCAAATTTTCTTGTTTTTTTATACATTTTACAAAACAAATCTCACCAGTCTTTTCTAGGTTCAGTTAGTGCACTCTGTGCAAAACTGAAAGGTATAGACAATGTGGGGAAGGACAGGAGTGATTCCTAATTTGAAAAAATAACTTGTGACTCAATTGAGGATTGCAGCAAAATTCTAAATATGCAGACTTACCTTAAGCCAAAATCTTTGGGTGAAGGAAAAGCATGGCTGCCATTGGAATGGAAAGCGTGGTATTGCATGACAAATCCACTAGAAACTCTAAAAAACATAGACAAAGGAATTTTAACTTAAAAAAAGAAGCAGGACACATTTTAAGGAGAATGCTCATGCACATATCCATGAATATTGTGAAATTTGAAATACTGAAAATTAGCATAACATAATAACAGCGAAATTTCAAAATCACAAAAACACGAAATATAATAGCGTCAAATAATAGTTGGGAGTACAACTGTACAGTTGTAGTATTAAATTTAATTTAAATGTTATTTATTTATTAATGGTAGTTCAGTAGTTGCATGAAATAAAGAAAGAACAGTGGTATTACATAAAACATTGCACATTCTTCCTTTGCAGTTGCTCAAGTTTGAGGCCCCTATTCTAGCTGGAGTTGGATTTGGTCTCCTATTGGGCATCTTCCTACCAATCATCATGTTCTTTGTGGCCTGCTGTAGGTGTTGTGGCAATTGTGGTGGTAAGATCTCCATGCAAAAAGCAGAAAAGCAAGGCTCCACTGGGGTGAAAGTCTATTGGATCTTGTTAGCATTGTGTATGCTTTTCTTGGTGTAAGTATACAGGTTTGTTGGCAAGACAAGTAACCCATTTGTACCATCATCTAACTACATAAAGATGATTAAGGTAGTTGTTTACCATGCAATAATTATGCTTCATAATTAAACAAAAATGGTGTCACCAACTTCGTTTTTTACTTGAAGCAAGAAAACATTTTGATCCCCTTTGTTAGGTAATAGGAGAGTAGGGGATTAACATAGAGTATTTCCTCTAAATCTGAATGGCAGGATTTTTTAATTTTTGCACACTGAGAAGTTAAAGGATTAAATTTAATTTTCAGAAGATAAAAATCATAGATCACCGAGTTCATTTTTTATTATCACTCTTCGAAAAAGATACAATTTCTGTATGTATTTGTCTATGTGCTACTATTTATATATCAAAGTGCAACAAAAATACATTAAAAATGCCATTACTGGGTATAAGTTATTAAAACCACCAATATTATGTACTATTACTAAAAAACTCATTTTTCAAAAGTCTGATATCACAAAATGTATATATGTCCTGAAGCTGAACACTCATCAAATCATTGCTCCTATGGTATATAGCATGGAGCCACATATTGCCATAAACAACTACCTTAATTGGAAGCTACATGTGTGTATTTGATTTGGCAAACTACCTTAACATGGGTAGCTGGGTCATGCTGACCTATATACATTTATCAAATCAATAGTAGTCTTTACTCGTTAAATTTTGGGCATTAATCGTTATAAAAGCCTCAACAGTCAGTTTGAAAAAACTTACATTTATTTGATTAACAATCAAACCTAAATGTAACTTTCTCTATAGTTCATTATTTGATTGACAGTTCTATTTTGTACTTTCCATATTTGGGAGTGAAATTGATGTCTTATGTTACAACTCCTAGGTCAAGCTGATCTGGTCCCTCTCTAAGACAATTTTAAAACAGAATTTTGACCAAAGTGTCTTGATTTTATCCTTGTTTTTCTCAGTAAAAACATATTTACAGAGAAATTTACCTTTGAAAACATTCTTTTCTATTGCATATCTGTTTATTTGGAAAGCTTTATTAAAATCATTAAAAATTTAAAAGAAAATTTTTGTAGGGTTTTCTAGTCTTGTTTTGTCAAAGAATTTCTGTGGAAAGAACAAGTTTATTATTTTGACAAGTTCAGGGTTTCATCTCGATTTTTTGTCATGGAGAAAAACTCATGTTGAGTATATGACTAAGTAAAGTAGTACAATATAGAGTGTTGTCAAAAGTTGAAAATTTGTTTTTTCATGGGTGTTTGCATTTGTGGCATTGCACTAACACTGAGATTGTTCAAATATGCACACACAAATTCTTCATTGTATATATTCTTATGATTTCTAGCCTTGCTGGGTGTCTGACATGGTTTGCTAGTGAACAGCTAGGTGCAAGTCCTAATTACATTGGAGAAGCTATCAAGGCCACTGTTGATGAAATAGATCAATACAAGGACCAGTTCATTCTGGTAAGACACTATACAGAAAAACCAGCCTAAATACCCTCATTGGCTCTTTGTTCATATTAACTGTTGGATGTTATATTTATTCTTCATCTTTTCTGATGACCCTGGATATAAACATAAGTTTTCATTATTTGATGAACATAAAGGAGTCACTTGCCAAAAGGGTCAGTACCTTCATTGATTTATTATCAAATACACATATTTGTGGAAAATTGTGGCTCAAAAGCGATCACAGTTGAATTATTTCCTCACATTATTTAATGCATTTACCACTGATTACACATAAGAAAATTGTTAGCAAAATTTAATTTTGATTTTGTAATCCAGCATTGAAATCAAAAGGTATCTTCAATCAAACTGAGGTTCTTCAGAGGATCGTAGAATCATGGGATTTGTCGGTCCTCCTTGCATTGTATAAATGAAGATTTGATTTATTTTGTGAATTTTCTACTTTCAGGATGTGTTTACATTAGTCAATGTGGATTTGAATTCAACAATAAATGACATCCTCAATGATTTAAATGGTATGAGTATTTTGGAATAAGCATCAAATAATGAATTTCTAATAACTGTCAGAGAAACAATATTTTTCACAGATGTACATAAAAACTAAGTCAGAACTAAAATGAAAATATCCATAATTGGAATGTTGCATTCAAGTTTACAATAATTTGATAAACAAAGCATTCAATTCATTCCATGTCTCTATACTAGTACATGTCTATATGATTATTACTTCCCAGGACGTCGTTAGCTGAGTCAGGCAAATTACTTTACTGAAAAATATTTGCTGATGAACAAATTATCATGTTCTTAAATATTAGAAATAACATCAACTATAAAGTAGTTTAATTTGATGAAAACGAAAATTATCGAAATCCACAATTACCATACGCCATCTTAGGTGCGAAGGGTGCCACTACCTTTGCTTGATACTTGATGCCAGTACTGGAGTTGCAATATTTTTATTTTTAGATGTTGGCACCCTTATAAGTACACCTCTGATGAATGATATCAACCCTCAGTGGGATGAAATATTGACCTCACTGAATGGAATCGACACAGGTTGGGTTCTTGTTTTAAATAGTTCATAGTGTTAATTTAGATTGATTTTGACCTAGTTATTTTATGATTGTGCTCTATTGTTTGATCATGTCTTCTTTTATGATCATGTCATGTTGTATGATCATGTCATATTGTATGATCATGTCATGTTGTATGATCATGTCATATTGTATGATCATGTCATATTGTATGATCATGTCATATTGTATGATCATGTCATATTGTATGATCATGTCATATTGTATGATCATGTCATATTGTATGATCATGTCATATTGTATGATCATGTCATATTGTATGATCATGTCATATTGTATGATCATGTCATATTGTATGATCATGTAATGATCATGTCATGTTGTATGATCATGACATTACAGTCATATTTTATGTTCATATCATATTGTGCCATGGGTTTCTAATCACATAGACATTGTGGGTACACTTTCAGTTATTACCACAATTGATGGCTTCAAGAACTCACTAACCACCACTGGGATCAGTCTAACCAACATTGCCTCTGTGGTAGCTGATGATATAACAATGCTGGCAGCCAACCTGACAAGTATTAAAGCAGCATGCACAGGAGAACCCTTTTGTGGATCATTGCCTGATGGAACCATACTTCCTGATCCATCCGTCTTCACTTCAGTAAGTTTCAACACCACAATATATTATAATTACATACAGCAGAACATGCTTTCTGAACACTACCAGGACCAGCCAAAAGTGTTCAGTTGATTCCCAAGATGCTGTTCTGTAGTTTCCACCTCCATTCTTACACTCTTCTTTATTACAGATGCCAGACATCAATGCTACAGTTGATGCAGCTGGAGTAGATGTGAACATCACTGAGATAACAGAAGCAGCCACTTTAGCAATTAACATGGTACCTGATATGATTAACACGTCTACATATGCACTTCTACAAGAATTTGTGCCAGTGATAGTAAATGCTTCAGCCATGATTGACCCTCATCTTGAAATGCTGAACATTACACTCAACTCGGTAAGGTTAATACTCGGGGTGGAAGGTGTGAGAATAGTGCAAAAAATGACTTTATGAGCTGGATGGAATTTCTGTGTATTTTTTATTCTATTTGGGTGTCTTGCATAAAGGATTTCGCCTGCGAAGTATATAACTCTTGCGAACGTATCTAAATACTGGTCCGAAGAAGACATACCTTGAATTTTTAAGAAAAAAATTGGCTAAAAATGGAAACTACAAAAAGTCAAAATGTTCAACTCAAACAAATTTCTAGCTATCTAATATTAACACTATGTATTATTTAATGTTTTTCAGATGTTTAAGGACCTTCATTAGTGTACTAGTGTCCAGAAATAAGATAATTAAGGACAAAATTTGGCATTTTTCATCATTTTCGTTTTAGGCAGTAACATATAGTTCCTTATATCTTGAGTTTTATGCTGATTGGTTATTGCATTTTTGATTAAATCTGTTCTTGTACATGTCTCCTTTCATTTAAGATACAAAAAATGTATATTGGACCACCAATGGTCATATTAGAGCTTTCAGATCTCCCCTACCCCATTTATTATGAAAGATTACCGAAAAATATGAAAAAGTAAAATAACTTGAATTTATCAACTTTAACAATGTTGTAGCTATTCTATATCAATATTATGTATTATTTAATGTTTTTCAGATATTTCAGAACCCTTATTGGTATACTAGTGCCTAGCAATGAGACATTTAAGGACAGAATTTGGCTTTTTTTTATCATTTTAGCTTTCAGCAGTAATATATAGTTCCTCATATTTTAAGTTTAAGACATACTGGTTGTTGCAATTATGATCAAATCTGTTCTTGTACATGTCTCCTTCCATTTAAGGTATAGAAAATGTACATTGGGCCACCGATGGTCATATTAGAGCTTTCAGATCTTCCCTATCCCATTTATCATGAAAAATTAAAGAAAATTATGAACATATAAAATTACTTGAAATTATAAACTTTAACAAAGCTGTTGCTATTCTATATCAATAATATGTGGTATTTAATGTTTTTAAGATATTTCAGAACCTTTTTTGGTAAACTAGTGCCTAGAAATGAGACATTTAAGGACAAAACGTGGCATTTTTTTTACTATTTTCGCTTTCAGCAATAACATATCTACAGGTCCTTATATCTTGAGTATTATGCTGACTGGTTGGTGCATCTTTAGTCAAATTTGTTCTTGTAGATGTCTTCTTTCATTTGAGATATAAAAAATGTATAGTGGATGACCCATGTTCATAGTAGAGCTTTCAAATCTCCCCTACCCCATTTATTAGGAAAAATAACTGGAAAATAAAAAAAAGGAAATAACTTGAAATTATGAACTTTTACAAAGCTGTAGCTATTCTATGTCAATATTATATATTATTTAATGTTTTCCTGGTGTTTCAGGACCTTAATTAGTATTCTAGTGCCTAGAAATGAGACATTTAAGGACAAACTTGGCAATTTTTTTCATTTTCTCTTTCATCAATAACGTATAGGTCCCTATATCTTGAGTTTTATGCTGACTGGTTGGTGCATTCTTGGTCAGATCTGTTCTTGTCCATTTAGGATATAAAAAATGTATATTGGACAACCAATGTTCATATTAGAGCTTCCATATCTCCCCTGTCCCATTTATAATGTAAATGAAAAAGTAATTTCAAATCATAAACTTTAACAAAGTTGTAGCTATTCTCTATCAATACTATGTATTATCACATGATTAGGAGTGTCTAAGCATTTTGATTGGTCAATTATGATGATGTATATTCGGTATCACACGACACATGACTGATTTTCATGTGATACGGTGGGCTGTATCACTACGGAGTCAATACCAACGATGTGACGTCACTGATTATATCACTTCTAGCTAAGGAAAACAATATGACGTCATACTAATACACAAACAAGTACGAATACACCGGTATGATGTCATATTGATTCAAAGCGAAATCAAAAATTATAATAGTTACCAGGAGTACAGGGTACTGAACACAATCATAACTGACCAAATCAAAATGCTTCAAAATTCCTAGACATGTGATAAAATCATCATCACACATTTCAGTTTATGTGATACAGGAAATATTCCACTCGGGTAACAATGTATCACCACTCAAGCTTCGCTTTCATGGATGATACAGTATTACCTTATGTGGAATATTTCCTGTATCACCTGCTGAAACATGTGATAACTGATATTATTTAATGTAACCTTCATTTGATTACATGTGTCTAAAGTTTACGGACAAAATTTGGCATTTTTAGCATTCTGCTTTTAGTAGTATCATATAATTTTCCACAATTATAATTCTTTGATGATAGATTGATTTATGTTTTTTATTGAATCTGTCTTCTTTGATTTAAGTTATAGAAAATGTATGTAAGACAACTAATATTTTTATTAGAGGTCTAAGATCTCCCCTCCACCATTTAAGAAAACCATCAAAAATAGAATAAAGAAATATGACCAATTTTTCACTTTCAGCAATAGTTGTTTATATTTTTAGTTGAATGCTGATTAGTTGATATATTTTAGATCATATACGAGGGTTGTCCCAGAAGTAATGCACTATATGCTCTAATTTTCTCTAATATTCTTCAATTCAGCTGAAATTTTGTGTATATAACAATTGAAGTTTTATCTATTATATCCTGTAGTTTCAGCATCAAACATTTATAGTAAGTCTTAATATGGTTGCTATAACAACATGGGGGTAGGGGCTGGTGGGGCAGGTACCAATTTTTCTAATTATGAAAAGATCTAAAGTGTTACTTTATTAATATTTCTTTCCTTTAAATGATCAAAATGTTTGGGAAATTGTTAAATTTATTCAGCATGATGTTAACCAAGTACAAATTATGACATTTAGCACTGCAATGTCATAATACCACATTTCAATAGTCACGAATTCAAATACATTCATAGTCAAGAAATTACAAAAATGGCTGCAATGTTGTTAACATGATTGTTCATAACTCTCAAACTTAATCCAGCAACAGCCTGATTTTTCAAATCTCCCTGGTTCTATGTTAGAGCTGCATTTACGTCATTTTAAATGTCTAAGTTGCCCATTACACCACAAGCTATATATTCAGATATGTAAGATCTCTAAATAATTTTATAGTTCTGAGAAACTCATCCTAAAATATTGTCCAACAATGTGCACTTTTATCGTATGATCTATAAAATGAAGCCCTCTGATTGGTCAGTTCTTGTGCTGTACCAATCTGTATTACTACTGAGGTTGTCCCCGTTGATCATCTCTGTCGCAATACAGAAAATATTGGTACGGAGGGGACAATCTCAGTAGCAATACAGAGGATCACACGATAAAAACGTTATTGAATGATTTGAAGTGCAATACAGGATATATTCCGTCTCGATATTCTGTATTGGCACTCGACTTCGTCTCGTTCCAATACAAAATTTCTCGAACAGAATATATCCTGTATTGCACTTCAAATCATTTAATAACTTATAGTTTTGTTCATTGCCACATGGACAGGTTACGAGGGTTTGTTTGTTTGTGAGTACTGGTACAAGACATCCATCTTTGATATACCTTCAAAAAGGTATTGCACTTTGAGATTCATAGTAATTTATAGTATGCTAACTTGAAGGACATAAGAAACTTTTAGAGCTCTTTTTAACTCTCATCCTTTTTTGCAAGCAACATTCTGTATCATCAGACTGAATACAAATTCGCTTAACATTGAATTCCTTTGTCTTGTCTGCGGCACTGTAGTAACCATGGGCCATAAGGAGAGTGTCAACTTTTTCATGATCAGTATTTAATAGATTGTCTATAAGTTGCAACTATCATAAGTGAAATTCAACCCATTTTAAAGATACAGTAACATTGCTTCACAAACCAAAGACAATTAACTTTCCATTTTGTAATCCTTTCCAAAATCATCTTCTTGGTTGTTCTTCATTTCACAATGTTTGCATTTACCAAAATATCCCCAAGCCCAATTTCCTTCATGAACTTCCTAATTACACCACCCTTAGGTGTAATATGGATTCACCAAGCCTTTGACAACATTGCAATTGATATGAAGCAATTCAACCAATATGGCTTGATCACTAGTTATATGACACTACTATTATATATTATATAGATTCATGTGCAGTTTGCAACGTATTGTTACCAGAAAAGCCCTATGGTCAAAGCTAGAGAATACCCGCCCCATTTGCAACTCGACTTTAAATGTCTATTTTTAGACTTGTTTACTCATGAAGTTCCTGAAACATCTGAAAAATATCAAATAATACATAGTATTGATCTAGAATAGCTACAACTTTGTTAAAGTTTATAATTTGAAACTGTTTTGTTTTATATATTTCAAAAGAACAGATTTGATCAAGAATCCACCAACCAACCAGCATAAAACTCAAGATATAAGGAACTATATGTAATTGCTTAAAGCGAAAATGATGGAAATGCCAAATGTTGTCCTCAAATGTCTAATTTCTAAACACTAGTATACCAATGAAGTTCAAGAAACATTAAATATAACATTCAATAACACATTTTATTATTTCCATGCCGTGATACTCGTTCTCTCATTGGTCAATTTGATACCATGTGACTAAAAATATATAGAGGTATTCCTTGTCTCCCTGCTTAGAAAACGTGTGAAGAGTGTATTCACTAAAAATTACGTCATTTTAATTGAATAAATAGTGATATTCACTAAAAATGACGTCACATCACTGAATTCCCGGGAATTTAGTAAAAAGTATTTTTATCCGATATGACAGACGATGACGTTGTATCACGAAGTCCTCCCAAGAAAAGGTTCAATACTGTATCACAAACGCGGGATAAAGATTTTACAAATGTATTCAAAATGTCAACTAATGAAAGCACGAAGACTATGGACTTTAACATGGAAGATCCGAATCTAATTGTTGTAGTTGATGAAAACACAGAATGAAATCCTGCGATTATATATTATATATATTTATATATTATGGTGTGACAGAGATCGTGATTTATGACAGAATATTGGCAAACGTTTGGAAATACGTTGAAACTAATGAGGAAATAATAAAACAAATATTGAATTCTGTGATCGTTTAATATCTGTATATATTTCTTAGGGATGTATTCACCTCGCCCTTCGGGCTGCGGTGAATACACCTTCAGAAATATATACAGATATTCAACTCCACAGAATTCAATATTTGTATAATATTGATATAGAATGCTACATTTTTATTAAAATTTATAATTTGAAGTTCTTTAATTTTTTCATATTTTCCGCTCATCTTTCCTAATAAATGGGGTCGGGGAGATCTGAGAGCTCTAATTTGAACATTAGTTGTCTACTATACATTTTCTATACCTTAAATGGAAAAAAACATGAACAGGAATATATTTAATCAAAAATGCCAGTTGGCATAAAACTCAAGATATAAGGAACTATATGTTATTGCTGAAAGTGGAAATGATGAAAAATGCCAAAGGACGATTCTCGGTTTGGAGAACAGTCTCCTGGGCTAATAATTTTTTTCATGAAAAATATAGAAATATTACCCAAATTAAACTATGAATATTCAAAAGAGGACATTTAAATCTACAAGATGTAAAAATAACAAATTGGTCTGAAGCAGGGATAACGCTCAATTAGACCGATTCAATAAAATACAAGTCTCGATTTGGGGAAAAAAGTTCATCAGTGTACTGCGCTAATATTTTTTTGCGAAAAATCTAGAAATATTACCCAAATTAAATTATGACTATTTAGAAGAAGACATTCAAATCTATTTTATGTAAAAAAATCAAATTTGTCCGAAGCAGGGATAATGCTCATTTATATTGATGAACTTCGTTCTCCAAACCGAGAATCGTCCTTTAGTTCTTAAATGTCTAATTTCTGGACACTAGGATATTAATGAAGGTCCTGACACATTAAATATAGCATTCAATAACACATAAAGAATGGTTACATCTTTGTTAAAGTTTATACTGGTAATTTGAAGTTATATTTTTATATTTTCCGGTCATCTTTCTTAATAAATTGGGTAGGGGAGATCTGAAAGCTCTGATATGAACAATGTTTGTCCACTAAACATTTTCTATACCTTAAATGGAAGAAGACATGTACAAGAACAGATTTATCGAAATTGCATCAACCAGTCAGCATAAAACTCAAGATATCGGGAACTATATGTTACTGCTGAAAGCGGCATTGATTAAAAAATGCCAAGTTTGTCCTTAAATGTCTCATTTCTAGCCACATGAATAGCAATAAAGGTTCTGAAAAAGCTTAAAAACATTAGATAACACATAATATTGATAAAGAACAGCTCGACTTTATTAAAGTTTATAATTTCATGTTATTTTATTTTTTCATATTTTTCGGTTATTTTTCATAATAATTGGGGAAGGGGAGATCTGAAAGCTCTAATATGAACATTGTTTGTCCACTATACATTTTCTATACCTTAAATGAAAGAAGACATCTACAAGAACAGATTTGATTGAAAATGCAACAACTATTCAGCATAAAACTCAAGATATGAGGAACTATATATTACTGCTGAAAGCCAAAATGATAAAAAAAAACAAGTTTTGTCCATAAATGTCTCATTTCTAGCCACTTGTATACTGATAAAGGTTCTGAAATATTTTAAAGACATTAAATAATACATAATATTGATATAGAATAGCTACAACTTTGTTAAAGTTTATAATTTCAAATTATTTTATTTTTTCATTTCTTCGGTAATTTTCCATAATAAATGGGGTAGGGAAGATCTGAAAGCTCTCATACGAACATTGTTTGTCCACTATACTTTTTCTATACCTTAAATGGAATAACACATGTACAAGCACAGATTTAATCAAAAATGCCACAACCAGTCAGCATTAAACTCAAGATATAAGGAACTATATGTTATTGCTGAAAGCGAAAATGATTAAAAAATGCCAAATTTTGTCCTTAAATGTCATATTTCTTGACACAAGTACACTAATGAAGGTCCTGAAACATCTGAAAAACATCACATAACACATAATATTGATATAGAATAGCTACAACTTTGTTTGAGTCAAACATTTTGACTTTTTGTAATTTCAATTTTTAGCCAATTTTTCTAAAAAATTCAAGGTGTGTCTTCTTCGGACCAGTATTGAGATATGTTCGCAAGAGTTATATACTTCGCAGGCGAAATCACTTATGCAGGACACCCTAATAGAATAAAAAATACACAGAAATTCCATCCAGCTCATAAAGTCATTTTTTCCTTAACGGAGCCTCTGAGAAAATTTTCCACCCCGAGCAGCATTTTTTGCAAATATTGGTTAACAAAATCTGAGAGCCTTAAACTTATTCCTCCTGTTTGGTAGATATTATTGAACATTATTTTCTATGATGAAACAAACCTGGCTTTCTTAAAAGAGACATAATTCATTGCAATATCCCAAAAGGCTGCTTATAGTCATCATGTAAAATAGCACACAAAATATTAATATGTAAGTATTGGATGTAAGGGAAGGGATGGAAATTAGGGACATGGAATGGAACAGTATATGGGCTTTCATTGTGGAACATTACTGGTATGCAACACACATGTAACTGAGAAGAACAACAATTATAATGTTAACATTTATAACTTATATATTTTACTCTTATAAGTACACATATACGGTAATAACTTGAAAAATACCCAATACTGATTTTTGATGTTCCAATTTTTGGACGAAAACAGCATGATTGCAATCTAATTGATTGAGAGTATTGTCACATTCCAAAATGGCTACCTTGTGTTCTGCTTTCTGATATGAAACAGCACCCATCCCTTTTGGATATGCTATCACTGATATAATACTGCACTTACATATGTAGCTGTTGACACCAGAGTCGAAAGATATGATGAAGGACATGATTGACACAACCCTTGCCCCGATAGATGACTATCAACCCTACAGAGTCTATGCTACATATGGTTTAATTGGACTACAAATTATACCTGTTTTATTCACCTTCTTTGGTTTGATATTCTGTTGCTGTGGTTACAAGAAAAAGCCAATCCAGCGGAAGGGATGTCCACCTGCCACCAGCCGTACTTGTTTTTGCAGGTAAAATGTGTATGAGTGCAGAATGTATCCTAATTTTCTTTGTTCATAATTTTGCATATACATAGGTTATAGTTTATAGCTTCACATGGACTAGCTAAACTGTGTGCACTTCTTTCCATGGGTTCATTTTTGAAACCATTATAACTCAAGTCATAATTTGGTCTCAACTCACTGTTTATCCAATAGTTGACAATGATTTTCTTGCTATTTGACTTGAGGTATCATTAGTTTCAAACTGACATTAATTTGAAAACTTAAAGGGCAACTAATAGCAGTATAGTTCATTTTCACAAAAAGCACCTGAATTTTTCTGTTACATCTACATGTATGTTGCACCTGGCTCCACCCATGCATCTTATCCATATTCTTTATGCTTTCTCTCCTTCACAGCTCTTCTTTGTTTCTGGTGCTATTCTCTACTGAATTCTGCCTGGTCTCTGCTCTCCTCTTCATGATAGGATCTAACTTTACTATCATCTGTGCCCCTTTACAGGATCTAACAGTCATGGATGAGGTGGGTATTGTATCATAACATGACTTAGCTGTTTAGGTTGATTATGGAACTGAAATGAAATGGAATTCAATATTGATCTTACTTGCTATTGGAACTCCTGAATTTATATCAATCAACTAAATAATCATCGGGGTGATTCAGTTCTTTGAATTTTCCTTTTGGTTTTACTTTAGGTCAAGGTTCTATTTTTTGTCAAGTACTTCAGACCCACTGTGGGAATCGTCCTCTGCAATAGACCAAGGTGGGATTCGGTTATAATTGTTTAGATGGACTGTTCCACACTGTAATCCCAAGTCCTGGCAAGAGCCTTTAAAGTTGAAACCACCACTGTAAACCATTCACTGTGATAGTTTATATTTTTGCACTTTGCAGATTATTGATAACCCAGATGTATGGGGTGGTGTGCCTTATCTTCAGAAGATGTTATCTGGCTTTTTGGATAACTCCACTACATGGGTCCCTAAGCTTGGAGATATTTTGAGGTATGTACATGTATGCATCAATCTGGGACAGAAAGGCAACTTAAAAAATGTTTTGAGGAAAAATAGGCACTCGGCTTAATGTTACTATGACAATGATTATACAGGGTTGGCCAAAAACAGTTACCAATTCTGGACAGGCAAGAATATAATAAATAGATGTTAACGTGTTTTGGCCAACCCTGAAATTATTTTTATTTCTTCAACTCTCGTAAGTGTAAAATTTTCACATTTCCATTTTTGTCGCCACCACAAACCATGGCATCTGTAACAAAGGGCAGGTGGTGACATTTTGCATGTTAATGCCTTGTACAAGTGTAAAAAGGTCATGCTCTAATGCGACTTTATCTTCTTTCATTCATTTATTTTTCCAGAAACTGTAGGTCCAACCAGGCAGTGTACACAGCGTTTGGTGCCTCTGCAATATTTGACCTACGCACAATGGTAAACATATCACAGGTATGAAGTTTTAACTGTATAAAAATTTGGTAATTAATTATCACACCGAACAGAGTTTGAGGGGGATATTGGAAAGCCATCTGTCCATCTGTTTGTTCATCCATTCGTTTGTCTGTCCAGGCAATAAATCAAATACCGAATTTGATTGATATTCTATAGACTTATGCTTTATGGGTCTAGGACCTCTGCCCAAGAGGGAATTTTCAAAATAGTTGCTCAATTCAAATTGGCCATCATTTTTCATAAAACATGATCTTTGAAAACTCAAATACCAGTGGACAGATTTGGTTCAAATTTTATAATTTGATACCTAGTAACAAAGGAGCTCTGTTCAAGAAGAAATCTTCAAGGTGGCTGCTATTTATCAAAACACAATAACAACAACAACGAATAACAATGACAACAACAATGATTAAAACATTTCTTGGGATTCCTAAGCCTATCTGCAAATCCCAGTTGGTAGATTTCTCAGAACATTTCATTTACGATTTGAAATCTATTGTTACATTTCTTGTTTCAGCTTCTGGGAGATAACTTTAATATATCAAGTGCTGAGCCAGTCATAAGTGATACCATTAGTGGCCTTAGTGTCATTGACGCCAACACATTATCAACAGTGGAGTCATTATCCAACACTTCAATGGCCTTTGACGTCTCTGCTATAACAGATTTGGTGAGTTTTTTTATGATACATAATTAGTATGTTTAATTTTTTTAGAAATAGATTTTAATTGGTAATGTATGTTCTCACATCAAACCCCTGTGCCCCCCCCCCCCCCCTCAATCTTACATAGGAATGTGAAAATATAGGAAAGTAAATGAAACAGTTCTCTCAACTTGAAAAATGATCACTCAATATATAACATGAACACTTTTCAATTTTAATGAACATTCATATAACATGAACACTTTTTAATTGACCTAATTTTTCTCCAAGGTGAACACCCCCTAGGTGCATTCATGCACCCTCTGGGTCTCTGAGGATCATGTTGGCCCCTAATGCAAGTCCATACGACAATCCAACGCATTAGAGGCGGTTCACCGTTTAAACACCCCCATACTCGAACACTTATCTCAGTCCCAATAGTGTTCACCTGAGAGGGTTAACTAAAGGAGGATTAATTAAGGAAAAGGTTTAAATAAAAAGTAAAGCAAATATATTAGACTATGTATGAAAGGACCGAGGGTAAAAGAATCCGCCTGAAATAAGTATATACAGTAAAGCCTGTATATCTGAACACCTCTCTTTTCGGACACCTTTAAGGGAACACTTTCCATCCCATTTTTAATCAGCCAGAGATTACCATGTTCCTGAAGTGCGAACATCTGTCAATCCAAACACTTTTGCCCATTCCACGTTCCTAATAGATGGGTTCTACTACAAGTATATTTTTATTTTTCACAGCTGCATACTGCACATTCTAATATGACATTTGGCGCAATGGCTGACACTTTAGAAGCAGCAGGAGCAGCTACAGGGAATGCTGTGAGTATCCTTTCAATGTATATTTCTACTTGTTCTATTTAAGAATTTATTACCCAACTATTTTGTAATGAACATTAAAGAATGTAGAAGGGTTATAGCCGAGTTAAGAAGTTTTAAAACTTTTGACATAATTCTATAATATTTTTTGCACTCTTAATGTCTTGCTTATTTTCAATAAAAGTCTGACAGTTTTGACTTCAATCCTTTGATTTGTAAGGTCATCTGGCAAAAGCTCTTGCCAGAAAAGGTGAACATTTACAGAAAATGTAATTAGGACAAAGAACATTAATTTGCCAAAGATTTTTCTAATATGCTTTTAGTTCAACAGAATTCATTATTAATCCCCAGACTTATTAATATTTTATTCTATATTCAGAGTTACATTGCTGCCTATGGGGAGTTAGCTGACTACCTCGACGCTATGGACTCTCACAGCTCAAACTTTCTCCTACATACTGTAAGTAAAGATATATATTTATTTTCAAATAAATTACTTAATAATTTTAATCCAAGTAAGCATGCCTCTATTTTCAAATAAAGTAGTTTTGGATCCATCACAATACATGATATTATTAACATATCATACAAAAAAACATTTGGTGAAACTAAATCCTCTAAAGCAGACCACCCCTTTAAAAAGAACCCCTTTAAGTTGAAAGGCTTCATAAGTAAAACATTTCTCACTTCTACACTAATGTGTAACTAATGTTCCACTTGCACACGGGTTGCGCTATTTTTAATAAAAAACGTTAGTCTCATGTCTACTAATTTCTACTTTCTTTGTAGAACAACCTCGAGGCAACACTGTTGAACCTGAACTCATCTCTGGGATCTTTACAAGCACAAGCTGGGCAGTTGTTTAATCAGCTGCAAAACCTAAATGTAACAATCCAAGCCAACGCTAGTACTAACATGCTACAGGGTGTTCAGTATTTTGTGGATAAGATTATTGACCATCCACTTAGATTCATGGATCTTGTTATGCTGTCTTTGGATACAACCATAGGACGTTGTAGACCACTCTATAACATATATGGCAATGTAGTGGTCGATGGAGTGTGTGGGCATTTCCTAAATGGATTGGTAAGTTTGTAGAGAAATACCAACATCTTTGATTATGAACAAGAATGTGGGGCATACATAGAAAAAATAAAAGAATCCAGGCTATGAGGGCTATTCAATCTGAAATTGAGTGTAAAGGAGCACTCCATCACTCCCTGCAAATATGCATTCATTTTTACCCTCCCATTTCCACCCTTTCTTTACTCCTCCATACTCCAAGTGCAGGGCTCCTAGGTCTAGATTATCTTCTTTGGAAGGAGGTACAGATTCTTTAATGAGCTTTGGAGAATGCATTCCACCACCTTTTTAAAAGCACCATTAAAGGTTTCATATTCCCTTGTCATGCATCTTTCAGTTTCAACCTCTTGTCAACGTGAGTATTTCCATATAGCATAAATCGCAAGACTTCTGGGGATTACCCCCTCCTTCATCTACAAACCTCAGTGTGGAAAATAGGAAATCCATCACAATTTTTATTTTCATATCCCCCAAATCCAAGTTGGGCTTGACCCCCTGCCTCCCCTCAGTCGCATTCAGTTTCACTGCTACAGTCTAACAGACAGTCATATAGACCCCACCTCCCCCCTACTCCCAAGGCACATTTTTTGTATTTATGCCTACACTGATAGCGATATTCTGTAACTCAGATTATTTGGATTGGTTGAACATATCCATTATTGTACAAGTTACAATGTCTTATTAATCCCATTTATATTGTTGAAAAATATTTTAGTTTTTATATTTCATGTGTTATTTAATTTTCTTTCATTTCAGAATGCCTTTTGGTTGTCCCTTGGCCTCCATGTGTTTTTTGGTGTCCTATTCATGAATATATTTAATATTAAGATCCTCAAATACCTCAAGTAAGTTGACCTTCAAATAACTTTTAAATAAGATTAATTTTCTGAAACCACTTAGGGCAATTTAAAATGAGTGTTTTAACAAGTGTCTATATGCCAAGTTATCTTTTTCCTTGAATTTCAAGAGTTTTTTCACAAATTATCAAAAGTTTACTCCATTCATTACAGGCGACCATTTGATTGGCGTAAATATGACAAGGACATGAATCTGACAAGGAACAACAACAACTCACGATTTATGCCACCACCTTTAATACCCAATTACTTTGGAGAGGACCTATACTGGGAGTTAGAGGTGAAAAATATGTAGTGATGAAGCAGTCTGATGATTAAATGAAATTTCAAACATAGAAATGACTTAGAATATGTATTGGATTCATATAGTCGTGCTATTCATAGAAATATCAATATATTTACGAGATGTCCATAGATGAATTTATGGAAATGCATCTATAAATAACAATGTACGCTTGTAGGAAACACTCAAATTGAATTTGGATCCAAGACTCGTAGATGATGAAGAGAATGAAAATAGTATGCCAACTGAAGAAAACAAAGAAGAGCGACGTGAAATAGAGAACAATCAACAAAATGAAGAAATGGAAACTCCGTTATAAAATCCGCAACTTTCCTAAATAAACACTGCAAATTCCTTTAATTTGGCACCATTTATTTAACTTTCAATTAATGAGATATAAGCAACAATTTGTCTGGACAGAATTTTATAAAAATCCCTCAAAATGAAGTATAATAAGATTTTGAAATGGCTTTTGACAGTCATCAGTATTGGTTGTTTTTTCAATACAATATTTAAAAATGTACATATAGTTTTATTTACAAACAGTAATATTTAATAGGCAATTAGTTTTGTAAAGGTTGTGCAAAAGAAAAACTATGTATACCCCCAACTTATATACATATGTAAGTGACAATAATATTTATTACAGTGTATATAATTATCAAAGAGTTAGCCTAGTCCTAAACATGCGATAAAAATTTTCTATTTTTTCACAATTATACCACTGCCAGACTGTGCCTGTAATTCCTAATGTATTGTACATGTTTGTGATCAATCATATTAATTTCAATTGTAATTTTTCAATAATTTCCATAATTGATAGATACCATAACCATACATTGTAGTGGTAAACACTAGTGTCATCATAGGCAGAGGTTTACAAAGCTTGTTTAATTTTGGATCAACTTTTTGAATTTTGCATAATCTGTATTGCATAACAAATATATTGTAGGCCAGTATATTGTTGCATGTATGAGTTATTTATTATTGAACTATGAATTTTATTGTACAATAAATAAATAAATGCACATTTTGTTTATAAATTGAAAAAATATGTTTTGTTCAGCTTTCACTTCTCCACAAGATACTCCTTCAAGCTAAGTTCACACCAACGGCACTTTGATGGCGCTTTAAAGCGGTGTGCAGGGCCACTTTGTAGTGTACACTTCTTTAAAGCGCCTTCAAAGCGCTGTTGATGGGAACTTAGCTTAAACACCAAATCAGTTCTCTCGTATGTTCTTGACATTTTGTTGAACTGGCTGAAACTCTATGCAAATTAATTTGACTCTGTAGATACAACCTTTTATCACATACTTAGACATGTTTGAGGTAAAGCAGGTTTGTAACTAGTAGGCTATATTATCGTATGATCTGTAAAATGAAGCCTTCTGATTGGTCAGTTCTTGTGCTGTACCAATCTTGATTGCTACTGAGATTGTCCCCATCGATCACTCCCGGAGCAATACAAAAAATATTGGTATGGAGGGAACATTCTCAGTAGCAATACAGAGGATCACACAAGAAAAACGTTATAGAACGATTTGAAATGCAATACAGGATATATTCTGTCTCGATATTCTGTATTGGCACTTCACTTTGTCTCGATCCAATACAGATTTTCAGGAGCAGAATATATCCTGTATTGCACTTCAAATCATTCAATAACTAATAGTATTGTGAAGTGGTCATAAATAGTTTCACTCCACTGAAAGCCCTACTCCATGTGAGCCTAGTACCCACGGTACTTTATTGTCCGTATATTAGTGTATAATACTCTTCCTGGACAGACCTCAAGATACTGTGAGCTTGCTCAGCAGCATCATGGCAAGGCACAGGGCTACATGTACTGTGCTAGGCAGTATGTTCAGCTCAATGTGGATCAATAATTCAAGAATCTTTATGATTTTTTATGGGCAGATAGAGTGTTCAATGGAAGAAATATGGTATGCTTGCCAAGGATCAACATCTTTGGATATCATGTTTTCCGTCCAGGTATGCACTCGACAAAATTGTCAAAGAATGTTAAAAACACGAAACTGGGATTTCTATCTTAGCCATTACTTGAGTCATTTCTGGATTGTTTTTGATGAACTTATTAGGTCAAAAGAAGACAGATTTTCTAATTGACACTTTTAATGATTTTGTATCAGAGCATGCCTCCGCAAAGAATTAGACATCTACTAATTCATGTAATTCCAAAGTAACTGTTGTTGATGCTATGCAAGCATACCAATTTTTCTTCCATTGACCTCTATCTACACATAAAAATACCTTAATTTTTGAGAAAGTTTTTCCAAATAAGTGGATGGCATTTTTTGTGTCACCCTGTTTTTCAAACAATCAAACATTCCATCAAACTCAGATCTCACAAGATTATAACATGACACCAAATGTTCACCATTCTCCTGAAACAGATATTCTTTATTTGGGACTTGGTTTTGGGACATTTCTGAACAGAACAATTTCAAGGGGAATTTATGCAATAAATATCTTCCAATTTTTCATTTCGGATGTCAAAATCTGGTGGCTAAGGTTTTCATTCAATAAGACCTGTCTTTATAGGTATTTTTTCTTATATGGGTGTAAAAAATTCTAAATGGTTCTGAGCTAAAATGAGAATCTCTACTCGTTTAATTGGCCTCAGGAATGATAGACAATTGCTTTGAAGTTTTCTTCGTCTTACTTATGTTAATATTACTGATATCATTGAGTGAGGTCTTAAGATTAAAAGATCAATGTACTTTAATAAATCACAATAAAAATTCTTTTTACATTTGAATGACATTTATTAATTTCTTTATGATTCATTCTTGCTATAAATACATGGAGAAAAGCTATGAAAATAATAAAGTCAAACTGTTAGTTTAAAAATATAATTGAATTTTCAATTTCTTGCCTTGCATCTATTCTCTGGTCACTTCTCCCTGATCTATTTCCCATTCAAATGGTAGCAAATGATGAGAGGACAGGAATAGAGGCAGATGCAAGACTATTACAACTCCTATGCCATAATTGTTTCAGTCACCACAGATAATAGGACTTCTCAATACACAAGAATTTCTTGGCATACAACATCTTTTAAAAGGAATTTCATTTGGGTGTTAAAAATATGAGATTAATTCTACAATTTAACTTAAGCATCACAATGCAGGAATCTTCAACTTATTCTTAAAATTCATCTAATGTCCACACTTTAGATTGAGAAAAAATCCATAGCCAGTCAATGTTAAAAAGTTCAAAGATGAGCTCAGCAAAATTGAGAATGTTGATGTAATTTATAACTTAACACTGTTTTAATAACACCCATGTTTCTGTTAAGCTATCTAGACAACATCATAAGTTGTCAGAATTAAAATACAAGGCCACCCTTGTGAGTGTCTTTGAATGTACATTTAAAATTCTCTCCTGTGATATCGATCAGGATCATAAAATGATGTCACCACGACCCGACTGGCAAATTTACGCCCAGTTAATCCTTGCAGAGCTTTCTGGCAGTCAATTATAGAGTTGAACTCGACATATATCTGAAAACAAATGGCACAATATTAAATTTTGCAATATTCATTTTTTACATCAGGACAACGTAAAGACAGATCCACCCTGGTATTTATAAGGATTTTGTCTCATCTATTTTTCTCATAAGTTTTATCTAAACAAGACGTATGATTGAATATACCACTTACCTTGCCACATCCAGGAACTTCAACACCTTGTATAGGCCTTGGGATCTCAAGACTCTTCACGGCACCATATTTTCCACATTCCTCACGGATATCTTCAACAATATCTGAAATAGAAAAGTGGGATTAGGAACTACACCTAAAATCTTGGAACAAAACACCAGAAGAAAAGTAGTGCTCCAATCTTAATAGGATTATGAATGCAATTTGTAATTCCAATCAAAATAAGATTTACTCTAAAAAGTTTTGAACTCTTGAGTAGTGTGGTGTATACGAGGATTGTCCCAGAAATTTTTTGAAAATTCTTCAATCAGCTAAAATTTTGTATACATGTATATTGCAATTGAAGATCTATTATATGTTCAGTGAGATACATAAGGTTAGGAATCATTTGCTTACCATCATATTCCTCCTCATCTTCCAGTTCCTCTGGTGTGATCATGTTCATGAGGCACAGCACCTCTGTAGGTTGGCCCGATTGCGCCAAATTCAAGCCTGGCACCTGGATCTGCACTGGAGCTTGGTTCGCCTATTACCAATTTAAACAAAATATATATTGCATCAAAAGATGTATTTGAGGACAATTCAATTCAAGAATCTGAATTTGATTTATGAATGTCAACTATTAATCTACAGTTTTCAGTTTTAATACACTAATATGATCTTAATTGATACGAATGCATCAGATGCTACACGGTTTATGAAGGTTTATGCATGACATCTAAATCTATAAACAACTCAATATCACAATGTCAATGTTTTTCAAAGTGAAAATTATGCTGATAAATGCAATAATCTTAGTGTTAATGAAATAAAAAAGCTGAATTTCAACTTACAGTCTGTGCATTCTTGGCTCCCATGCTAGCTCTCTGTACTATTAACTTTTTGTCTCCAAGCTGCATTCCCATCAAACCAGCACACGCCTGGTCTGTGATGCCAGGGTCAACATATTCACAGAAAGCGTAGCCCTTCGAGAGACCAGTAGCGCTGTCTTTCACAAGATTGAATGCCTTCAACGGACCGAATGAGATCAACAGCTCCTTGACCTATAATCATCAAACACAGTTAATGGATTGCATGACCCATTTGCATTCTTGAACCATCATACAGGTGAAGGTCTAAGAAACTTTGTTTCAATTCATTTGGAATGGAAGTAGCTAGTTTCTTTATTCAATAAATAATTACTGGTAGGTTTATGCATTAACTTGTAATGACTAAATCCATCTTTTATCAAAACAATTAAATCTATCATATCAGAGAGATGCAAATGGATAAATCAAAAATACTGATATGCTTTGGGCATCATAGCACTTGTATGATGGTTACAAGAACTTGTTCTAGATAGTAGAATTGTTTCAAACTAATAATCCAAGGCCGTTTAAACACAACCAATCCAAAAGAGATCCTAAAACTGATTGATTGAACAATTTCATCTGAACTGCTTATGTCACCATTATTTAACACTTTAACCAGTCACTCTGGTTACTATACTTCATGTGCTATTTAATTGCCCATATGGGCCTACATCACATTTTAATGGTCTTGGAAGGTTTTATTTGAAACAAATCTAACATTGGTCCACCAGCAGAATTATGGTGTACAATCAATATGGATTAAAATCTTTAATTTCAATCAGGATTACTGAACGTACTTTGTACATCTCCTCTGTCCCTTTTATGTCTGACTTGTAAAATTGGGTCAAAATTTTACAATGAGAAATCCTGGTCTTTTATATTCATTCAATATGTCACCAGAATTCTACTGGCTTTCCTTATATAAATTCAAGAACAGATAATTTGATGTGAAAATCTGGTTTTTATTCTCCCATTTCTTACATGAAGTATCTACAGGTGTAATTATTTCTGTTTGACGTTTTAACATTAACATTTCACTTACATAAGATGAGGTAGTATTAGTAACTTTTGCAATCATTTTTTATACACTTGCCTTAATCCTTTTGACAAAATTTGGCATACACGATGCTTAAGGCTTAGTTCACATCCCCTCTCCCCTAGCTATCAAAGCAAATTGGGGAAGAAAACAGACACATATTGAGTTCCAATGTAATAAAGATATGGTATGTTTGTAAAAAACGCCATCTAAGTGGTTTTTTAATTTGTAAAACTTGGGTGCTTTCAGCTGATTTTATGTTGACTACACAAATGATATCAAATATCTGATGTCCATTCATTGTAATATCCACCAATAAAGATTGCCTTTTGAACTTTTTTTTATTAATTTATATTTGTTTAAAGCAGGAATAAAATATTCATGTGCATTAAACAAATATGAAATTAATCTGAAAAAATACTTGATACAAAATATTCACATCAATATTTGAACTCATTTGATGCGTAATGACGGTTGTCAGTTAGTCTCAAAAGATTAAAATTAATTACTCAGAAACAGACTTTTGCAATTAATTTATTTAGAAAAGTTCATAGTTACCATTCCTGGTTAACTGATGTTTCTAGAGTTTCCGAGCTAAAAACAAACCCTACCCCATCTGAAATAAATTCCCACCCAGCTGAAAATTTGAAAATGCTGAAAGAAAATTTTCTGAAATTTGAAGACTTGGAAGCTGAAACCGAAAGAATGAGACCTGAAAACCCTGAAATTTTGTACAATGTATGCTGAAAAACAATAAATATTTTCTCCGCATATATTTTATAAAACGTTCCAGAAGAAAACTGAAGAATCACTTGAAATAGTATAGGAATTTAATTTCATGGATTTAAAATGACATTTTTTGTTGTAATGATGAATCTGATTCATGGTGTGAGATTTATGAACAATTTTGCAACTTTTAAATTTGAGTTTTTTAATTCTATAATTATTTATTGATGAAATGCACTTTTCCTATGTTTAAGGCTGAACAGCTTTCGATTTAATTTTTTCATTTGATGGAAAAATATTCTTTTTTTTGGGCTTTCGTACTATAGTGAAAGTATTTCCTGTATTTACATGAAAACAAAACTGAAAATAAAAGTTGTCCCTATATAATATGTGTCTGCCTCTCTCAGGCCCGTATTCTGCACCTTTGAGCAAATGATTCCTGGATTGCAATATCGCTCTTTGGAATCCAAAATAAAAGCTACATCTAATACGAAAATGTTTATGGAATGTTGATTTGAAGATCTTAATTGAGGCCTATTCCTGCTTGAATATAGAAGTGCAGGCTACTTGTTGTACAGGTTGACTGAAATGAAAGCCTGAAAACAAGCTGAACGGCTCCCTGCATTTCAGAACAGTTTCACCTGTTGTTTCACCTGTACTCGTTAAATAAACCTGTAGTTGTACATGTATGAGGAGACAAAATAACACACCAGGGTACAATATGTATGCATTGTTAATTAAATGAGTGACTATAAACTATAGGTAATCTGAAAACAATACGATTTAACAAACCAATTCAATGACAGGAAACAGTTGAAAACGATGATTTATAATGGCGAGGCGCTGAACTCGCAAGTGAAAAGAACAATTTCTGATACGTAAACTACAAAATCTGGGGAAAATGGGTCAACAATGAAAATTACACTATGGGACAGAAACAATCTATGAGTATGAAAATAATGAAGAAACTTGCCATATTTCTGAAGCTGCTTCACAAATTTCACCATATAGGATGGAAAAATGGATTTTAAAATAAACAAAGAGAACTTCTGATAAACTATTTCTTTCATCGAAAGCAGAAATCACGGTGTGTACAGTAAATGAGAATGATCGCAAATGAAACATTTCAAAAAGTGGCACAAAAAACCTGAACTAGATGTCGACAATTGCAAATCCTACAAACCAAAACCAAAATCACATGTCACCAATGCTAGGATTGAAACATCCTCAACAACCAAACTCTTACAAACCAAACAATTTCAAAAAAAACTTCCAATGATATCATTAAACCTTAACTCACAATATAAAACAACCCAACTCGAACTTTTTATCTCACAAACCAAACAATTAACCACATAGCTCCAATGCTACCGTCAAATGATCCTTGCCTCACAACAAAATAAATCCTTGCTATTCTTTGCATTTGCTACCTCAATTCTTCAAAGATTGCAACACAAAAGATTTGAAAAGAATGTAATCGATATTTACAGTAGAATTAAAACTAAGAATAGAACGGAGTTTACCTGATCCTCATTGAGATAATTAGGCAGTCCACCTATAAAGATCTTGTGTGGAGAATCCTGTACCACAGTGGATACAACACCTGAAATAAAACATAAAGGTTAAGAACTGCACCTAAATAGAGGAGGTTTCGCACATTTTAGCTTAATGTATTTAAAATCTGTAATGCATTCACCCGATTTATGTGTAGCAGTTCAATTAAAATGAGATGCGGATGTGTTTTAGCAATAACCCTTGTGTGAAACTTCTCTAATCAGAGACTACACTTTTGGAAAAAACATACATTCTTGCATATAATAGTAACAAAATGATGAAAAATTCAATAAAATATATGATTCAAATATTTCAAACACACCCTCAAAATGAGGAAATGTAAATCTCAAGAAATGTCAAAACATGATTAATAGCTTACCTGGTACAGCAACATTGGGTGTTTCAGCAACACCAGGCAATGGCTGATAATCACGAGGACGTCTTATTTTAAGAGATTGGCCTTGGAAGTTGATGCCATCAAACGCCATAGCTTGGGTTGTTTCGTCTACTGACCGGAACTAAAACAAAATTTATTTACCATATATACGTTTGTATCCATATTACACATATAACATAAAATGATAATAAAAAAGTATAAAAATACAATTGCACCATACAATGTACTCATTACACACCAGAAATCAAATCAGATCAAATTTCAAATTTTACCATCCAAGCATTCCAAAAAACCTCATAAGTACTGAAATTTAGTTAGATAGAAATGTTACCTCAAGGAAAGCAAAGTTTTTATCCAGGTTGACCTGGCAAGCTATGATGGGATTCCCCTCTGTTTGGGCTAACCCTGTAACTTATGTATGTTATCAAAAATGGTCAGAAACTTAGAAATCAAAAAGCTCTATGAACAAAAAGTTTAAGGGGTGCACATCCAGCCCTGGTCGAGAACGAGGCTGATAAAAATGTAGCAAAAAATGTAGCTCCGCAATATTTCTCGATTTTGGACTATTCCAGGCCTCAGATACCGAGTTATTGCACATAATTGGATATAGGAACTCCTTGAGGATACAACGCACCCTTCTAAGTGAGTTATTCTGTGAAAGAAGGATTGTAATGTTGACATAAACTTTTTTCTAAATCTTCCATACACGGATTTCGTCGCCATTTTTTCCTTGGCCCGTCCCTGTGTATTATTTGCATCTTGAACACTTAGTCTACATGTTACGCTGCTGAAAAATCTGATTATACATGTTCAGGGCCTTTCACACTACAGCCATGCAAGAATTTCCCGCCATTTGACGTGTGGCCCTTCCCCGTGTATAACTCGCTAATTGAACACTTAGTGTTTAAGTACGCGCTGATGATAGACTTGTTATACATATTTGGAGCCCTACTCGCTCTATTCTTACCTAGCAAGGTCGCGACAACCTCGGAATTGTATGTTTTGATTTGAGCGACGCAAAACAGCAAATCTTTTACCAGAATCTGATACAATGCCACTTTCTACCAAAGTGCATGTGCCTGCAGATATAGAAATTGATGACGATTCCACAAATGATAGTGACAATTGTATGGAATCAACTAGTGGTGATTTTCTCAGTGATTATGATGATTTTAATCCCACCCCAATAGCTACCCAGACCGAAAATGATATCATTAATGAAATTAAAGAATTGTGTTCCGGTGCAGACAAAGCGTTATTCATTAAAAGACTATGCGACCACCAAGATGTAGACGGATTAGTTCATTCCAGAGATGCTTTATTTGATTATGCACGAATCAATCGCAGCAATGCCATGCCACCAGGTGCGCTTATTCGTCGTCTACCCAGTAGGAAAAACAAACAAACAAGCACTTCTGTTAAAGAAAAGCTGGCATGTGATATATATCATCTTTTCCATTTCATCAATGGAGCTTCTAACCTGTCGGATATTAAGACACTGTTAAATCCTAAGGCAAAGACAAACAGAAAATCAGTTGTTCACAACCCTATCGATGATACAATGAGACACAAAAACAGTGATGACCAACTAGCAATTATACTCAAAAACGTTCTTGAACTCAAATCTAACGTTGCAACTGAAATCAATGAACTCAAGGCTGAAATCGCAAAGTCTACAAAATCAAAAGTAAAAGAACTCAATAATGTAATTGAAATAAAGCAGAATGAACTTAACAGATGCAAGGATAGCGAACAGAAGTTAAAAAATGACTTAAAGATAGCGAAAGCAAAAATCAATGATCAACAAGCAGACATAAACAAACTCACAACAGATATCAATGAAACAAAAACAAAGCTGTTAAAGCAAATCCAGACAATACAAAACAAAGTAAGCGCATTGGAAAAGTCCTCTTCTCGCAGTGCAGCTATCACAATGAATCAAGAGCAACTTCCAAGCTCAAACAACGATAATGTGCAAGATAGGTCCAGGTCTTTAAGTGGCTCCCCAAATACAAGCGGTAGCTTGAATAACACATCAGCTGTACCCACAAGTGTGTGGGGAATACCCTTAAATCCTCCCACTGTACCCACTGGAGCCAACAAATGTTCTGCTTCAAGTACAAAGGATATTTCGAATGTTCCCGCTACGCCCATTACGCTTAGTGCTTCTAGCACATGCAGCGCACCAACTGCTACCTGTACTTCTGCAGTTAAAACCAATAGTGGGGCAGTCACATGTAGCGCATCCGATGTTTCTATTGAATGCAGTGCATCTCATACACCCACCATGTCCCAAGCAGCTACTAGCAAGAATACAAGCATCGCACGCAATATTCCTGTAAGGTGTAGCGCACCAAAAGCCACGCGCACTACATCGTCCGCTGGTACCGACAGGGCAAGTACCGATATTCGACAATCCCAGATGTGGCCCCATCGCCAAGCCATAACAAAAGCTAACTTGCATGCTGATAATGCCAGTTGCAATAGTGATGATGACTTTGTCGGAGTACGTGTGCGTAGAACACGAACAAAAAAGATTGTTCTTGCTCATGTCAAATCACAACCATACAACACGCTTCGAAAGCACCTTGTTAATTATGCACTTAAAGGTGGTGTAACTGTCACTGGTTTTAAGGTTATGTCAAGGAAAACATCATTCAATGGAGAATGGCTACTAATACGAGTAAATGTTTTAGCCAGTCATTACGCAAAAGCACTGAATGAACATTTCTGGCCGACCTTAATCGAATCCAGACCGTATGTTTCTCATTTTGAATATGAGCAAAAGAGAACACAAAATGCTCAGGAAGGTGACTCTCAGTATTACAATAAAGGCAACATCAGTCAGTCTGACGAGGATTGGGACAACGACCAATACCAAGATGACTTGTACCAAGGTTCTATGTATTGCCTATGAACCTGTCCTTATATCTGATACTGCATATTTTTATCTACATTACTATGTCACTAAATGACAAGTCACTCAGCGTCATGACTTGGAATTGTAAGGGTATAATGTATGGTAGTCCTTTTCTTACGAACATTCTGCCCAACTATCATATTGTTACCTTAACTGAGCATTGGTTGTACCCAGACAATTTAAGTTTCCTAAACACTCTTGATTTGAATTATGATTCACATGGTATATCACAAAAAGACCTTTCCGTCGATGACGCTGTGCGAAGAGGTCATGGTGGCATAGCAATACTGTACAATAAATCTCTCATTGTGCGAAACAAAATTAGCATTGAAGACAGAATATGTGGCATAGAAATTGTAACAGAGGGTAACTGCAGTTTGTTCATATTTGCTGTATACATGCCTTCGGCAAATCATCCAATAAATGAATATATTGACTGGATAGATCATCTGTATAGTCTCTATTGCACTTATTCGTCTTTGGGAACAATCATGTTTACCGGTGACTTCAACGGTCACCTCGGTTCGAAAAGTGGACCTAGATGTGATTTGGCAAATGACCGGGGACTATTGCTAGAAAAATGGGTCTTTGATTCAAACCTTTTAGCCGTTAATGCTCAAAATCTTACAACGGGCCCCAAACACACATTTTTTCGCAATAATGCCTCGTCATGCGTCGATTATTTATTTGTACCTACAAACAAGTTCGATATCATAGAACAATGTAGAGTTATTGATGATCATCCACACAATGTGTCTGATCACCACCCAGTTATAATGAATGTTAATATGTCACTACCACTAAGTCTAATCGACTATTCTTGCGAGGCTAGGAATATACCTAGATGGCGCAAAGCCACTTTTACACAGAAACAATTATTCTCCAATGATGTTAAAACTCAATTGTCACAAATAACAAGTACTGCCGATTTCACCACAATTGGTGGCCTAGATTCAGCTGTTCGTGCTCTTGCTGATACTCTTGTCAATGCCAGCAGCAAACACATTCCGAGATCCCGGTTCCGGAAATACTTAAAGCCCTATTGGAATAAAGGAGATTTAAAGATCCTTCATGCAGAAATGCGGACTGCGCGTGTTGCTTGGATACAAGCCGGAAGACCACGTGGTCTCGATCACGATTCTTTTCTTAAGTACAAACTTAAAAAGAGACATTTTAGAAGACATATGAGAAAGCTCAAATTAGAATACGAAAATGAGCAAATTTTACAGTTTCAAACTGCTGCTGAATGTGACAGCGCCCTTTTTTATAAGATGTTAAACAGTCATAAGGCTAAAGGTAGGAAACCGTGTGGTCATGAACTCAGACTTGGCACTGAAATTATACGCGATCCAGATCAAATTCGGGAATTATGGGCTTGCCATTTTGAAACACTTGGTACAGAATTATCCATGCCACATTTCGATGACAATTTCAAGAATCTTATTGATCACGAGCATCCTTATTTAATGACACAGTCGCTCTCTAATAATGACGGCATATTCGAAAATCCAATTACCGTATCCGAAATTGAACAAAGCATTGCTACCTTTTCAAATAACAAGTCTCCTGGTTATGATCTTGTGACAATCGAGCATCTTAAGTACAGTAGCTCTGACGTATTACATTTTCTTAATAAGGTTTTTAATGCAATGGTAAGCATGTGCAAAGTTCCACAAAGCTTCAAAATAGGTATTATGATCTCCTTGTTTAAGGGAAAGGGCAAAGATCCTATGGATAGAGACAACTTTAGAGGTCTCACTTTGACGTCTTGTATTTTTAAGGTCTGGGAAAGAATTTTCACAAACAGAACTATACCAATATTGAAGCTTCAAGGGTGTCCACACAATCTGCAATTTGCATACCAAGAAGGCGCGTGTAGCCAATTCGCAGTGTTTGTCCTTAAAGAACTTATTCAATTTTACTCTGAGAGAGAGAGCCTACTGTACATTGCTTTTTTAGATAACCAAAAGGCCTATGATTTGTTGTGGCGGAAGGGCCTGTTTCACAAACTATTTAATCTGGGGCTAAATGGTAAAAGTTGGCGTTTAATTGTCGATAGTTATGAAAATACCACTTCCAGAGTACTTTATAATGGAAAGTACTCTAGAGAATTTCAAATAACACAGGGAGTAGGTCAAGGTCGAGTGAGTAGTGCACTCTGGTTCCTGGTGTACATTAATGCTCTTATTGAAGAACTATGCGATACAGGCTTGGGTGCAATAATAGGTGATATGCGCATCCCTGCAGTACTGGTGGCTGATGACACCACAATTATTGGCACAACTCCAGATGAGCTACAATCATTATTAAATAGTGTCTCAAATTATAGTTCAAAATGGAGAATGTCATATCATTCTGGACAGAACAGCAAAAGTAAAATCATCACTTTTAATGAAAGTACTAAACATTTCAAAGTCAGTCAAGGAATGCGCATGTGGCACTTGCAAAATGATATTGTACCTGAAACCAGAACGCAGTGTTACGCTGGAAACACACTTGATGCTCAATTAACTGACATTGAAGCAATGCAACAAGCTAAGCGTAAAATGCTCAACATTTTTTACTCCATCAAACCTATTGGTATTGGCAAAGGTGGCATTAACCCCCTTGTTGCCGTTAAGCTATTAAAAACAATTGTGTTTCCCGCTGCCATGTTCGGCTGCGAGTTATGGACAACATCCAATGTAGAACTTCACGCACTTAACGTTACCATTCGAAAAATTGCAAAAATAATACAAGGATTTGAGCAAAACGTCTCATCGGAAGTTGTCCTCTCTACGCTCGGTTTACTGTCAATTGAGAGTTATATAGATAGAGCAAAGGTGTTGTTTTTTGATAGACTATGCAGAGCCACTCATGTTTTCACAAAACAATTGTTTCTATATAGACTCTCTTCATTTTTAGTTCAGAAAAATGAAATCTGTAATGGTCTTATTAAAGACGTCATGTCAATGGAGTATGACTATGTACAGGAGTCAATTCAAGACTTTCTCAGATCTGGCCAACTTTTGACCAAAGTAAAATTTAAAATGATGTGTACTAATCAAATAAAATTAAATGAAGAAACAAAATGGCGTGCCCGAGTAAATGCGGATGATTCATTATCATTATTTTCGAATGTACAATTGTCAATAGAACCTTCGGTTTTATGGACACTTGGTCAAAAGGCTACCGAGCAACTTTGGGAATTAGCCCACATATTGTATTTGACCACACCTGCAAGATTCAGGTTATATCAATGTAAACGTTGCAAAGATTTTACTGGCTCGATAGTCACACATTTCATGAAATGTGGTGAACTTATAAATGAAAAGAATGATTTCATTGAAAACTATATTTTCAACTCCCTGTCCGTAGAGAATTGTGTCAAATTACTTGACATGGAGGAAAATATAGTCTTAGAAACAATACTTGGCAGCAGAGTTGACTTTCAACTCGATGATACTCAATTTACCGAGTTCATTCTTTCGTGTGCAAGGGGCTTAGCACACATAGACATTTTCTTTAAATCATGCTAATTCAATGCGCGTATATGTTTTATATGAATAGGTGTAAATAGATACTTACTATGAAACGCTGCGATAATTGCAGAACTACTTTGTAATATGTAAATTTTAAAGTTGTTTTTGTTCTATAAATTTGTAAATCTTCTTATAAGGAGGAAATAAAGATACAATACAATACAATACACACCAGAAATCAAATCAGATCAAATTTCAAATTTTACCATCCAAGCATTCCAAAAAACCTCATAAGTACTGAAATTTAGTTAGATAGAAATGTTACCTCAAGGAAAGCAAAGTTTTTATCCAGGTTGACCTGGCAAGCTATGATGGGATTCCCCTCTGTTTGGGCTAACCCTGTAACTTTCATCTGGTGGTTGAAAAAGGACATCATGGCCTCCTGAAATGACATAAGAATAAAATGAAACACCATTAAATAAGATGTTCTTCTATATGAGAAAAAACACAATATACATTGTATGTGTCTCATCACTCTTACATGTCCTAATACTTTTTATTTCTGAATTTAACAGCAAACCCATAACCAGGGAAGGTCACTAAAATTATTTTAAATGCACAAGATGTTGCAGTAAATGATTCCTGGTTGGTATATCATACAACTTACTTCAGTAACACCAAATGGTATATTTCCTACATAGAGACGACGTGCCTGTCGACTGATAGCACTACCAGTAAAGGGCATTGTAGTTGTGAATGTCATATCGACTTCTGGTACATTTTCAACACGTGGGACTGCTTGACCAGTGCCTAGAAATGCATACATTCATATAATTATTGACAAATCCAGGATGCATTCCTTTTTGGAATTTGTAAGTCTATTGATCTTTGTGGTGCCATTGTTACAACAAAACATTTTCCTAGAAGTTGTCACAAAATTTTAGAAATTGCAATTTCTTAACTTTAATGCAAGTTTCAATACAATTTTAAAAATTAATTCAAGGCGAATGTTACACTCAGCTTCAAATATTCAACAATATATATTTATTGCTACAGAATTAGGCCAAATATTTAGCATAATTGAACTTTGTTAATATGAAACCCCAGATATCAATACTTATAACAACCCTAGAAGTACCAGAGTTGAAACAAGATATTACAAGGAAGAGCCATTACACAAGATATATGTGGGCTTGTAATCAGACAACTTCACCCGATGCGATCAAGTTTGCCTCCAGGGACAAGGTTTAATTGTAAATCCATGCTGAATGACTGAGTTATAACACTTGCTCGGGTTACATTATTTGGTTCACCCTCTAAATTACCTTCCATTGCTTTATACTGAGCTACAGTTAGATGTTCATAGCCTGGTGGGGGAACATCCCAGTATTTGTATGGCTTCTTCCTTCGTGTTCGCTTCTCTGTTCTATCCTTGGAGCGACTTAAATCACATTTGACAATAATAATTCAACTGAATAAACGATTCATTTCAGTAAAAATATATCATCTGTGACCTCTTGCAGTTGTAAGAATTTAGCAATCTCTTGGAGCTTTAAGAATTTCAATAATTATATTTTTTAGTCAATCCACGAGTAATACAAAGCCTAAAAGGTTTATGTTATTTAATAAGTACTTGGTTTCCATTTCCCTCTGATTTACTCGTATGCTGTCACAGGGACAATAACAATCACATAAATTGTATCACCCAACATAAGATGATCTTTATATTAGGGCCGTGCCATTCGACCGGAATCGGTCCGAACCGCGGACTTTTGTTAAAATACCGGAATTCGGAATTTTAATATCATGTTCCGAAGGGTTTCGGAACAATATCGGACCCTTACCTTAGTACTTGCTTTGAATCGTTAATATCCGTGACCATTGTTCCTCCAGTGATGTTTTCCTTCAAACTACATCCAATTTGCATGTGTATTACTCGCATAAACAAAATAAAATAAATAGCGGAGAAATCAACAGAAATCAAGTTTTGTTTTACGCATGCGCATTATGGTCAGAGCAGCCGGAAGTGAAAACAAGTAGAAAAAAGATCGAATTTTCTCTCTTTTTACAGATTTTAGAGTCTATTTCTTTCGTAAAAACATTCAAACTTGCTTGACAGGAAAGGTAAGTGTTAACCTGACAAACTTGGACGACGATATCGTCATGATCGCCGTCGAACTCACTCATACATAATTATTTTCATTTGTGAACCAAAAGGGGTTCCGAAAGTTCCGATTCCGTGAGACCAAGTTCCGGTTCCGATTCCGAACCGTCCGAACCGGTTCCGGCACAGCCCTACTTTATATCAAATCCATGTAGCAAATATGTAAAATAACTTTTTGGAGAGATTTATCTTACTGGATTCAAGAAGTTAAGCTATTAAAAGCAAAAAATGTTTGCTCGTCACATTCTATTTTTTAATTATAATACCTTCTTCTGCGGTCTCTATCTCTTTCTTTAGATCTTCTTCGTGGACTTCTAGACCTCTTACGTTCTCTATCGCGATCTTTGCTCCTGGATCTTCTTTTGGAACGTTCTGAAATGAAGTCAATTGGTAAATTGATAAATAATTTTTTGATAATATTGATAAAATCATAAAATGATCCACGCTCAGCCTTATGACCAATCACATTGCGGGACACAAGCGCAGTATCCATGTAGAAATGAAATTCTTTGGATGTTTCCTAACCTGATACTTGTTAGTATTGAACTTTCAACTACGGTTCAATAGGGTCCTAAATTGAAAAATACATATTTGTTAATGACCAATGCAGCAATGATGTACTTGTGCATGTGTGATTTTACATTTGCCGGTCAGAACTGCACGGGTTCATTTGGCGGAAGTCACAAATTTGCAAGGACAAAGACTTACCGTCTTCCATTTCTGCTGGCATATGGTAGTTTTATATTAATATTCTATTTCAATTTGATCACTGCTAAGTAGTTTATCCAAAAGAATGTATAATTCAACTCTAGCTGTCCAATACTTTGTGTAAATTCAGTTCAAATAAGACAATTTCACAAAATGCCTCCGAAATGCTATTTTATATTTTTCTACAGCGCATGCGCAGAAGACTGCCACCTATTGGATGACTGAACGAAATAAATATTCCCGGGAAGAACACCTCTACACATTCATCAATGTCACATTTTAGATTTTGATGCGTTTTAAGAATTCTAATAATCTTATACTTAAATTAGAAGTTTATTTGAAGTTGTTAATACCTATGACTATTTAGATATCAAAAGAATTGACATTCTCTAATAATGTGTTCTTCAGCATGTGATTCGGATTTACCTGTCTGATCTGATAATTCAATAGATAACATTTAATGACTTCACTATGAATGAAATGAACAGTCAGCACTATTTATTTCAAATACCTGTGATAAAACCTCTTTTTATTACAGATCTAGGAAATAGAGTGTCGAAAAATGTGCCATAGTCCTGTTGTTTTGGATTGTGATAACATTTCATAAATGGTGTGGGGGTTGTTGAGCATTGTTTCTTTGTGTGTTGGATCATTGTTTAAAATATTGGTTTATTTTCGTACGAGTATTATTGGCTGTACTTTGAGTTAATCTCTCTACCAAACCTAAAAGGGGCATCCTCTGCTATCTTCTTACTAGGATTCTGTACATTTGTTTAGGAGGATGAAATATTGAGGCTATAGACAAACATAATATTATGTCACTTTGTCTTTCTGTGAGAGACACAATTAAACAAGGGATTAACATGATAAAATATATGTTTGCAGTAAAAAATTGAATCACTACTTGTTAAGTTCTAAGAAGTTATAAGAATTGGTTACAGACGCTGTTACAGACAACAATAAAATGTCCATTTATTTGTTGCCATGGAAATATTATAATATATATTGGCAGAAATATGTCGGAACTCATAACATGTTTATATATGTTCACAGTAAAGACTATAACAATATGTCACCACTTCTGGTGACATAAAAATCAAAACTAGGTTCAGAGGCTACATCTACTAATCAATAGTTTATTTTCAATATCAACAAATACAATGACATACTGTATACATGCTAAACTCTAGAGACCACATGATTGCTCAATGTACCAGTATAATCCTAAGAATTACCACTGGTTGATCACTGAAGTTTTATTTTCTCACATGAAAATAAAAATATATATTGTGGGATCTTTAGAAAATAGCCTACCATGTTTGCAGTTGCAGGTACTCATGGACTGCCAGTGCCCACTAGGTATTTAGAGTATAGATATAATAAACAGAGTGTGGGATGGTTGGAGGGAATTCTACTTTGAGCAAATCTGACAGTTTAGATAGCTTGAGTGGTACAACAAAAAATAGTAAATATTTCCAATTTCCCCCACATCATGTTTACTGTAGCATATTTATGATAATATTTAATACATGATCATTGTCAAGCAAACAATATTCAGTAAAGCACATCTTGGACGGAGTGTAGTTGTAATAAAATACATAAATACATTCTTCTTAATATAAGATTCTCATATACTGTAGTCATCCTCACTGGATTAACCCTTACACTGCTGAAAGGAACACAGAAGAGGTAGACACAATTTTTCATTTAGCGAAAATACTTGTTCTATGAACCCATTAAAACACACACCATTTACCAGTTTGTTCATATTTATTAAAAGTGAAGAAACCCTAAAGCGAATTACACCAGTGAAATGAGTGTTCTAGTTTTCCTGATCTATTGTATCACTGGTGATCCGCTCGATTACGCAGGGGTTCGTTTCGGTAACAAAATGTCGGAACGTCTAAGATACCAGTGTGTATCATGTATTTCATGCGTTGTAGGCAGAATCTCCACGACATTTTTTCTCACAAACGTGTATTTGTATCATATGTTTTAGAAAATCTACATATTTTCGAAAAAAATAGCTCAGAAGACAACAGAATCATCGATTTAATTCCTCACTTAAGTTACCGTATATGTAACTTAAGTGAGGAATTAAATCGACGATTCTGTTGTCTTCTGAACTATTCACAAATAAATGTATGTGAATTTTCTTAAACATATGATACTGATACACGTTTGGGATAATAAAAATGTTGTGGGAATTCTGCCTACAACATGTGGAATAAGGAAAATCGTACCTTCGACGTTTCAACATTTTGTTACCCGAAACGAACCGTAATCAAGTTGATCACCAGTGTGTATCATGTATTTGTTCACACAACCAGCTGACCAGTAACAGGTGATGGTTCAATCAGTTCATAGTCCTTTTAAATATGAAACATTTTCTCATTTTAAGTGCGATCCTGGCAATGATACATAGAGGATATCCTATGATTTATGAGTGATATGATTTTTATCCACGAATGGATATGATATCTGCACGAGCGAGCGTAGCGAGAGAGTGCAGATATCAATATCCATGAGTGGATTAAAATCATATCACGAGTAAATCATAGGATGTTCTTTTTATTCCATAGTTAAAGTCATCATCAGAATCGTCGGAAATTAAGTTATTTAATTCGAATTTTCAAACGATCCGGCGATGTTGACACTTAGCCTCGTTTTGAGTCTGAAGTAGCAAAATCCATAAACCATCGCATACGACGTCGTATGTCATGGCTAAAAAAAACGTATGTTATGGTTAAGTGAAAATTTGTCAAAAATATCATATTTTACCACTGATTACAAAAATACCATTTTTATTTTCACATGTTATCCTATGAATATCATGCTAACTATGGAATAAATGTTAATATCTGATGTCTCATATGAATCCCATGTTCAGGAAAGATTCAAAAATAAATACAAAGAGTGTTCACTATTAATTATTTAACAGTATAATGAACACCTTTTATATTAGAGAGTTAGATTACATACAGTTTACATCACACACCAATTTAGTCACAATATCATTGAAACATTGCTGTAACCATGGTAACAATGTGACATGAGCAACTTGGTGTGCAAATTTGACTAAAGGGAGATAAATAATGTCATCTTTACATGTTACAATGATTATGAATTGCTACAATACAAAAACATTCTAATATCAACACCCTAATGGTCCCTAATACATTTAAACAATTCAAACCAGTCACATAAGTACATATTACGAGCATGTGACTTTTAGTAACTATTTTTCTTACACAAGATACGAGATTCACACAACATTTTTATGTTGACTAAAGGCACACACACAACAAATACTAACACAGACGATCAAACATGCAATTTCTTGAGGTCATCCTCCAAGTACAGGGTTCCAGGACTAAATCACTTAGTTTTGTCTGGAAGGATTTAATTAGGATCTACATCCCAAAAATGGGGAGTGTCTCAGAAACCCCAAAATAAAACAAAAACTAAATGTGATCAAACAATTTAGCAATGTAGGCTTACAGCAGATTGCTAATATTTGACCTGTCAAAAGCAAGTCACAAAATAGTCAATATCAATCACAATACATGTACGAGTACATGCTAACTTTCTTCTGCTTGAACATGTACTGTAAACATTTTCCGATAATAATCTTACATTTTTTTCATTATCTCTTGTCTTCATTATTTGAGATTTCAAAACATACACTGTAGCTACACTTAATTAATTTTTGTTGCTACTTAATTTGGCGGATTTGCACTATTTCAAATACATGTATTAATTTAGAAAGTTTCATCATTGATCTGGAAATAAGCATTTCAGATTTTTGTATCCTACTTACAGTAAGTCTTGGTATAAAACACTGACATCCAAGCGGGAATACTAACAAAAGTGAAATCTTAGCAAACTACAAATTTCTAGAGGATTTTCCAAAATAGATCTGAAAACTGGCGATTTTAATTTGGTGGATTGGTAAAATTAAGTGTATCTGCAGTATCAAAAATATATATTCTTCTAATATCAATTTTATGTTTAAAGTCAGGTTCTATATGACCAAGTTGCGTGCTAATTCATGAATCTAATGTTTACAACTCCATAGGGTCCCATCTATTATTTAGCTGTGATGCCAGGAATGTAAAAAATCCCATCCCACTGTTATATCCAATTCCTCCCGAAGTGTGTGAGGAGCTCCATGTTCAGTTGCAATATGCCAGGTGTCTGTGTCATGTTAAGATTTTAGGGACATGCGAAGAAGATCAGTTCATTGCTATCATATCCAGTTACACAGAATGCTCCGCCATCTGGACTCACAAATCGACCACCTTGGAGTTGCATATCCGGCACACACTCGTGGAACTTGTGAGAGATCTGAAAAACAAAATTTTATTTGAATAAGCTGGCAATATATCATCACAGCAAAACACAACATTTCAAGCTATGACAAACTGGAGTACATTATCACAATATTTTTAGTAAATAATTGTAACCATTAAAATGATACTGGCATATAATAGTAAGACAACAAGATTTGAAACCTAACAAATTATTTTAGTAATTTACTGTTTATTAAAAGTCATGTACTATGGAAATAATAGGTAAGCAATGTGTAGGGGATGGATAGGGAATTACCAATTTTAAACTGGAGTAGAAATTAGCAATTCATGTGTTTTTCTCCTGTCCCATTCAACAGAATTATTTTCTTACTTTTGAACAACAATTCTGTGATCTAAATATTGGATACAGAAATTTATGTAAGAACAGGCAGGAAAAACAAACTTTATTCTTTATGGCAACGAAACACTTAAGAAAGAGCAAAACATTGATATTTTGAAGTTGAGTGCAGTGTTTATCAGGAACTGTGTTGAGGGACCCCAGGCAGTCTAGTGACCTATTATGCTTAATAGTATCATTACTATCAGATCATTTGCAGACCTAGTTTTGTGAATCATCATCCTAAAAGTGGCTTATAATGTACCTTACAAAGACGCTAATGTATTTGTGTTTATTGTAATAATTTGAAATTAAGAAATACAATATAAAAAAAAAAAAAAAGTAGAAATTAGCAATGCTACACTGGAGAGGAAATTACCAATGTAAGAATGGAGAGGGAATTACCAATGTTACATTGGAGAGGGTAATACTAATGTTACAATGGAGAGTGAATTACCAATGTTACATTGGAGAGGGTAATACTAATGTTACAATGGAGAGTGAATTACCAATGTTACAATGGAGTGAATTACCAATGTTACATTGGAGTGAATTACCAATGTTACATTGGAGAGGGTAATACTAATGTTACAATGGAGAGTGAATTACCAATGTTACAATGGAGCGAATTACCAATGTTACAATGGAGAGCGAATTACCAGTATTACACTGGAGGGGAACTTGCCTGTGTTACAACCTGGGGGTACTTACCTGTGGTACTTTGCCTGCAGAAAGCTGCCATACACGAACAAAGGAATCTTCACTTGTACTTAGAGCCTACAAATATGCAATAGAATACACCACACATTAAAATCAAATAAGAGAGAGTGACAATTCTTTTGAACATAATAATCAAAACAATTATGCTAAGTATATAATGCACAGCTAGGTAATCTAGTAAAAGAACTAAAGGAATTTAAGTTATGACAAACTAAAGACAAAAGGCTGAGAAAATAACTTGAGATATTTGTGTACTTACTAAACCACAGTTTTTTGCTATATGTACTGATGTGACGAGTCTTGCATGTGCACTAGCTTCAGCTCCCATAATTCCAGTTGATGCACTGAAAACACGCAAGTGACCCGACCCATATCCTGCCAATATGCTGTCCTGCCAAATATCTAAGCTATTACAAGGGCTTCTGAAAAATTAGATACCATATTCAATGTTCTTCACATTCAACTTTCAAATCTGGTATGCTCACATTCTGTTACATTAACACATTTACTGGCATATTAATTTTCATTTTTAAAACACTTATACAATATACATGTACTTAGAAATGACAACAAATAAGAAATAAGAAACTACAAATGTGCTCTAAGCCCCTGGAAGCCTTACCCTGAGCCGGATATGCGTCCTACTTCTTCAAACTCATTTGAGTCTCCACTGTATTCCCAAATGTTGATATTGCCCAAGTCATCACTACTGACTAGTTTATTGCCCTCAGAGGCCAGATCAGTGATCCCAGCTTTGTGGGCTGGAAAAAAGATAATGTTGTTTAATATTTAGGTGTTTAAATCTAGACAGTAGTGTCATTTTTTGCTTCATATCCTTTCATTCATGTGTCATATATTTATCAATTGCTTTGTCGACATTTCACCAAAAAACATTATACCCTGACAAAGTTAGATCAGAAGTAGTAAATCAATATCACCAAGCTACTGTCTTAAATAGAAAATCATTCAACACCTAGTATTTAGCTTGAAAAGCACAGAAAATACTCTGGTCATCTGTTAGAGTTAGTAAATGTTGAAAGTCCCAAAAATAACAATGATACCAGGCACATTACTGATGATAACTCAAGTGCATACAGAAAGATTACAAGTACATGTATGTATCATTGCAGTCTAATGCTTAGCAAGAAAGCTACACAACCATACCTTTTATAGTCTCCATTAAGGTTATGTTTGTTCCACGGAATGGTAAATTGAACACAAGAATCTTGCCTTGGTATGTCCCAACACAAAGAATATTATCTCCAACATTGCAGATTCCCCTGGCATATGTCGCTGAAATCAAACAACACTTTATGAAATAGCGTAACTAGGCCTAATTGTCAAAGTCAAAATCTAAAATTTCATTGTAAATACTTGTATATTATATTCATTGATATAAATAACTGGACTCATTGGCTACGATCACTCATCCAGATATTGATATCAACTCATGGATAAAAATGATATCACTCAAAATCATAGGATATCCTATATCCTATACATATTTATGGAGTTATATTACTAAAATGACTATCAAATGTTTGTTTAAATTGTTATTCTGAGGTATTTTAAATACAGGGCCCTGGTTTACCTTCTGCAGTAGCATTTGTGTCAATGGCATACCAGAACAACATTACAGTACCATCAGCCTCAAATATCTAAAATAATACAATGAATATACATGTAGACATGTGAGCAATATATTTGTATTGCTCTGCAGTGGTATTTGTGTCAATGGCATACCAGAACAACATTACAGTACCATCAGCCTCGAATATCTAAAATAATACAATGAATATACATGTAGACATGTGAGCAATATATTTGTATTGCTCTGCAGTGGTATTTGTGTCAATGGCATACCAGAACAACATTACAGTACCATCAGCCTTGAATATCTACAATAATACAATGAATATACATGTAGACATGTGAGCAATATATTTGTATTGCTCTCAGCACTTCTGAAAAGGTCATTAAGAGGTGGGGATAAAGGAATGAGATAGAGGGAGGTTGAGTGTCAATAGTCCGCTTAAGAGAGAGGTTAATTGAAATGATAACCCTAATAAAAACAGACCTTTTACACTGGCTAATATCATGCTCATATTCATAAAGAATATTTTTGAGAGGATCTTAAAGTTATACTTTTAACAGAATAAACATATTTGAGAATGATCTTTTATAAGAGAATCTCTTACCTGAATACCCCTCTGTGAACATATCACTAGAAGAGACCTTGATGGTAAATCTATTAGCTTGGCCTACAAAGAAAAGTGATTACAAATGAAAAATCATACATGTACAGATGTACTGTCATTTTTCATGAATTTCTGAATGACACATTATAAATTAAGAATCATTGGGGGACTTTTTCTAATTATGAACATGTTTTTTCCTAAGCGAATATAACTCACAGGATCAATAGACTGGCAAAATCAGAATTTCAATAAAATAAACAAAAATCAATTCAGTTTTGTATTTTCACCCGTGCATCCATCCGTGTAGATGGATCGTACTTTCGTGTCATACCCTCAAAGTTATCCCGTGCCAGGACTATAGTCCTGAGAACGTCTCAATCTTTTGCCTGTATGATTACAACATGGGAGAATTTTCTACGCCTCTTAAACTTAAGATACCTACTTCAATAGATTCCTGGGTATTTTAGCATTCTTTTCGTGTAGTTGAAACCACAATTATCTCGGTTTATCGGCAGAATGGGAACATTTTTATTTTTCATCGAGAGAGATTCTATCACTTTTCAAGATGGCGGCTGGATTTAAAAGGGGATTCCCCGTTTGACTGGCCCGGAAGTGGCCTGGTAGTACAAATAAATGGAGGAATTTGATGGCTGAAATAAGTTCAATATTACTCGCAATATACTTGCGTGTAATATTGAACTTATTTCAGCCATGTTGTAATCGTACAGGCAAAAGATTGAGACGTTCTCAGGACTTTGGTCCTGGAACGGGATGACCTCAAAGTACTAGTAAGTTTTAGGGTGAATATAACGTCTGTGTCGTTTCGTTTCAATTTGGGGTAGCTTCGACGTATGGGGTAACTTTGACACCTTGTTTATTTACTCGGTGGAAGCCATGTTATTCTTCTTGCACATATCAAAATCTCATAAGATTTTTATTCTACATCAACATGATTATTATTATCTCATGATATTATTTTTGAAATCAAACATGGCAGAAATTCTAATCTCGTCGAAGTTACCTGGCCCATTTCTCGTGTCGACATTACCCTGCATGTCGACGTTACACCCCTGCCTTAGTTATCATATTTTGAAATTGTGAGGAATTTTCCCAAGTACCCCTGTTATGATAGGACCGCTTTCCCTAATTACAGGAACAAACTCGATCCATAGATCTCCCGTAAGTAGTTCAGATCTCAAAAAATGTCAATACCTGTAAAATCATTGGGCTGCAATGAGTGGCAGATGGTTCCTTGCAGAGGACCTGTCGATGATTGACTGATGTGCCATCAGCACTGGTGCTGACCATGTTTACCACGGATTTATGGACAGAGGAATAGTGAATCATACCCTTCTCGTTACTCATAAAGACACTCAGATTATTGCACAAAGCGGATGTACTACTCCGAAGAGCCATTGGCTTATCTTTCTTATACATTTTGGGTAAAAATGGAAAAATTCTAATTTTTATTAAAAACCACCGCGCATCTGTTCCGCGCAGTTTAGTGAAATCCCAAACTCTACATACTACTACTTAGAACTTTAATTTCTCAAGTAAGGATCAATTTTGCTTCAAAATCTCATTAAAAACTACTTAATATAATAATTCATATTTCTTTTAGATTTGTTGTATTTTTTCATTGTTTACTTAGTATTTAATTTGATGATTTCGTTTATAGATTTCGTTAATTAGTTTGACATCGAAATCGACAGGTTCTCCAAAATTTTGATTACATGTTGCCTGGTGAATATAAACGAATTACATTACCAATGCAGAACGATTGAAGAAATTATTTTACCGTAAGTTAAAGACTGATTTCACCTAAACTCTTGCTAGTTTTCTTGTTCAAACTTTTGCTTATAAATTATAAGCCAAGTTGCTTCTATTTGCAAGCATGCACCCGGAAGTAGATCAAGAGTTGACTTTATGAATACATTTTCTTCTTATGATGAAGTTTGCTTATTTTTGATTATGTATGAGTGTGAATGTCAAGACACTCTTGTTTGATTGTTGTCATACAGTAGTTACACACCATCATCACATAGTGATCAAAAAGCTAAATGGACTCTCGAGTTGATAGCAATGTTACGACCCTTGCAAGCCTTTATAGCTCAGGCGGTAGAGAATCAGGCTTTGGATCCAAGGGTCCTAGGTTCGATTCCCACATTGAATTTAGCACACTTTTTTCGATTTCTTTCTGTTGAGTGGCCATGGTTCACTATGCTCGTTAGTTAGTCATTTCCCTTAGGCCGCCCTCAGGTCATTACATTGGTGTCAGATGTGGGGTTTGTGTAAAAAAATGGGTAACCGGGTGACCAGGTACTTAACGTTCCTACCAGGGTTAGGAATTTTTTTATTTATAACGTTGGATCTGGACGATACATGTACGTCATTTTCGACGTCATGTTTTGAGGTTATTTCACATCGTAAGAATGTTTTGACAGCGTTAACTTTTAACGTTAAAATTACGTCGATAATGAAACGATTTAGTGAGAACATATTGACGTCTTTGTAACGTTTCCTTAACTCACCAATATTTTGAAGCCATTTCCACAATGTTGAAATTCAACCATCCATCGACGTTTTGCTGAATATTTAAATAATGTCAGATCAATACGGTCCAAGTTGCTACTACGGCCCGCTGTAGTGGCTTAAGCCTTTATAGCTCAGTCAGTAGAGCATCAGGGTTTGGATCAAAGGGTCCTAGGTTCGATTCCCACATGGGGCATTGAAATTAGCACACATTCTTTAAAATTTTTTATCTGGCTTGTTACATTATGCTCATTAGTTAGTCATTACCCTTGGGGCGCCTCGCCTACTACATGGTGAAAAATAGCATGGATGGGAGTAGTATGGTGAAGACATATAATTATGTGGATCGGGATATCTCTAATTTCATTTGCTTTCATTTTACAGTCTTGACAGCTTTCTGTTTTTCAGTATGCCACACCCCGGGACCACACCTATTTTTACAACTTAATATTACAGTATTCATACAGTAGATACACTTAATTTGACGCTTCTAAATTTGGCGGATTTGCTCAATTTCAATCAAATATTTGCAGCTATTTAATTTGGCAGAGTTAGGACTAAGCTCAAGTTTTATCATTGATCTGGAAATAAGCATTTCAGATTTATATTTTCTACTCATAAGTAAGTCTTGGTATAGCACTGACATCTATAGGAATACTAAGGACCCTATACAAGTGAAATAATTGCAAATTACAAATTCCAAGGGTATTATACAGTAAAATTGATGAATTGATTTGCCTCTTGATCGATCTGAACTTTTGAACAATTTGTTACATGAGAGTATACCCAGATAACTCACTGTGATCTTTCTTTATCTAAAAGTCAAAATTCAAGATTCCAGCATTCCAGACTATTATCTTATTAAAAAGATAATTGGTTCCATTTTCTGGGGTCACCCTGTTTTTAATTATTTTATAGATGTTATGCGGGGATCATGGGACCCCCTACAAGGGTACTCAATTTGTAGATGATATTAAGGTCAACATGATCAACCTCAGTCCAACCATTTTGGAGCAAGGAGTTGATCGGTCTACTGGGAGAGATAAGTACAATAAACCAGGCAAGGGTTCCTATACTAGAAAGATGGCCTCTCCCCCTCATTTTACTGAACTCAACGACTTGGCTGTGGAAAAGGTACACTATTTTTACTTTTAGTTCAATCAATGAGTCAAATATGTTAATCTTTTAAATTAACAAAGTATAGCAATATATTATTAAATACCATTAACAAATATATACTGGTATTATACATCAATGTATAGATAATTATTGCAAAGTGGTTTTAAAGGCCCTATGTAATTTTAAACTTGTAACTTTTGACTTATACTACAATCTTGACTACTATTTTGTGGCTGTTAAATATGTACGTATACATCGAAAAATACATTTTGAAATTTTGGACGAGGCCCAAACTCCAACTAGTCCCATCAAGAATGAACATGTTCATTCTTTTCATGGAACATACATGTAGTATGACTTTTGATCATGTGTCGTATCTGGAAATGATGGGGGCAAAACTTTATTAACTAAGTAACTTCATTTCCCTTGGATTCGGGCAAGGATGACTTTGCCCAATTGATGTATGTTGGTCTTAATACAACTTTTTAAGTCACAGGAATTAATATTTCAATGATCAAAAAAGTATTTTTATGTAACCTTTTAATACCTGCATGCTGTTTTGACAGTGTCACTTTACAACTTCGTGTTCAGTATCAAGGTACAAGTTATAAACCTATTGTATATTTAAACAGTTAAGGTTTACTTTGTATATCAGTTGGAAACAAACTTTAAAGGTCATGATATCACAAAAACTATGAGTGATATGATCATGAAGGACATTTTTTTAATCAATTAGTAATTGTTATCAATCAATTTTGTTTATAAATACTTGAGCACTTGAGGCACTCTGAGTAGATTTATTTTAAGCAGACATATAAAGACTATTCTCATAGTCCCTATAACACGGGGGATAAGCAAAACGAGGGCGAAGCCACGGACTGCGACTCGCGTAATTCAAAACGAGGTTACAACGCATTATAGCTGAACAATGGCAGTAAGTCCAAACTTAATTTGGAAGGCATGTTAGGATTTGGGGTAGATTATTGGTTTGGATATTCTACAGACTAGCTAGTATGTTCCAGTCGGTGATCAACATATTCATACTCCATCTGCAATGGCATTCTTGGTGCTCGGCTGTCCAATAGTTTAGCATGAACACAAATAAATTCGAAATCTGCCACAAAAAATGTAATTTTGTCAATATCTGTCCCTAATATACCGATTTAAACAAAGGAATCAGAAATGACATCGAATTAATATAATTATTCATGTTCTGTTGTTACAATTACATCTTCGTGTGATATTTGGTAAGCGGAAAACGTACAATTACATAGAAAATTGGAATTTATAATAGTCGCAGTCCATCCATCTGCCCAACGCAGTCCGCGACTCAGTGTTGCTTTATATCTGAAGCTGAACGCAATCACAGCCAAAGGTAGATAGCACAATGTGAGTACAGGTGTGGCCGAAATGGAGCAACTTTGGACAAAATTGAATATAAAGGGCTATTTTAATAGACCTACATCGTGTCTCAATCCATTCTGCAAATATATACAAGCTGTCAAATACAGCTGAAATCATGAATTTATGGTAGCTAGCAATATTGATGGACTGTTGGAAAGATCATCCAAAATTACATTAACTCACCAACTCTCCAATTATTTGATATTTTCCTGATATCTTAAATACTAGTTAATGTACCCTTCCCCAACAGCTTTTATTGCATCATCAAAAAGTTAATTGTTTCGCATTTCTACTTCTTATAAAAAGTCTCACCACTATCCAATTATGTATATATTTAACCCTATCCACAAATTGGTTTGTAATAAACATATTACGTTGTCATCTTGCGCTCGACTGTTCTGCCAAATACGCTATTGAATTGCCATATTTCTAGGTCTTAAACGATACAATATAGCAATTTGGGACATTGATTCAGGTAATAGATATATGTTAATCAACGTAACTTTGAATGATAATCTGGATGCTGACTTTTCTTTTCCTGAAACAATAATAGCGTAGGAATATAGTTTACACTATCTTATTTATTTCGTGTTCGTGGCTGGACTGCGTTACTTAGAATATCAATGGAGGCTGTGTTGCGTTGTTGAAATAGCTTTGTTTACTGGACTGCGTCCACTATGAATGCGCAGTTTGAATCTAATTTTCTCCTCATGAACACATTCTATTATCAAATCATTTTCACGAATTATACTCGGAGCCTCAACTAACCTTTAGATATCAGAAACGTGTTAAAACTCCTTTCAAATGTATAGTAAATTAAATAATATGCACATATTTTACAGGTAAAATCAGAACTTTGCTACTGTTTTAGCTTGATCTGGACAACTGCTTATTTTCTTATCTACAGACCAACAGTAGATACAGAGTAATATTTTGGTCACCGATTAGACACTACGATAGCATTTAAAATACCTGGATTTCTCTATTTTGTCGGAAGAAGCAGAAGGCACTGCAGGATGTCCCTCCATTTAGGCGCTGGGCTGCGGTGTAAAGTTACGCGAGTCGCAGTCCGTGGCTTCGCCCTCGTTTTGCTTATCCCCCGAGTATAATACGCTTTCTACACTTTATCAACCAGAACATTTACTTAGTAGTCTAGAAATTGCAAAAGCATGTGGAGTAATTTTGAACCAACCAATTAATTTAGTTAAATACATTATATTTATAATCTCTATTGAAATAGTTCTCTTTGTCGATAATACAGGTATTTTTATCTGTTCTCTTTTCAGCATGAAAATAAAAATGTAACATTGCCTAATCAAAGCAATTTTGGCTGAATAATCTTTTGAGAAAATGAGGTCCATTAAAGGGGCAACAAGGCCTGTAGAGAGAAAATAGGAAAATTCTAACGTTTTCTGAGCTATCAAGGCAACATTTGGCTTAACATCTTCTTTGACATACCTATTTATTCAAATGTATGGTCTGTGCAATCTCACGTTAAATCACTACAGGGAAATGAAACTCAACATGTCTTGAATTCGGCACAGCAGAATACTACAACACCGAGTGTGATTGAGATCCCGAGTCAACAACGCCCTTCGCCAACCCCAGCATCGTTACGTATGAATGCTTCTCAAGAACCCAAGCCCAATTCTAGATCCAAACCCAATTCCAAGGCCACACAACCCAACCGTAAAGGGGCCTCAAAAAAGCTCCCCGTTAATGCCAATAATAGTCAACAATAGGATAAATTGGTCACAGGCTTTTGGAACGTAAGAGGTTTCCCCAATATATGTAATGATAAGTATAATACACTGTGTGAAATGATTAAATGTAAAAGGTTTGATATACTAGGCATTGCCGAAACTCATCTCATAGGTAGTGACGTAGTTACAGTAGACAACATGGTTTGGTTTGGAAACAATAGATCTAAACATGTGAGAGCTCGTATTGGCTCTGGAGGTGTAGGATTCCTTGTCAGTAGGTCACTTTTAAAAACGTATGATGTTAGCGTATTAAATGACGATACTGAAGGTATATTGTGGCTTAAATTCTGTGCTAAATCAGTTAACTTGTCATCATTTAGTGCCTGTGTGGCTTATCTGCCACCCGAAGGGTGTGTGAGAAGTAACCCAGATGTATTTTTTGATAATCTTTTGACACATATTTATTTGTACCAAGATATAGGTGAATACTTTATATGTACCGATTGTAACGCCAGAACTGGCGATGGTGAAGATTTTATTGCAGGAGTTGACAATCTATGTGATAGAAATGTATTAGATTTTAAACAAAATGCTTATGGTGCCAAATTGCTTGAATTTTTACAAGATGTAAACTGTTGTATCCTTAATGGTAGAAATCATGAACACAACGACTTTACATTTGTTTCAACTCAGGGTCACTCTGTCGTTGACTATTGTATTGTACCCCATATGTCACTGCCTTTGTTTACTAAGTTCAATGTTTTTACCATGTCAAGCTTATGTAATTCAATGGGTATTGTACCTGACATCCAATTGCCTGACCACTCACTTTTGTATTGGGAGTTTAGAATAAGAAATAATGTGGCAAATTGTCCAGGAGTTCAGCTTAGCTCAATTGACCAATCAGTGAGCTATTCAAACTCAAGCAGTGCATTTCACAAACACGATACGCGGAATATACCACGTGACTTCATGTTTACTGACGAAGTCATCCATGAAATCGACGACCTGCTTTTGAGGATTTCCCGAGCGGAACAAACGCAACATGCGTTGGACAACATTTATGGAAATTACCGTAAGCTACTGTCCAATGAAATGGATGGAAAGCTACCATATAAGGTCATATCCCCAGGAGGTGCAAACACTCGGAAATACTTTCGCCCAAATCGACCATTCTGGACCGATGAACTCAATGAACTTTGGGTAGCATACAATAGCGCCGAGAAATCATGGCTCAGAGCACCGCCGAACTCTGCTCAAAAACAGCGATTGAAACAAGACTATATTTGTAAACGAAAGCAGTTTGACATTGTAAAGCGTCGCCAAAAACGCCACTACATGTACAAACGGCACCAGGAATTGATTCGTACTGTCACATCAGACCCAAGGACTTTTTGGAAGAAAATAGGCCAAATTGGAGTTAGTGCAGAGCGATCTAATAGCATCCCAATGGAAGTTTACAATGATAACGGGGATATAATATCCGACAGGGACAAAGTATTGCACAAATGGAAGTCTAATTTCGAATCATTATACACCGATAATTCCAACGAGGAATTCGATAATGACTTTTACACGGAAGCAAAGGATCGGTTAGCAAACAACAGTGTACCTAAGGTTAATCCAGACATAGACTCTAGCCTTCTCAACACTGACATTTCGATATGTGAAATTGAGGCTGCATTTCGAGCAGCCAAGTTAGGAAAGGCTGCCAGCTTAGATAGGATACCTATGGAAGTTTTACTTAACGATCAATCAATGAGGTTTTGTACGTCGTTATTTAACTTTTGTTTCAAGCACAACTTAGTCCCCTCCGAGTGGAATAAATGTATCGTCCATCCAATCCCGAAGGGTGCGAGCACTGACCCCGTGACCCATTAACGTTTCGTGGAATAACAGTTACGTCTTCTATTTGCAAATTGTATAGCTGGATTTTGAATGCTCGACTTACCACTTTCTGCAAGGATAACAACCTAGTTCACGAAGAGCAAAATGGATTTATGAAGGGTAAAAGCTGCCAAGACCATATTTTTACTCTTTCGTCCATAATCGACCATAGGATTAAACGTAAGCAGAGCACTTACGTTTGTTTCGTGGACGCGAGACGAGCCTACGACAAAATTGATAGGAATTTATTATGGTACAAGCTTAGCCAAATAGGCATATCTGGCCGCTTTATGGGCGCACTTCAAGCAATGTACAATGACGTAAGGAGTTGTGTGAGCATCAATGGACACTTAACGGAATCATTTGAGGTTGCATCCGGCCTTAAGCAGGGCTGTTTAACATCTTGTTTGCTCTTCAATCTATATATAAATGACCTTATCGATGATGTAAAATCTCTGAATTCGGGAGTCGACGTCAACGGAGAAAATTTTTCCATCCTTGTCTACGCTGACGATATAGCATTTATAGGCCCAACTGAAGAGGCAGTGCAACGTATGTTGGATGTATTACGCGCATGGTGCTTTAAATGGAGAATGTCATTAAATACTTCGAAAACGAATGTGGTGCACTTTCGACCAAAGTCCGTACCCCAAACTAACTTCGCATTTAAATTTGATAATCATGACATCAACGTTAAACCATCGTACAAATATCTTGGACTCAGTTTCAACGAACACTTGGATTATTCTCTGATGGCGAAAGCAATAGCTCAATCTGCCAGTCGTGCGTTGGGTCTTCTAACAGCAAAGTATAAGTCCTTTGGAGGCCTCCCTTATAAGTGCTACACGAGATTATACGATTGTCTAGTGCGACCAATACTGGAGTACGGTGCTGAGGTATGGGGACTTAAGCAACATTCCTGCATTAATGCTGTGTTTCACAGAGCATGTAGAATTTTTCTTGGAGTTGGGAAATACACACCAAACCTTGCAGTGAGAGCAGAAATGGGATGGCATTCCCCCTACGAACGGCAGATCCGGTCAGCGACTCGATACAGAGATCGCTGCGAAGCCCTTGAGCGCAATAGGATACCTCGCCGTATTTACAAGTGGAACCAAGATTATGCCTCTCCTAGAACCAAGAACTGGTATTACAACCTGCATCATATTATAACCAGTGATCTCTCACTTCCGTTTGATTCTCCACTTGGCCACGTATCTGCCGAACTAGAGGCAATTGTCTTCCAAAGCTGGCAACAAACCATTTGGAACGACGGAAACCGCCCAGCAGGCCAAGGAAATAAGTTAAGAACATACAGAACTTTCAAGCTGGATTTACAACCGGAATTCTACCTAGCATCTCATATTTCCATTCGCGACCGGAAAGCATTAGCCTCTTTGAGATGTGGCGTTGCTCCGCTACGTTTGGAAACGGGGCGTTACGAACGACTGTCAGTTCCAGAGAGACTGTGTTATTTTTGTGATGTTAATGCCATTGAAAATGAACACCATTTCTTGTTAAAATGTCCGTTTTATTCTAGTATCAGAAATGATTTATTTTCCAAGGTTCAGAATAAAATTACAAACTTTCAAAGACTTACTGACGATGAGAAGTTCTATATCTTGATGTCAAATCATGAGATTGCTGTTTATGTTGCAAAGGCCTGTGGCCAAATGTTTAAAAAAAGAGAACATAAACTGTACAGTTAATTTTGATGAATATCGTTTTATACACAGTGTCTTATAGGCCGAACACGGCCTGGGGTAAGAATATTGAATGCTTTTAATACGTTTGAATTTTATTACCATTTGTATTTTAGCTACATGTTTGTATTAATATATGCCCAGGACACTTTAATAAATTTTACAAATACAAATACAAATGGATAAACTATTGATTTCAGCATTAAGAAGTGTAAATTCAGTTCAAAGCTTCAAAAAGGAAAAGGAAATCCACTTTTATATTTTTAAGATCCACCATGTTTCAAGAGGGATGTCAGCTGAAATAATGTTTATCTACAAATCTAGGGGGTTTGTTTTAGTAGATAATAAAAAAAGATGTAAGTCTTGATGAAATATCCAAACTTAAATATATTTTGACACTGGTCCATAATCGTTGCACCTTTAAAGTCAGAAAAATTATCATGTTGCATAGTTTTTAATTATTAGTTTATATATTGGGGTGGTCAAATTGTTGGAATGTCAAAGATAAAGTGGTTTTGTTTAATGAAAACTGAGTATAACGATCCACCATTTTGAATGAGAAGGTCACAGCTACTAATCCTCTCTTGATGCTGACAAGTGTTAATGTAACACATTATGTATTGGATCAGTAAATATTTTATTGTGGAACCACTTTTATGAACTGTGTATATATTTTGTAGAATGGTGGGAAGATCCTTTTTGCAACAGATGACTGGTTTGCAGTTGCTGAAAATTTGATCAAGGTATGGAAGAGTACACCCATATTAGAGTCTATATGAGAACACTATAGTAAGAGATGCAAATGTGTTCAAGCCATGTTTCACAGAGAGAAGTAATGAAGCATTTGAATGGTTTGTTCAACAAAGAAAAAGAGCTTGACCTTTTTCAATTATAATTTGTTATTTGCCTACCATTTAATGTTATATCGCATTCTGGATGTATGACTTACCTCCTGTTGTTGCTTTGTATGCACATGTATACATTTTATGTTTCCTTGTCAGCACATGTATGCAGTATATGCTGCCTTGTCAGCACATGTATAGATTATATGTTACCTTGTCAGCACATGTATACATTATGTGTTGCCTTGTCAGCACATGTATACATTATGTGTTGCCTTGTCAGCACATGTATACATTATATGTTACCTTGTCAGCACATGTGTACATTATATGTTGCCTTGTTAGCACATGTATGCAGTATATGTTACCTTGTCAGCACATGTATACATTATGTGTTGCCTTGTTAGCACATGTATGCAGTATATGTTACCTTGTCAGCACATGTATACATTATGTGTTGCCTTGTTAGCACATGTATGCAGTATATGTTACCTTGTCAGCACATGTATACAGTTTATGTTGCCTTGTCAGCACATGTATGCAGTATATGTTACCTTGTCAGCACATGTATACAGTTTATGTTGCCTTGTCAGCACATGTATACATTATATGTTATTACAGTATATGTTTTCTTGTCAGCACATGTATACATTATATGTTATTACAGTATATGTTTTCTTGTCAGCACAGGTATACATTATATGTTTCCTTGCAGAGTGCACCTGCTGAGTGGAAGCCTGAAGCATTCACAGAGTTTGGAAAATGGATGGACGGCTGGGAGACAAGACGCAAGAGGAAACCTGGCCATGATTGGTGCATCATTCAGTTGGGTATGTACAATAAGGGTAGAAAGAAAATGTTATGTTTAAAAGATAAATCAAGCAAAATCTGCAAAGATAAATCCATGAATTAGAGGACATACAAGTATATGTGCTTTTATGGCAAAGGAACTACAGTATGCAACTGTTGCAATAGCAACATGATAGATTTTTGGGCTATTTAAAAGATTGGTTGGTTGAAATAAAAATGCTGTTTGTTTCAGGTGTCCCTGGTACAATTCATGGTTTTAATGTTGACACATCATACTTCACAGGAAATTTTGTTCCAAAAATATCCATCCAGGCTGCTAGTTTAGATAAAAGTGAGTTGGTTTTTGTTTGTTTATTTTTATGTCACCACAAGAAGTGGTGACATTGTTATAATCTCTTTTGTGGCAGTTGTTTGGTGGTTGGTGTTTGTGGCAGTCGTTTGGTGGTTGGTGTCTGGACTCTGGAATCTGTAACACCATTGGGTGGTTGGTGTCTGTAACAAATGGCGGGTGGTGACAATTTGCATGTTAATGCCTTGATTATTTATTTGTTTGTTGTGTGTTAATGCTTAAAACTTTTAGAACACAGAATGATTTAATCCATGTCACTGTATACAGGGTAACCCCAAAAATGTATCTCTAATTTAGAAAAGAACTAGAGGGCTGCATTTTGTAGTCAACCTTTTTTAACATTTCTTTCAGGTAGATCAATAATATCAATCACAAATTGCAATACTCTGGCATATCATGTTAAATTAAAAATAAATTATCTTCTATTTTCTATTCAGTGTTACCAGCAAGACCAGAGCAATACAGAATATGTATTTGTATATGTATATAAATGTATGTAAATGTATATATATTTATATATGTATATTCCAGTGTTACCAGCAAGGACCAGTGCAATGGGGACTAAATGTTCCCCAGAAGATCTGGAAAATATTGCATCATTCAAATCTGAGGTGAGTTGGAAATTATTTTACCATATTAGTTAGTATAAAAACACAGAATGAAATCCTGAGCTAAGGGCTGGTGTGAAAAAGTCAGTCCACCCCAGTGGGGATCTAACCCACGTCCCCTCGCTTTCCGTGCAAGTGCTCTCCCACTGAGCTACAGGACCGACTGGCTTTTCCAGATCAACATTGCATATATAGCATTGCAGCCATGTCTTCCATTTTTCGCTTTATTTTTTATTTTATGGTTTGGACAAATTATACATTGGCAAATGTACGGAGAAGAGGGCAAAATATTCTGTGATATACTGTACAACTAAAATGGATTAGTTCAAAGTTATATAAATCTATAGTACTGTAGTATATGCTTGGTTGAAATATATACTGATGTTTCAGGATTGGACCGAATTAGTGCCAATGAGCAAGTTAGAACCGGGCTTTAAAGGGAGCTGCAATAACTACTTCAGAGTAGACAATCAACACATCCAGAACCAGACACGCTGGACCCATCTACGTATTAATAGTTTCCCAGGCATGTCTATACTTGAATGATCTTTCAAAACACAAAATATTTTGTCTTGAATAATTTAAAAGCTTGTTGGTTTTCTTTTTAATCATGACAATTTTTCTATTTTGTTCCAAAAATAATTTTTTTAATGCACCATATATTTCTCCCATTAAATCTGATCACTTATTGACATTTCAGTGTTCATTGGTGGTAAATGTATACTATTCTAGTATTAAGTTAGGGATTTACAGGTTGACATGAATGTTGAATGTATTTCAGATGGTGGTATTGCTAGACTGAGAGTGTATGGTCAGGCCAACCCTGACTGGAGCAAGATTTCACAAGAGAAGGTAAGTAGAGAGTAACCAAGGTGATGAGTGTCCATAACAATGTACACCTCCCTAAACCCTTTTCCATTATGGGGTACCAGGATATGAGGCAACCATGGCAAATAATCTGCCAACATTTTCACAAAAAATATTTTTGAGATATTTTTTTATGTTTTTCATTTATTTAGCCAAATTCAAAAGTATGTCCCATAGAAGTATGATATACATAATATATCCTCTAAGTTTTCCCTTGACTATTTAAATTTGCCTTGTCTACTTTTGGATCCTGGTTACCCCACTAGTAGCAAAGGCTCTCCAAGTGAACACCTTTATAAGATGTAATATAAAGAAAGGGTGGCAATCTCACTTCATATGGATCTCATATACACATTTTCTCATTCAGGAAATGGACTTATGTGCAATGTTAAATGGTGGTATCTGTATAGGGTATAGTAATGCCTTTTATGGTCATCCGAGACAGATGATTGGTCCAGGACAAGCAGCCTCAATGGCCGATGGCTGGGAAACAGCTAGACGGGTGAGGAATACCTACATTATTACTTCTTTTTTATTAGTGGTATTTTTTAATACTTGGCTTTAGTTATATAATGTCATATGTATTATTATTGTGCCATTTATAATTTTTTTCTAATATCTAAAAGATAAAATTGCTGAGAATTCAGTTTCATCAAGTGATCTTTCTTACAAAAGCAAAATTCTCTCCATCATAGAATTGACTCATTCACTGAAATCTCTTCACTCGCTCATATATTTATTTTAGCTATCATTTATGAAAATGATACATGTTGAACCACTGTATAATCACTATATATAATATATATACTGTAAAGCCCCCCTATAGGGAGCTGGACTGTAGGTGATTACAGGCCTGATGAAAAGGCTATACAAGAACCATTCAGAGAGTGAACTTTTTAAATGTTGCTGAATTTCATAGATTATCCAGAGGCAAAATTATTGATACCACACCACAATTTTTTCAGTTGGACCGCCCATCCATCTTGGAGGCTGATAACAGAGGAATTCTCCAAGTGCCAGGATGTGAGTGGGCTGTATTTAGACTTGGGCATCCTGGCACCATAGAAAAGGTATATGCAAACCCTGTAAATAGATACTCAGGCCAACATTTTTGAAGTTTATCATGGTCCTTTGAAATGTAAATTTAGATAAATTAACTAATAAATCTCTGATTTTTTTTATTTTCGATTAAAAGCTGTTTAGTTAAACACAATAGGAGACATATTGTTATGGTCTCCAACTTTTTTGTGGACAGTGTCTGGTTGTGGGTGTTCAGTGTTTGTTGGTTGATATCCGGCAGTCGGTGTTCAACATGTGTAACAAATAGCAGGTGGTGACATTTTGTATGTTAATGCCTTGTTGTAATTTTCTTTCAGATTGAGGTTGATACCACTCATTTTAGAGGCAATTATCCAGACTCTTGTAAGATAGAAGGTATTTACTTTTGTAAAATGATGTTAAATTATATTTGTGTTTGAAGAGAAGTGATGGGGAAGGGAGTACTAGTCAGTTAATGAAATGAAATCATTGAGCCAAGGGCTCATGTGAAAAGTTTGAATGCTCTATTATTCATTTCATCAGAGCCATATAACATGCATGTCTCGGTTACATGATCGGCTAACTCTAACATGCCTAGTTTTTAGATTTTTTGAAAATAGTGAAAAATTTCATATTATTGAAAATAGTGAAAAATTTCATATTAATTTTTTTGGTGCATGTTTGGGATGTACAGTATACAGGCTATATTTCCCGAACCTGTGCTCCCCAGGCACACTATATATATTCCCAAACATTTTGCACCAAGAAAATCATCAGTTATGAAATGCTATGTTGTGTTTTATTCACATATCTCACTTTTCATTTCCAGGATGTCTTAGCAGTGAAGCTGATGAAGAGAAACTAGTATCTCAATATGACAATGCCTCTGTAGCATGGCAAGCTTTAATGCCTGTACAAAAACTCAGCGCTCATAAGAGACATATTTATTCTGGAGATGAACTCTACGATGCTATGCCAGTGAGCCATGTTCGTATTACAATAGCCCCAGATGGTGGACTCAGTAGGCTGAGACTGTGGGGACATAAAGCAACTCGTTATAACTTAGCAAAATTATAACAAACTGCTGTACCTCACTGAATATTATGTTTCAATTTCCTATTGACTGCATTTATACAGCCTTAGCCCCAATCATCTTTGTTCACTCAGCTACTGAGTGTGCAGAGATTAGTGCCTATTGCATTATTGGCTTGCATTTAGTTTTAGTCATTAACTTATTACATATTGGAGGTGTCCATTCCTTAGTTCGTCTGTCTGGGCAATAACTCAAATACCAGTTGATGTATTAATTTTCAATATGGCTGTTAAATTCAAAATGGCCACCATTTTTCATAAAAATGTGATATTTGATAAGTCAAATGCCAGTCAACAGTTCTGGTTCTTTATATACTGATGCCAAAGGGACATGGGACTCTGCTCAAGAAGAGATTTCCAAGTTAGCTGCTGAATTCAAAATAATTCCCATTTATTTGTAAATAATGAAATCTTTGATACCGGCAATACCAGTCGACATATTTGGTTCAAATGTTTTATGCTGATGCCCTTGGGACAACTTACTGTGCTCAAGAAAGAATTTTCAGGATGGTCGCTGAATTTTTTGAAAAAATGTAATCTTTGATAACTCAAATACTGGCCAACGGAGTTCGTACAAATTGTATATGCTGATGCCCAAGGGATTAAAAACTGCTCAAGTATGAATTTTCAAGATGGCTACTGTATTCTAAAAATAAAATGTTATCTTTGATTCAAATTTTATAATGCTGATGGCTTATGCACATAGACCTCTGTTTGAGAAGGGATTTTCAAGATGGCCACTGAATTCAAAATGGCCACCATTTTTTATAAAAAATGGAATCTTTTATAGCTGAAATACCAGTCAATGGATTTAGTTCAAATTTACTAATACCCTTAGGACAGAGGACTGCTTTGTTTGGTGAGATTTGCTACTCCGTAGAGTTGCCGATTCTCTAGTTCTGGGGTTTAGTTAAAATAATCTAGCTTTTATGTAACGTACAAGTAGCAATAACATGTCACATAAAGAAAAAGGTAATGCATTTATATATGAGATTTAGTCATAATATGGTTTATATGGTTAAATGTACAAGTAGCAATAACACATTAAGTACTTGAAATGTTAGAAAAACATCAGAAACTCATAGATATGTGGGATTGAATTAAGATTTTACACAAATATAAGTGCCTTATTTTGAACTGATTAGTGATTCAACTGCTGAACAATAATTATTAATTAGCCAGTTGACTATTATATGCACGAGGCCTAGCTAATTTTAGTATTTAGAGTATTAGTATGATTGTCAAGGTAACTACTGAAAATGTAGGTAGTTAGATGGATTTTAAGGCAGTCAAGGAATCAACATTTTTATATATCAAGTCTATTGACTGATAGATAGGTCAATATTATAATTTATACTGAAATATTCCAATTAAATCAATCATGAAACTATGCAATGTGCCTTGAAGCATAGATTTGATCATGCCTTTATATTCACTCACCTAGGTCAGACTCATATTCAATAAAACAAAGCAAATAATTTGTATAAATAATACTTATATTTATACGAAACGGTATCATATAAGTACAGTTCATATGTGAAGCATTTGATGATGATTAGAGTACATTTAGATGAAGCACCCCATTTTTGGACTATTTCCAACTTATTACAGCCATTGTATTATCTGATATTAAGGCCAGGGTGCATGTTGGAATTTTTTGGCAATTTTGAAAAGTAAACCACTGAATATTCTAGTTATTCAAACATTCTGAAGAATTATCAACCCTCAATTAATGGTTTAGGTACACTCATGCATCTTTTGTGCAAGAATGAAAGATGTAGATGATGTGTGAAATGAGTTATGTTTATCTGAAAATAGCACAATATGGTCATCAAATTTCATCAAAGTGCACCCTGACCTTAACATTGTATTGTAAAATTACACACTGTAAATTGATTTAATTTGGTGCTAGGGCTATTTAATTTGGTGTATTTGGCAAATTTTGACTGTTATTTAATTTGGCGGATTGACCCTATGTTTTTGGATTTTCACTGTTTTATCATGGATGTTGACACATGAAAAAGTCACTGGACAAAAATCCATGGAGATTAATGGGGATTTTTCAAAATTGCTGGAGACTAAATTTGGTGGTTTTTATCAATCCAACAAATCCGCAAAATAAAACAGCCATCAAATTAAAGCAATTTACAGCAATGCATAAAATGAAATATTTAGTACAATATGTTTTTATAAGTTACATTGTTATTGTATTTTATATTAAACGATCTCTTGGGAATAAAATAAAATATTAACAAAATAATTTTGTTTATGGTTCAATAAATGGATTCAAAGTTTACTGTTATCACAATCTAGCAAATCTAATAAACCCAAATGTTGACCTTTGAGATTTTCATGCTTTGCCCACGATTACAAAAGGTTGACCAATAAGTTATTCCTACCATACTATTATAACACCAAATAGGATTTCAGTCCCATCAATGGACACCATATAGGTTGAATATATTTCTTACATATCTAGTTCCTATTTTGTTCACCAGTGGTCCCATCTATATTTTTAAGGTTTTTTGTTTTCTACCATGTTGTTTAAAATTCGGCACTTTTGTGTTCTTTCAACCAGAAATAAAAATAGAGATGCAACCATGGTTCAAACCCAAAGGCAATGTAAGAACAATGCAATGCACTAATGAATTCAGAATTCAGATTCCCAGAAAAAACTGTTTGAAAACTGTTTCAAAGAGAAGAATGTTCATGGCTAAACTTTTATCCCATTGTACTCTTGAATTCTGAGAATTTGTGTCAAGAGGTGTGGCCCATTTTATTTTATAATAAGATCTGAGGCAGCTGATCTCATTGTCCTCAATAACTGACTACTTTTACTCAAACAATCTTTGGAGGAATTTGAATATCCACATCCACACAAAGATTGGAAATGATCATGTACCATTAACAGGTAGTGCTGTGGTATGGGAATGTAGGATTGAGTATAAAGTTTATTTCTGTATGGTCTTCAGCTGATCTTGAATGTTATCCATTGTTTCCATACTGAAAGAGATATGTTTGATCAATAATAATATTAATGTGTTTTCAGTATGAAATTATAACAAGTTTTTTATAAATAGTTTTATATCTTACAAAACTGGGTGAAAATATGCATTTACTCGCAATTTCAAATATAACATATTAAAATATTATTTTATGAAAGTAAGTGAACTGTTGAAATTGTTGCAGTAATAATAGAGAATTTACCATGGCATTTAAACTTCAAAATTAACTCGATATAAACCGTAACTTTTAGAAAAATAGGCACACTTTCAGACCAAAGAAATTTGAGTGTATCTTACCTTCTCTCTATAGCTTCAGCCCTGCAACAAAATTTACATAAATTATCTCATTACCACTTTAAACAAAAATGAAATTCTAAATATTTTGATTCATCACTTTAATAATAATCATAATCATATCATAAAAATGGTCATCAATTAAATGCATTTCCCCATGTGAAATCCTAAGTCCTCATAAATGGGCTTCCATGGGCTTTTCTTTTGAAATTATTCCAGAAATTATATTTAGGCCTATTTTTAAGTGTTGAATCAAAGAAGCCATCACAATCAACATTTTGAATCTTCCACTAAACAGTATTGAAACTGACAAATCATTTTAGACCAATCAAAAATACCCTCTTGTTTCAGATAAGATCTCAGATACCCTCATAGAGCAATTTTGGGTATTTTCCACTTTTGTACCACATTACTTTTTAAACATGTACGTGTACTTACTGGAATTGTAGTTGGCTGCTTACAATGCTCATTTTCTTCATTGTCTGGAAAGGAAATATTAAAAAATGATTATGTCATTTATGTCATTATATTTTACTTAGCATGTGCTTACTCAAGTCATTTGGTTCTAGACTTAATGTTTTTAGTCTCTCCTTGTGAGACTTAATTGAACAAAAATATACAAACCATATAATTGTACTTAAAGTCATTGAACTATTTTCTTGGAAAGCAACAAGGAGATTCACAAAACAATGTAAATATTTTACAGTAAATGAGCCATTACAATAATTTTAATCCACAGACTACATGTAATTCCTTTAAAGTACATCTTGAAAATTATAATATAAATTAATACTAAACCTACAGCCAAAGAATTCTCAATAGCAGATTCCTGGTATGCAAAGTTCTTTGCTGCTTGTGCCAGAAGCTGAAATCAGACAAATTCATACATGCAAAATGTCACAATGTATGATTTAAATCTATACATGAACGAACATGAATATGAGTTTGCCAAAAAAGGCTGTGTCTTATTTGACCTACATTTATGTACCATAAATAAATCTGTGACACGCTTGTCCCACTGCTCATTCGTAACTAATCTATCATGTTTCCCACAATACAAATAATATACATGATATCAGAGACATATGTGTTTTATATGTCTCTGATAATATAAACAATGATAGACGATGAATAGCCTAGACTTTGCTATAGTTCATCTTCAGTTTGGTCACTAAAAATAACATGCTGTCTTACATCATTTGATTTTGATCCCCTGAGGATCTGTCTGGTAAGTGAGCCCATCTCATTCATGTTAGCATGGATCTTATCAGATAGCCTTGTTTTCGTTTCTTGATTCCAACCACTAGACATGTTGAGGATTTGTTGGTAGAGTTGGGTAACAATCTGCTGTATGTATTCATATGTCTGTGAGGCGTTTCAAGGATTCTGGAGTACAATTGATCAGACAATTACAATATAATAGGTTCAGCTGGAAAATAACATTTTGGGAAGAATTGCTATACCTGCACAGTGCACATGATTTGGTAGGAGTTCAATGGTAACTCCAGGAAATAATAATATTTCACGCTTTCTATTTTTCCAAATTTTCTTTTGAAGTTTCCAGACAACACAGGAGCTACCAATGACCTGTTACCAAGTTTACTAAAAGTAGACAATGTAATTTCCTGAAAAAGGAAGGAAATACACACATGCCTTCATACTTAATTTTGTATAAGAAAATAACATGTGCAGGTATAGCAATTTTTCCCAAAATGTTATTTTCCAGCTGTACCTAATGGAAATGAGATATACAGTAGATAATTTATACATGTAGGCAAAAGGCACATGCGATGGAATATAGTCTACAATAGAGTAGAGTTATCATGGAAAGGAAATCCACCAACCCCAATTTTTACACGTATTTTTTAGTTCAAAGTTGAATTAGTTTACTCGAGTCTCTAGCTTACAGCTAGACGAAACTTCATTGATTTCGTATGTACTGTGCTACACGCACCTACACGCACCTAGAACTCATTTTTAATAAATTTTATAAATATTTTTAAGAATATTAATCATATTTAGAATGGAGCGTTGCTTGTCTGGATTTAGATATTTCAAAATTTCATTTCGGAGTTTGACACAAGGTGAAATTTTCTCGCTGCAGCTAAAAATGGCTTCCGGTTCTGGACGTGAATAACATTTGAAATTATTCTCGCTTAAAGAAATCAAATATAACAATAGATTCAGACGGGGATGTGAGCTGATGTTCTTCAAATCTATACATAAAGGTATATTTCATATTATTATGCCATATTTACTGTGCGTGTGACACAATGATTTACAATATTTATAATACTAAGGCAGCTCAATCTTCCTCCTCAAAGCCGGAATATAGAGAAGGCTTTGGACCGAAGTAAGAATTAGTCTATTGCAAACCAAATTTGACAGACCTTTTCTTTACAAAATCCAAATAAGTAGGGAAACAGTCCTGATTCTTTATGAAGGCATATTTCTGTAGAACCTTTCTATCATAGTAAAATGTTAAAAAGTGCGTAAAATCATCTAAAACAGCAATTATTCTCATAAATTGTTCAGAATTAATAACACCATTTTTTATTTCCGTAAATGAATAAGAGATGACCTACTTTTACGACATACTTTTTAACTCTCTGTTTACATTCCTCCTCCTCTTTGTACACGTAATCTGTCAGTCTGAGAAGACAAGATATTCAATAAGAAAGCATTTGATATCAGATAGATAAATGATTTTGTTGTTACATTTTGGTCTTTGAATGTAGAAAAAGTAGGTCATCTCTTATTCATTTCCGGCAAATAGATTTTGGTAAGAAAATGAAAAAATATTTTCTATTTTATTTGTTGGATTTTATGGTAATAATTGAATGGATTGGTTTATTTTCACAGGTAGTTAGTGGGTTAGGTGTCGTTTTTTGTTTTTGAAATTAAATTAATGTGCATATATGACAAATTATGTCAGCATTTAGATGGTTGTAATGTGTATTGATTTTTTCAAATAAAATTGCAGATAGATCTACCAGATACAGTAGGCTAACATTTGAAACATCTACATTAATAATCTACAAAAAGGCTAATAAGCCCATTTAAATCAGATATATAGTTAAACAGTCATATAATTTGAATAGAATATACTTAAACAGCAACAGTTGAAAATACATCTACAGTGTAGATGCTGGTTTGGTTTCAATAATAAAACTTCCTGGTTGGCCCATGTACCCTCTAGTCCAACAGACTGAATGAGATTTTTATTTATTTATTTATTTAGATTCAGTCTGAATATTATTCAGACTAAATAGGATATAGTCGAATGTACCCTCCTGGGAATGTTGATATACACTGGAGACGACTGTCAGGCTACCGCATTGACATCACCCCTGTTTACTGTTGTCTGTATCAAATTTAGATGGAAAATAAAAAATTCTCAGTATGAATGTCTTGGAGGCAGTCCCCTATGAATCAGTGATGCTAAACTATTTATATTACTTATAATCACTTAATTACTTTCTAAATCTAATGTTTTCTGTTTACCCCATATTGCAAATAACTTTGTTAGTACAACTGTACATGTATTTTAAATGATCTTTCAGATAGACCCTGTTACTGTGCATCATTGACGTATTTAATTCTGCAGACCATGTGAGGTTAAACATAGATAGGAAGACGAGAGATCACACTGTAAACATTCCACAAAACAACCAATCAATGATGCCTAAAAGAAGCATTGTGAAAGAAGCTAAAGGAAGCTCAGTGCAGTATCACAAGCTTACAAGATCAGACGATGGATTTATTGATACACAGGTGATTTGGGATAATAAAATTTTGAAAAGAATAGAAGGCTTATATGATACATAGAGTATTTTTGGCAATATAATTTACTTACATCTGGGATTAATATATATAAGTATGTATGTTTATCCTAGGGTACATGTATCTGAGTACATGAGTCTGAATGGGTGACTTTTATGAAAAATAAAATTGCTCAATGCATGTATTTTGAATTTAAAAACCTGTTTTCCAAGTATGAGGTATTTATTGAATAGTTTGAATTAATATTCTTATTAGATATACCATTTGTGATTTATATTTCAGTTTGAGAAGCCTCCTCCCAAAGTGCCATACAAAGCCATTGCCCTGGCTACTGTACTGTTTCTTGTAGGAACTATCCTTCTAGTCATTGGAGCACTTCTTCTCTCAGGAAGATTCGTAGATCCAAAAGTAAGTAAAATCAGTGTAGTCTGATTGAAATTAGATTATCTTATCTTAAGATAGCTTTTTACTTAGAAGATTAAAGGTTCATTTGTACATGTTACCTATTTTTAATATTCCACTCTCAAAATGTTTCCTTCTCATATTATATTGCTTGGTATGATTTAAGATAAATTAAAGTCATACATGACAATTAATACATAGAAAGTAGATCATTGACTCAAACTTATTTTAAAGCTTTGTCCCTATGCCTCCCTTCAAATTAAAATACTTATCATCAGATTACAATCTCTTACAATCGGGTCATACTCCTCCAGCTTGTTAAATCATCATGGCCATTTAGCTTTATTTAGACTTTTACTTTGTTTTCATTGTATAATGACAAAAATATGATTACATCCACTTAGATTTAATTTTGTGTGAATGTGTTTCAGTACAATGATAGGACCTGGCCTGTACTTATAATAGGGATCATCATGTTCCTGCCTGGGATCTACCATGTGAGGATAGCATACTGTGCATATATGGGCTACCAAGGATATGACTTTGATGACATACCAGAGTTTGAATAGCAATATTTCAGTCTCATTTTTATATTGCATATCAAATATGGAAAAAGAGATTTGGTAGATTATTTTCTTCAACAACGAATCATTTGTGTCACTTCAATGAATCTGTTACAATTGAGTTACATGAATACTTTCCTCAGGGATTATCCACTATTCAAACATTATGGATGCTGATGGTGATTTTGAAATGGATTGGACTATCCAGCAAATTATTTAATTTTAAATATTATTCTTAATTGGTGATCAAGCTACACAACATTTAAGTCAATGTACTCACATATTATTAAGCAATTCAAGATAAGTGTGAAATACCAAAATATGAGACCATGACCAGAGTGGATCTTTTAAACATGTGGGACTGTTCTACAGTTTTGTATATACCATATTTATCCATTATTCTAGTCCTATATATATATATGTAAATACAAGTATGATCATATTTGCAATAAATTGTGGGAATTGTACATACATGTAGTACTATAATGGGCATTATTGAATATTTGTACAGTGAAATATGTGAGTGAACACCAACTCTTAAATGTGAACTCTTCTATGATTCAATGAACACCTACTGAAATCTATCAAAAGTGTTCACGTTTAACAGGTGAAGGGTTTACTTTATACTGTAACTTGGGTTATTTGGCACTTTTTAGTTACTTTATATAGTATTCGTGACTTAAAAGTATCATAGACAATATCATTGAATCTTATTACAGAATAATATTGAAGACATTTAAATTGGTGATTTTGTTCACAATTTGTGAATATGAAAATTAAAGAAGGCATCATATAATGATGAAGAAGCCTATGTATGCATGTTAATCTGTAAGGTTGTATATGATATTTACAGGTACATACATTTTTAGATTTTTAAAATTTCTGATCAGTCGCCATTGGTCAATTGTCAGATAATTTTTACCACAATTTAAAGTTTTTAATTGTCAACAATAAGTTGTATTAAAAGGATTCATTCGTTCATTCACTCATTTTTATTGACTGATAGCATATCCCTTAGGAACATTGATCATCTCAGACTTCTTTTAGAAATATATTTCATTCTAGAAATAGTTAAATAATTGTAATTCTTGTTTATTATGTTGCCACGATCAAGTGATGACATACCGCTCACAGTTTTTTTGTTGGTGTAACAAATTTTGTAACCATTTGTAATAACTTTGTAATAAGTTGTGTTCGAATTAATTTTACTATAATCAGTTTTAAATGAATAAACGCAAGGAGCTCACTTTTCTGACAATACCTGTTACTATGGTAATTGATTAGGGGACTTTTGCAACATATTAGTATTAATTCAAAGCACTGGTGATCCACTCGATTACGCTGGTTACCAAAACGAACCGTCGAAGGCACGATTTTTCTTTTTTCCTTATTTCACGCGTTGCAGGCAGAATCCCCACGACGTTTTTTCTCACAACGTGCATCAGTATCATATGTTTTAGAAAATGTACATTTTTGCGAAAAAATAGCTCAGAGGACAACAGAATCGTCGATTTACTTCCTCACTTAAGTTACATAAACGGTTTTTCGAAAAACAGTTAAGATCTGCACTTTTAACCCATAGTAGTAGATAGTAATCTAGTATATTTACATATACAGTTATACACTAGGCATTACCAACATTAGTACACTGGGGGATTATTTAACATTTTATAACGTATGCCAACTGGCCAAGGCCTCAGCAACTGGCCATCGTCGGGTTCCACGCTCAATCATTAGGTTCTATCATAGGTCGGAAGCTTGTAATGAAGTAAGAAGCCACTGACCCCCAACTCGACGTACAGGCATCCAACCAATGAAGCAACCAAGTAATCTACCAATAAACCAACCAATCAGCAAAACAAACAATCATCGATCATGTAAATTATTCAGGCAATAAAGCAACTGACATCGTACAGATAAAAAGACCGTTTCAATATACGCGTGCATAATTCTCCCAGATTGGTATATATCACTTAGAAATCGCCATCGTAGGAAACAAATCGAAATCCTGTCAATCGCTCAGGCAATAAATCAAGTAACGGCATCATACAACAGACAGATAAAATGACAATTAGCATTTCAATAGTCTATATCGTTCGCAAATCTTCCTGATGTTTAATTTCTAAACTAATTGCCCCTCCCTCCATGACTTATTTTGTTTATGATTACAGCTGTGATATGGGATTTTCATATCTGGTATACATTTTTTTTTTTATAAAATCAAACTTTATTAATAAACATATTTTACATTACATGCATAGAATTAGATAAAATACAATTATAGAAATTTCAAATTACATTACATCTTTCTGATCATTATTTCATTATCAAAAATAGCTTTTACATTACTAGCTGTATTGACCCTTTTTTAAGTCATGTATAGCTTTTTTAATTACCAATGTTTTAAGTAAATCTATTTTTTTACCAATTGCTTTTCCAACTTTTTGATCATTTGTAACATTTACATCATTCCAAATTGATTTAATACAGTCACAATTGATAAAGAAGTGGTCACTGTCATATTTTGATGTGCGTTGCAAAAGTTACAGATGTCAGAGTTTTCTATGTTACATTTCTTCAAATAAATATTTTGAGGGTAAATACCATGTAAAATTTTCCATTGAATTACCAAAAGGGTAGTATCCGTTGTACATTCAAAAAATTGAGACCAGACTTTATCGTTTAGAATCTCACCATTAAATTTTATGTCACACTTTCTCTCTAAAACAATTTTTGTTCTCACAATTCTTGTGTTTAAAAGATGGCTCTCAATGCCTTTAAAAAAAATTTTGTACAAGGTGTTTCCATTTCATATTTGATAAGGAGATCTTGTGTTAAACATGCTTTAAGTGCATTATATATTGAAGAATTGTTTGGCCATTTCTCGCTATTTTCTGGACAATGTTATCATAGGCTAACATTTCCCTATCCTGGACAACATCTGAAATATATGTAATGCCCTTTTCAATCCTGAGTTTTCAAAAAATAATGGAGAATTATTGAGAGTTACATTTTCATTGTTCCAAATAATGCTCTCATTTTTAAAATCATTGTGTTTTAACCATACATGTAATACATTTTTATAAAAATTACTCAAGTTATGCAAACCTTCTATGTTAGTCTCAGATTCTATCAAAATCTATGTTTGAATTAAAAATACTGAGTCCATTACCCATTTTTCCATACATGTACATGCCGGGGAAACCTCTCCAGTGACCATTGCCTCTTTCTTGCAACTTTTTAACCCATTGTGTTGTATAAGCTATTTGTAAATCTTTAGCGTTTATCATTTTTAACCCTTCATATTTATATTCTTGTAGGTACATCCCTGTTCACTTTGTCAGGAATCTTTTTCAATTCATCCTCTTTAAATCTGCCTTTTGCCCAGATAAATTTAAAATTCATTGTATTAATTCTACTCAAAAGTTTGTCAGGTATGTATCTGGTGTACATAATATTTTAAAAATTCCTCTACCTCATATAGATTCTTATGATAAAATGATGTCGTTTGAATACGGCGGAACAATGTCTACTTTGAAGGCTTTGCCGTATTTTATAGTCAATTACAATGAGTCAATTCATATTAGGGGGGGGGTGCAACTTACTTTTACATTTGGTCATTCGGATAACAAAATTGCACCAAGATCTATATATCACATGCTGAGAGAATTAGGGTTCGGTAGATATTGATTTGACTTCTCGATCCGTCGGGAGCTAACTAATGAGTGGAATCTCACTCTGGCTGATACTCAGTTGACCATTTACCTTTAATTAATGCACTAAAATGCTGAAACACACTTTGTATATTTGAATTTACTGGATGATATTGTTCAGTGTGTACATTAACATAGCCAAAGTCCGGCGGACCCAGTACCATGCCAAAGCCACTGTAAATGCGTATTCCAAGTTTTGAGATATGCCACTATTACACAGTCCAATATATTCTTTAATTAGACTCATAGTTATAATCAAATATCATTTATTCGTTCAATATATGTTGATACATAACATAAAGTATTGAGTAAATCATCAAATTGAGAAATGTCCTTTCAGATAAAAGTATTAATATGAGAATACACAATATTTGGACTGTGTTTATTATCAAAGATGTCTGCGCCCAGTATCAAAATTAAATTTTAAAAATAGTACTGGTTTTAGCGATATTAAGTGTAATGCCAATTGTATGTGGCACTGAAATGAAGCAAAAAAGATGAGTGGTAAATTAGCTCCAAGTAAAAGTACAATTTATGTCGGAAATCTTCCATTTTCACTGACAAACAACGATTTGCATAAAATATTTGAAAAATATGGAAAAGTGGTGAAGTAAGTATCAGATTACACTCTGTTAAGCATGATAAAAGGCAAGAAGTTTAGTTAGAAATAAAAGAGTTATCTCATGAATGGGACCCTTACATGGCTCCCAAAAGGTAGAAGACACTAAATGGTGTGACACTATAAGCTGAATTTTGTCCACATAGAGCATGTGCACAATACTAAAGACATGTAAAATTGAACTGTCAAAAGAACTGAAATATACTTACCAGCTCGCCTCTTCCGGAAGTTATGATACGTTATGGTGTAACTACGGTAATTAATTTTAAAATATTGAAAAAAATCACAAAATACAAGTTCTGAGGTATATATCGCCATTTTTAAGCGAATTAGCCCATACTATGACTATATAATCGCACCCCCATATACAGATATATATAAACTTCATCTTCACAATAAATTGAGATTCTTTCAAATTTCCATTTTTTGAGATAAGTGCCATTTTCTTACAATTCAAGCCGTAAAAATAGTTGGAAAGTGCTTCCCAGTTGAGGTTAATGGCTTTTATACTTACATTAATGTATGGAGCACTTAAAATGTACTTAGAATCGTATAAATAGCTCTATTCTGTGAGATTTATTTTTGTTTTTATTTTTAAATTTTTCTCACCTCATAATTGAAGAGCTCCGCTGTTGATTTACATTCAGTTACACGTATTTCCTTGAAAATTCGCCATGATTGGAACAAATTATGGTTGGTTTATGTTATATTCATTTAGTTTGTATTTGAATCTAGCTACTTAAACACAAAACATGTCTTCATGTTATGCTAAAGAGCAAAGATCGCGAATTCTAGGTGAAGCCAATTATTTTGCACAAGTCATATCCTGATTGCATCATAGTTACTTTGTACTAGTCACATCCTGATTGCATCAGCCAATTCACGTGATTTACAGTTTACACATGGTTTCAATATACATGTTATACTACTTCCGGGTAGGGTAGTGTTTTTTATACTTTAAAAACGAAGCCATTTCGATCAGTTTTTATAATCCTTGGTAGAACTGAGAGGTATTACAATACATATTTAAATTAATACACATGAGTGTATTTGATGAACTCTCAAAAAATAAAACCCACAATAATATCTTTTTTATTCACAATTTCATGTCATTGTTTCTAACAAGTCGCCTCTTTCTCTCTTTTCTTTATTTTTGTCAACAGTCAAAATCGGAATTTAAAACTTGGTTTCTTTACAAGCTCTGCTTCTGTAAATACTAAATAACATGAAAAATGTTAAACCTTACATCCTACACTTATTTGATAGGAAATAGGCGATCATTGATATCATTTTTGTGCTGTTAAGTGTGGATCTTTTAATTTTTTAGTCAAACTTGATCGCTGATCTCTGTCGATGTGACGTCACGCATTAAGTATGCACGCATGGGCAGTACAATACATAAGGCAATATGGCGTCTTAGGCCTATACATGAGCCAGAATGGAGGTCTGCAAGTTGAAATGAATATGTTTGTTTATGCATCAATCGATCACACATATAATCCAGACAATCTTTCAAATCATATACTTAACATTGTAATGGATTTATTTATTTTGTGAGCTAACGTTCCCTTTAATTTTCATTGGTGAAGCAATGATTTTACCTAAAATGAGTCCCTGTCTTTGCATAGTGATATTTAAAAATCGAGAAGCAAAACCTATGTTGAATATACTGTGTATTGATGAAGTTTATATATAGCCTAGGGGAACGCAAAAATATTGTTATTATATCGGCAAATTCGCTCGAAAATGGTTGTACACCCTAGAAATTGAATGTTGTTGATTTTTTCAATATTTTAAAATTAATTACCGTAGTTACACCATAACGTATCATAACTTCCGGTAGAGGCGAGCTGGTGAGTAATTTCTATTATTTTGACAGTTCAATTTTACATGTCTTTAGTATTGTGCACATGCTTTATGTGGACAAAATTCAGCTTATAGTGTCACACCATTTAGTGTCTTCTACCTTTTAGGAGCCATGTAAGGGTCCCATTCATGAGATAACTCTTTTATTTCTAACTAAACTTCTTGCCTTTTATCATGCTTAACAGAGTGTAGTGTACCTTCTGATCTGTTTATCCTCTCGTCTATGCAGGCAAACTTCACCTATTTATTAGAAATACAAATAAGATGTGTTCTGTCTGGGCTTCCACTCTTTAGAATATGACCGTTTAGTGGGGTAAAGGAGGGGGGGGGGGGTGGGGACTGCACAATGAACACTTTCTTCTCAATACTGATTAGAGGTTATAAGGCTGAAATTGTGGTAAATCTTTTGACTCACAGTTTCATCCCTAGTTTTATGTGGGTATATTTTTTTGGTTTGGGTTATTATATTTCAGTTGATTCTCAATATTATTTTATTCTTGAATCACAGCCAAAATCACTAACAAATCATAGATTTTCTTCACTTTAGTTACAGTCACTTGATGCAGTCCATCCACTAGTTCAACAAGTTAAACCTGGCTTTCATTTATTAATCTGAATTTTATTGTTGCCGTGATTGGGTTTAACTTCCGTGCTATGCTTTCACTGTGTAACAAACCTCCATTGTATTTCAATAACTGCTGTTTATGTTAATCAAGCTCTGTGTACTATTTAAGTGTAGTATTTAACTGTGCATGGTCTATTATTGTTAACATTACTCTCTTTGCTTAAATCGAACAGCAACATGTATTTATGTGTATATGCATTCAACTGTGTCTATTGAAAACTATTTATGTGGCAAATGCTCAGCATTGCTGGCTGTTTATTGGTTGCTAAAACATTACTTTTGTGAGTTTGGTATTCAACTTTCATATAAATATCAGGTTTTTACTCAGCTCTGAGCAGTGCTGCTGGGGTTTTCCTAACAAGGTAGGGTGTTTTTCTAACTTTCATAGCCAAGGTCACGGCATGGATAGATTGTCTTCAATTTCGGTCTTATCTTGTGTGTTAAGGTGTTACAAGTGTTTATTAATTCAGTCACAGCCATTTATTTTGCTTTTAAGCAATACATTTAGATTTTACTCATAATTTCTCAAATTGTCTTCATTTTCTTCATTTCCCCCTATCAAGGTAATTATCCCTAAGTCCCATCGAGTGCCTGGGCCAACAGTCTTCAAAGTCTTCAACGCTAAGCTTCACTCCCCTTTGAAACCATTCAGTCTTCAGATTCTTCAATTATTCTTCAACTTCTTCGACCCTTAGCTTTACTCCCCTTTAACACCATTCACCTTAGTACACACAAACACCATCTACTATTTGTTACTTCATGCCTCTTCAGATACCAATAAATATACATTATTACATTATTTTATACAGAACTTACTTCTCATGTTCACATTTTATGGGTTTGTTAGCTTGAAATCCCTACAACTACCATTCATGTTTCAGTAAGACCCTAATACACCAATTTGGTTTCAAAATAAACTACCCCCTCTTATACTGGCTTGCCACGCCCAGAATTAAAGGGAAGGTATTTTACATTGGTGGCAGCGGTGGGATTAATATAATTATTCCCTTGATGATTAGACCCACTTGTGATGGTGTATTTTGAAGGGTCTTCGAAGACATTTTGAAGATTTCTTTTTACTGGCCCCAATCCCCAATCTGCCTAGTGTGGAACCCATCAGCACTCCCAGTTCCTACAGCCATCCATAGGAACTGTCTTCTTCCAATAAGGGGAAATGTAGTCCAACTCTCCCCCCTATTTCCCATTCCCAATGTTATATCTCCAGGGCAAGATATAACATACATCCCTTGGTGTGATGAAGCTAATGGCTTGATCTAGTCCCTTTATCTTAATATTGATGATCCATTTTTAGGATCTTTATCTCTGATCATGTTTTGCCAACCACTTCAGAAACCTTAGTCCCAGTACTCGCCTAATATCTAATTATCCAAATGCGAGACATTCCCCTAGCATAATGTGACAGTAAACCATCTCATGCTGGACATGAGATATCTGTGAACAGTTTCCAATGGCCGTGGATCCATTCCTAACAGGTTTACCTTCCCAAATTTGTTTGGGGGCAGCAGGACCAAGTCGGTTTCTATTAAACAACATACCCCAGGCTGACATTGATAATGAGACTTCCATTACTGCAATCACAATAAGAATCCATCCTACTTCCCAGTACCGCTTTAGATTCTTAAGTATCCCCCTACTTTACTAATACATGAACCTTTCTGAAATATATGACCCAAAAAGTTTTATTTTATGCCCATCAACAGCCATGAATTGTAAATTGCAAGGTTCATGGTGAATGGTAAAGCCAAAATACCAACTCATTATATCATCGCTTCAAAGTTTTCAGCTTCCAGTGATATTCACCACTGTCTCCCTTGTACTGGTGATGTCATAATTTTAACTGTTGTTCTCCATCAACAGACCCTGGCAATACTGTATCAACCAAAGCCATATGAACCCAGACACACTTGAGAGATAATGTGTCAATTTCTCAAACCAAATGGAATAATCCATATCTGACCAGGGAAATTCCATCTTAACTCCCTGCCTTAAATTGTGATAAGACCAAACCAATAGGTCCTGGTAAGGTCTGTGTAAATAGTGAAGGACCTATTTTAATGTTTCTAGTTTGGGTAATTTCTTGCCAGTGAGAATTTTATTTATTCATATGGATGTTCTTTGTTGATACAGAGGCATCAGTCCTTATCTTTGCGAGATAATCACCAACGTCTCGAGAAACAGTCTCAAGGCTTGTCTGTCGATAGTAGTGGTGATGGCTATTGCAGACAGCAGTTGCTTTCTAACCCAAGGGAAAGTTAATTGTTTTAAGTACTTGAGACATGAGATAGTTGATCCCACAGTCGATTCTTGGACTGGAATTTAATAGATCATCGGAACTGTGGCTGATGTTAAAGGTTATGCTCAACCTTAATCACAATCACTGTCTCAACCAGGGTAAATATCAATCAGAATCCAAAGAACTAATGATTAAACCACCTTCATGCTTCTTTGAGTCAGAAAGGATGATATTAGTACTGTGTTGTCCCTCCCTGTAATTCTGCTGTTCCTTTACAAAATGCCAATGTTTGTAATTGTGAACATACATTTACCCTACTCCTGTGGCTACTCTAGCCGAGGTCTAGAGGAGTCATTTTAATATCCTTCCCATGCAAATGGAGACTGGGCAGGAATACTGATAATGGACTGTGCTGAGAAAACCCCAGATGAGAGTGGCAACCCCAACTGTGAGATAGTGTCATGTCTAGCTGAGAGTCTAGAGAAGTCACTGAATGTTCCTGATTATCCAAACCTTTATAAGGTTACGAAGAATACACTAATGAAGCCTTCCATGAATACAGGAAAGTGTGCCTTTATATAAGTAGCGACCCCTAAAGTCCCTTATTTATATCGCCCTAAAGAGGTTGAACTACTCTAGCACATGCTGGATATTGGCAGTACAGTACCCTCTTACCTTACATGGCACCACCTGTAACAATGGTAACCGAAAATATGACTGATCATAAGATTGTTGATTATGGTCATGACAGCATAGGCAGTACAGATGAATATGCCCAGCAAGTATAGTGATACTACTAGGTTGAACGAAAGGATTAACCTTACCGATCAACATACAATTGTAGAGTTTGTATGTCCTCTTTCTTTTGTGTTTTATCTAGTTTGTTCAAGTACTTGCCATGCTAAACCCAAAATCCATCATTTGGGAAACCTTCTAAAAGCTTGTTTTACATTATGACGCTCCTTTTATCACTCACAATGATGGAGGATGCTGACCTAAGTAAAACTACTTTAGAAACAATGTGAAATGTGCTCCAAAGTTCTGAATCTAAATCGATTCAGAAATGCACAATGAGAATGGACTTTGAAATGTTACCTACTATGTCTTGAAGTAGTCACTAGAAAATCTGTTTGTGACTAAAATGTTCCGATAAGATATGACTGGCACGGCAACGTCTATCTATCTTTTGTTTGGCATTAGCTATGAGTATGGTTACCAGATCAGGATTATGTTGTTTGAATCCTGGGCTACTATAGATTTGGACATCTGTGTAGCATTGTTGCAGTCTGGAGATACCCTGTGATGTAGTCCAGAGAGAAGATGGACTGATGTGGACTAGATGAACAACAGAACAACCTGATGATGCCAAGACCTACAACAGGACATCTACAACAGGAGTAACTTTTGAACTTTGTTAACCACAATAATCATTGGATCATTAAGGATTATGATCTTGACTTTGTGTCACATTGACACTTGATTATACAACGATAATGGACTTTATTGTGTCATATTGATACGTTGATCTTCAACAAGAATGGACTTTATTATTATGTTATATTAACATGTGTTTTAGGTAATCACTGACAGAGACATTTAAATATGTTTATAATTATTGAGCAATGTTCGGGACGAACATGTTTTAAAGAAGGGTGCAGTGTAACAAACCTCCATTGTATTTCAATAACTGCTGTTTATGTTAATCAAGCTCTGTGTACTATTTAAGTGTAGTATTTAACTGTGCATGGTCTATTATTGTTAACATTACTCTCTTTGCTTAAATCGAACAGCAACATGTATTTATGTGTATATGCATTCAACTGTGTCTATTGAAAACTATTTATGTGGCAAATGCTCAGCATTGCTGGCTGTTTATTGGTTGCTAAAACATTACTTTTGTGAGTTTGGTATTCAACTTTCATATAAATATCAGGTTTTTACTCAGCTCTGAGCAGTGCTGCTGGGGTTTTCCTAACAAGGTAGGGTGTTTTTCTAACTTTCATAGCCAAGGTCACGGCATGGATAGATTGTCTTCAATTTCGGTCTTATCTTGTGTGTTAAGGTGTTACAAGTGTTTATTAATTCAGTCACAGCCATTTATTTTGCTTTTAAGCAATACATTTAGATTTTACTCATAATTTCTCAAATTGTCTTCATTTTCTTCATTTCCCCCTATCAAGGTAATTATCCCTAAGTCCCATCGAGTGCCTGGGCCAACAGTCTTCAAAGTCTTCAACGCTAAGCTTCACTCCCCTTTGAAACCATTCAGTCTTCAGATTCTTCAATTATTCTTCAACTTCTTCGACCCTTAGCTTTACTCCCCTTTAACACCATTCACCTTAGTACACACAAACACCATCTACTATTTGTTACTTCATGCCTCTTCAGATACCAATAAATATACATTATTACATTATTTTATACAGAACTTACTTCTCATGTTCACATTTTATGGGTTTGTTAGCTTGAAATCCCTACAACTACCATTCATGTTTCAGTAAGACCCTAATACACCAATTTGGTTTCAAAATAAACTACCCCCTCTTATACTGGCTTGCCACGCCCAGAATTAAAGGGAAGGTATTTTACAACTGGTTCTAAATTCTCACTGTCAGTTATTAATTAAACGCGCATGGAATTTCATGCGCTGCCATAGGGCACCATTAAATTTTTTAAATAGGCACGGACGTTAATTCTAGGGTGTACCACAAGATATGTCAGATAAGAAATAAGGCCCAGACTAGGTTTAACTTGTTGAACTATCCATCCACAAGATGATAGAAGGCTGCATTCACTCGTGATGGGCTACATGTATTTGTTAAACTTATATATTTACAAATAATTATCCGAGATGAAACACAGAATGAATGAATTTCCTCTGCCTTTTTTGTATGTCTATCCAATTTTTATGTAACGAATGTTTGTAAACCCAAGTCTTATCTATTTCTGTTACAGAGTGACAATAGTTAAAGACAAGATTAGTCATGTCAGTAAAGGAGTTGCTTTTATACTTTTCTTGGAAAGAGAATCTGCGTGGAAAGCAGTTAGAGCCCTAAATAAAACAGAGGTAAGCAATGTTGAATCATTACACATGTCTTTAGAAGTGGTTCTTCTTTTACGTAAATTCATATTTTCTTCAGTCTAGATAACTACCAGGCATCATTTGTATAGGTTTTGTGCCAAGTGTTAACAGAGCATCTGCCTAAATATATTGAAGGTCAATATACACTTTATATATGATATGTTTTTTCCATTTTTGTTTAAGATGTTTGGAAGAACATTGAAGTGTAGCATTGCTAAAGACAATGGCAGAGCCACTGAATTCATTAGAAGAAAAGAATACACAGACAAGTCAACCTGTTATGAGTGTGGGGTAAGTATTTGTGCTAAGAGCATAAATCTGCATACTATGACTATTTTCACAAGACTGGCTTCAGACCCTTGTGAACCTCCAAGCATAAATCCCACCTCCACAATCAGGTGAAGTAGGTGAGTGGGTGAATTGATGCAAGAGTCCATTTTGGTGAATTTGAACATTAACTAAATGCACAATAGTTATATTACTACACAGTCCTCATGCATTTACATGTTTGTATTTTTGAATATTTATTGGATTTATTCAACAACACAAGTACATGTACAAATGAAATAAAAGTATCCTGATAATATTTTCTACTCTAGGAGGAAGGCCACCTCAGCTATAAATGTCCTAAGAATCTACTTGGGGAGAGAGAAAAACCAAAGAAAAAAACAAAGAAGGACAAGGAAAGGGAAAGAGAAGAAGCATATGAAAAATTCCATAAGTAAGTGCTAAATAATGCCTATTGAGAATATTGTTGGCCTTTTGATTGGTCAAAACTTAAAAACGCAGCCAGTCCCTTTAGACAGTGCTATTTGTCAATACATTTTATAATTTCTCCAGAAGGTGGAAGCTGTTCTTAGTTTCTATCCTTTTTAAAATTGAATGAGTTGATATTTGATCTTGTGAGTTTTATGTTGTAGCACAGGGGAGAGTGATAGTGACCAGGGGGAAGACCCAAAGGAAGACAGCTTATCTGCAGCTATACAGTTTCAGGTAATGATAACCCAGACCCAACTACACATGATCTCAGCTTATCAACACAGAATATCTTCATACATGTGAGGTTGAGAACATCCTCCGATCACAGGGCTTCAAAATCCAGAATATATTCTTTCTTTTTACCTCCTGTGATAAGCAATTAGCATTTCCCCGATTAAGAACTCGCAATCTGATTGGCTGTCGCTACACTGCGACAGAAATCATGTATAAGTCATTGGGCATAATTAGATCACAGGATTCAGTTTAATCGGGCGCTCCCAAATTGGTTATAGCAGGGGGAAGAAGGAGGTACGGATTCTGGATACCTGCTTAGGAGGATGGGTTGAGAAAGGCTTAGGAAGTCCAAATTATATGAAATATGAATTTTATCATTGTTTTGGCCTACCCTAAAGTGATGTTTTGAAGTGGTAGTTGTCCATGATCGGGTTGAGAGTATTGAGATTGTCAGACTATTTTGAAATCATTTCTTAACCTTTTAAATCAAACATGATTTAATTAAATAAATACTATATTTTCAGCAAGAAAAGATGGCAGCAGAGTACCAAGCTGCAGTTGCTAGTGGAAGTTTTTCTCTTGAATCAGACGAACCAAAAAAGAAACGTTTCAAAAAAGATGGATATTTTAGTGACGAAGAGGAATTTGGAGACGACTGATGGAACACATGGATAAATTATTACCTAAGTTGAGCAATTTGGAGATAATGGATTGTCACACTTTCAGTTTTTATTGATATATCAGCCAATGACATTCCAGTGCTTGACTTTCAAGTATGCTTGACTCAAGAATGGATTCTTCAGCTTCGTTCAACTGACAATGAGAATGCCCGTCTCTGCTTCAAGTGAATGTAGAGGTCTAGAAACAGTAGACAGTCGTGAAGAGTGAATCTTTATCAGGTGTGCTTAAATGCAGGTTAAAAGAACAAAATGGTCGCCATTTTTTGACAAGTCTTAATGTCTTTGCTTATTTTTTCATTTCTGGCCATAATTATGATTATTTTAAGCAGAAATTGTAAAAGCCACGTTTCATTTTATAATATATTTATTCGATGTTTATCAAGCTGTACCCCAGTGATAAGAAAAAAGGAAGTTTCCATTGGTTTTAAGAATATGGCTACAAGTGTGGACATACCCAAATCAAAGGCATTTTTGAGCTGATTTCAAAAAGTGTATTGCTTTTCTGATTTATCTTGGAGCTCTCTTACTAAAGTCTGATAGTATGGATTTTGTACTAAATGGAAAATAACATTATGAATTGAAAGCATTATAGTCATTCAGTCATTATGATTCATGTCTCAGAAAATCATGAAAATCCAACATGGATGTCACAGTCTAAATATGGGGAAATATGTGCCATTTTTGAGGTTTTCCTGGCTTGTATATATTGGCTTTATTGTACTTAAATCGAAGATATTTTAGGGTTAAAAGGGTACACACTAATACAAATGTTTATAGAAAGATTCACAAAACAAATAATTGTAATTTTTGTGAAAGTTGTATTCATATTTTAATACACAACTTGTTGGCATACAACTATACAAATAAAATATGACTTGAAAATATATTACAAATAACCATTGTTGCGAGGTCTGAGCTCCTACAATTCAAAATTCTCCACCCAAGTTTTACATCAACTATGGTATTCCTCCACAATACCTTGAGATTAAGCTTCAAGTGCAGATTACAAATAGCATTTGACAGCTGCCACTTTCAGAGAAAGGGTAGAAATTCCATGACCTGGTCATATATTAACATTGAGAAAAACATCAATATATTTATTTACAGAGAAATTTTACTATTTAGTTGTACTTGGGATTTTGATATAATTGTCATAGAGACATAGATTACTTATTTTGAACAATATAATATGTACTGTATGAATATCATACATACATCACAACTATTGTACATACAATAACCCATTATTTGTACACACCAATGGTATGTACAATAGACATATTGCATGTACATGTACATATCCCCAAGCAAAACAAGAATTTGGAAAAAACGATATGATCCATCAAGTATTGCGTTTTAGCATTATTTGTTATTAGTTAATAACAACATACAGACATATGTCTTTTACAAAAATAAGCATAATCAAAGTTCCCTTTTGATGCAAAACATTGACTACTAGTACTCTATTACAATGTATGAACCTGCATTCTATCTAATGTCAAATAATAAAATATAATATATAGAACTAGACTAGTAGAATCAACTAATATATTGTTGCTAGGAATATATCCACCATTCTCCATTAAATATTTGATCTTTTCAAGTGAAGCAGTGAGAATGCTTAATAACATGGATGTGTCTGAATATTGTCCACCTGCATCCATTTTTAATACATTTACTGTATTTTGATGACATGATTTATGGTATTTACAAGGATTCTTCATTGCATCACAGAATTCTCAAGTTCTCCTCTTATGTACAGTAAATGGATACAAATGTAAGTTTTCAAATGGCAGGTTTTTCTCACTTTCTCGCACTATGTACGCAAGATAAAAGAAATGGCTTGTTGGATTATTGTATTACAAGTAGTTAAATCAAAAGTATTTATTATATAAGTTCAATTACCCATGTCACATTCTACATGCTTAGTAACCTTCACATCATTGTAGATTTACCATTCCGTTATTATCAAACATATTTCATTGTGACGTCAAAATCTAGGCTGTTAAAATATTAAGTATATTTAGGCCCATAATTAAATGTTTTACACACTTCATTTCTCAACAAAAAAATAAAATAGGTCAATCTGTATATAATTACTAAATCTTATTTCATCATTTCAATCATTCCAATTTTGTATAATCAATATACAAATAATAACCTACTACAAGGTCTACCTGTATTTAGTTTATTTACAAGCAAGCAATTCACAGAAACGAACCATCTAATACTAAATAATAGTATAAAACACAGTTTCATCACAGATACCTTTCTCTGCATCATGCTTATTGCAGAATATTCTATAGGAATTAAATTCTCGGGTTTCCGGCTTCCGCCATCTGGAGACGATGCCTGCTACAAAATGTGAGTATTTCAGATAGATTTGACATCACCGGACTAGGGTAGGCACTTATTTTAGGCATTAACACAATACAACATACTGGCAATAAATCTATTAGATCCCATGGAATGAGTATATATAAGAGCACGTGCCCTTCAGATTTTCAACTTCAAAGCAGTGATTTCTTCTGTGTATTCAACTAAAATCTTGGCATATTACAAGGTAAGTGTTTGTAAATTTACCAAAACAGACCACCAATGGAAGGGAAATATTATCAGTGGCTCAAAATTCAAGCTGGTTTGTCAGACACTTCCTTTTCCATTTGCACTAAACATTGACAATAGCTTAAAGCAAAGCTTTTATGTACATTTAATTATTCAACAAAACCGCAAAATATTGATATTCATACATATAAACCTTTAGCCCAGACGCTCTGTACAACATTGTAATTATACATATATATATATATCGTAACATGTGATTTTATTCTATGGTACACTATTTACATAGAGGCATGAATTTCATTAAATATGGATACTCCTCGCAACTTCAATCCCTTGTATGAAATTTATGTACAGTGGAAGTCATACTGTCTTATACAGGGTGACCCAAAAAGCAGAACATTGAATAAAAGTTATGGGCTATGTTTTTGGGTCAGCCTGTATAAGGATAATAATGAGAGTGGAAAACAACGTTAGAAGATGTCCCAATTCATTTTGTGTTTATGGGTGTCATGTTATTTCGATCATCATTTTACAACATTAAGGCTTCATTTTGGGAAATTTCATCGTTATCAACCAGCTCAATACTTAAAAAATTGTACTTGGAGGTAACATGTTTTACAAGGAGATAACATATTGGACTTATCATAACTTCACTACCTCACCTTCCAGTCTTTACATTTGAATACAACAGATCAACATTCATTATAATATATCTGTACAAAATGTCTTCCAGTCTCTGTCCTTAGCATAGCACTGGCTTTGGTGGAATATTAAAAATATAGTCTCTATGGTATTTTTGAGAGATCTGAGTTGTTAACTGTCACCAGAACCTTCTATCTTCACCCGCTTTACAACTTGACCAACGTTATTCCTTCTGCAAAACAAACATATATGCTATGAAATATTATCAAAGCCGACATAGAAAATGGATAAAGTCCAATTATAATTTGTGGTAAACCTCAAACCATTAAAATGTTCAGTCTCCATCTAGGACTACAAACACTTGCATAAATAAATCTAAAATCTAAATAATATTTAGAGAGAAGCAGGCTTGTATCTAAATCCTGTTTTTTTACTTTTTGATTTGCTTCAGAAATAGACAATGTGTTCTTTTACAGTAAAGCCATTTAAAAAGTTAGGGGAGTACTACATGTAAATAAAAAATAAATAACTTACGCTTCAGTCAATGGCATAGTTCTCTTCACAGCAACCTTTCCTGTTGTCACTGGACCCATGGCTGCATCTGTGTGTAACAAACAGCAATTTTTAATCCTGTATTAATATCCATAATATGGGATGTTAGTGTTCTGAATATGGTAGTAAATTAAATTGCCTTAATAAAAGACACAGATGTAAAATTATATTGTATGTTCTAAAATTATGATTTTTGACTTTTCTTAAGGATCTATATGGCCCTTAGACACCATTATATTGAGATTTGAGGCGGGGAGTGTGGAGTTGAGAGAAAATGTAAGTGAGAGGATGCTCGTGATTGAAGTCTCAGTGTTTAAGTTTGTATAGTGACTGACCTTGAAGCCACCTGACTTGAGTAGCTGGTCCGTATCCCTTTTCATTCCTGGCTGCGATTCTGAAGATTATGGCAGGTTTAGTTGTATAGTCGATATGAGCTGACGCCAGTGAGGCTGTAGTTACCACACATGATGGGGTGGGGCCACAGAAGACTCGGACAAACGCCAATTGTGCTGGACCCCCGGGCTTCTGTTCCACCTGTGAGGCTGAGTTTCTGACAGCAAGGTATACTGAGTATTCTGTAATGCGACCAGCCGTGTTCTGTGGGGGTTCCCAAGACAGGTGAGCGCCATCTACGCTCTGTAGCAAATAACATTCAGTAGGTTATAATGGGTACTTAGTTAAAAATCATGCCTTTTGATTGGTTCACAGGTTGTTGATATTTCTTACACTCCTTGAAAACACCAATATTTGTCTCATTGAAATGGGAGATGAATATTTGTATTCTGTTCATGTATAAATAATTGTCTCTTCCAAAGTCACATTATAATTATCCTTTCCACTGATTGTTTAATCCTCATAGATTTAACATACCTTGCTAATTTTGATTGCTGAGGGAGCACCTGGATAGCCAGGGAGACAGGTCTTAAAGGCTGAGATTTCACTCCATGGCCCTCTGCCACATGCATTAATCCCCGCAACACGGAACTTGTACGCTGTCCCTGGGAGAAGCTCTTGTCGCTTTAATACACTGTGATCTGGTACACTGACTACATCAATATCCTACAAGTTACCAGAAAAAAAACGGTATAAATGGGTTCAATTTATTATAAATAAGTTATTTATTATTATACTTTAAAATTAATTTTTCACTTTGAAATTAATGGAAAATATATCTTTAATCAGCTTTAGTAATTATGATGAAATTAGTGATATTTAAATTAATTTGAAAATCAATTAATCAAAACAATTTGCATCCTCCTAAGCAGGTGTACAGAATCCATACCTCCTTCTTCCCCTCTGCTATAACAAATTTGGAAGCGTCCGATTAAACTGAGTCATGTGATCTAATTATGCACCAATGACATATACATGATTGCTGTCGCAGTGTTGCGGCAGCGAATCAAATTGCTAGTTCTTAATTGGGGAAATGCTAACTGCTTATAGCAGGGTGTAAAAAGAAGATATTCTGGATTTTGAAGCCCTGTGATTGGAGGATGAACAATTTGATGAAACATTTCCCATTTGTATTACATATAAAAATTCACCAGGGTTTAAAAAACAATTATGAAATAAACTTTCCTCAAAAGTGTAATTGTGGCCTGAATTCAAAATCTATGATGGTGTAACATGAATTTTTTAACAAAATGTCAACATTAAAATAAGTGCCGAGTGTGTAAAGTCCATTGACCATGATCACACTTTATGGAGGGCGGGGGGGGTATACTAAAACTGCTACAGGACATACATGACTCACATCTCCATTAGCTCCAGCTTCAGCTGGGAGGTGATAGTGGGACACAACACAGGATGTCTGCTTGATGATACCAACATCGTACCATTGGTTCCCATCCTTCTTGCCTGGTGTGCCTTTTAGAGATTCTACATCTTCAGGTTTGATATCCTAAAATGAAGATTTATTTGCAAATTTAAATCAAGTGAAAGTAGGTATCACCCATTGTTGACAGACGGATGGACAGATGAGTGAGAGTGCAACAGCTCACAAAAGGATGTTGGTGTTCTATACATCCCTCTAGACTTTATTTGATGGGATACTATATGCAATTTGGATTTTAGGCAAAGTGGATGAAAGCTCAAAATACTGATGACTCAGTTCTAACTTGAAATGATATTTAATCAATAGTATATCAGTAAACCTACACCAACGAAGACCTCAATTTTATCTCATTTCATAGAAGTTTTTTGTTAAGTAAAACATCAAAATACTCACTTCTTTGTTTTCATCTACACCATTAATACCATTCTCATTCTGCTCTTTATTCACTGAGCTGTTCGTGGTTGCAGTGAGGGCTGTGCTGATAGCTGCTGATGCGAGTGTGGTCAGAGGGTCGGACATATCTGAATAACATATAAGAAGGATATATTAACTTTCTTTGAATACTTCATAAGTGTAGATATAGTGGAACAAGAACACATTCACACACTGCTGCAAGACCAAATGAACAAGGATTTCACCACCAGGTGGCTACATCAGATAAATGGCAGAGCACTACTAGGAAATTTTACCAAACTACTTGTAATTCTATCGTTTGCAGTATGACACTTCAGTGATCTTTAGTTATATCCACCATTTTCATGTTTTGACAAGAATGAAAACTCATCGAACAAAAATTTCCCAAGTTATATGCATAATTTCATAATTTTGACCGTTAAGTTCAACTTTTCAGCATCAAGCAACATCAGTTTTAGCACTGAGAGGAGTATCTGATATTGCACCAACACAAAAATTCAAATACCTGAACTCAATAATAAGATCAAATGAAATACATCTGGTTAAATACATAAAAGCATGGATTATTTCCATGGAGCCAAAATAAAGAACAAAATAAAAAGAACAAAAACTCAACACTAAACATTTAACTACATTTATAAACAAGAGTCCTGCTTGCCTATTGGGGACATACAATTATTGGGAAATGGGAGATGCCATTCTGGTGGTAAGACAGCGACTGAAATAAAGGGATATAATATGCTTTTTGCTGTTTGGAGATAGTGACTCAGTCAGTAAATAGGGATGCTGCAAATTGTGATCGCCTTTTTTATGTTAATTATCCATAATGAGGTACTTATACTGATTACACATACTTTCCCTACTGAATATAAAACAAGCTTGTTTGGGATAAAATAATTTCTTACGAAATGTTATAAGTGTTTGAGTGTATTACCTTGGTTGGAATCTTGACTGACAAGGGGATCTTCAGCTAGAGGAACATCATCCTCTATTTGTTGTTGGTCAGGTTGTTCTAGTTGCTGTGCCTGCTCTGGCAACTGAACCTCCTCTTCCTTAATCTCATCCTTTACAGCTTCAAGGTCAGTTTCCATTGCCTCATCAGCTCTCTCCAATGGTATAGCAGTTGGGTCTTCTAAGTTAGCAAGAGCCTCAGTACTGAGCTGTTCCACTTCATCTTGCAGTTGTGGCTGCTCCTCTTGAAGTTGTGGCTGCTCCTCTTCTTGCTGTGGCTGGTCCTCTTCTCCAGCATCAGCTTCATTATCTTCTGGTGGAGGTGTATCATTAGCACCATCAAACTGGGGAATGTCAGAGGGTTGTGAAATAGATTCAGTGGCTGCAGTGGTCTCAGCAAGGATTGCATTCGGGTTGGCTACAGCGTGTGTAATGGAGGTACTGTTGCCCATAGTGGTAGTGGACATTAGTGGACTCTGTAATGATGCAGCTAAGGCTGAGGCTACAACAAAAATCAAATCGATATCAAAATCTAATAATTTTATCAACTAGAAGCTTTACAATACTATGAAGTTATACTATCAAGTATCTATTCCATAAAATCACATGGCACTTAAATGACCAAATGTCATTCCCCGATTGCAATTACAAAAGTGCTACCAATCCTTACAGATGAAAAAGCCAAATGCTGTGAGGAAAAACTTTGACTTCAAACTTTTAGACTACATATATATTAGAGGTGTAACTCGCCAGAAAAATCCAACTCGAGTTCAGCTTGCCAAATATTTCCAAAACTCGAGTTAATTCATTTCGTCCAGTACATATTGTATACCCGGGTATACAAAATTACTGTAACTTCTAGCGGCAAGTTTCTCTGGTTTAGTCACATCTAAAAGCTGTTAAACACGTTGGGGCCATAAGAAAGTGTAGTATTCATTGCAGTTTAATATCTCATATTTCAATCAAAAACGATCTGGTATAGACGCCGCCGCATATGGTAAAGACTAGAGATCGCTAAAATGAACCAAGAATCTAACCAAACAATATTTTAGAAAACCCAGAAGGGCCCCTCATATTAATGAATGGTTTTCCCGGATTATCTTCATTATTTATACTAAAGACTGCTGTTTATCGATCTTAAGTTAAGACTTATGATCTTAATTTAATGATAGATCATCATTTTTTATGTAAAAGTCGTGTAAACGACGTGAGAATAAGGGGACCATTTTTTATTTAATTTTAGTGACATTTCGGCTGCGTTCGACAAGGTTCCGTATAACTTGCTTATTCATAAACTTAAATCTTATGGTATCTCAGGAAATCTCTTAAAATTTATCGAATCATATTTAACTAATAGAAAAGTTAGGGTTACTATTAATGGATCATCCTCTTCAGCATAACCAGACAACTACATAAACACCTCAGTCCCTCAAGGAAGTATCCTCGGACCTTTGCTCTTCCTGATTTATATCAATGATCTCCCAGACAACTTGACCTCAAAATGTTTTATTTACGCTGACGATACATCTATTTTTGTCCCATGTACTCCAAATGATAGAGAATCTCATCAACTGCTACAAAATGACCTGAAGACCATTGAACAGTGGTCTAAATCCTGGAAGTTAGATTTCAAACCTGAAAAAAGTAAAGAAGTCATTTTTTCTAAGAAAAACACCCATAATTATGAACAAGTCTTTTTGAATGATCAGCCAATATCTAGGCATAATCAGCATAAACATCTAGGCTTCTACTTTGACAGTAAACTCAGCGGCTCTGAACATATAAACTATCTTGTTGACAAAATTCAAAAAGCTCTAAATCCAATGAAACCACTCAAAAGCAAACTTAAATCTAAACAGCTCAACATCATGTACAATTCTTATATCCAATCACTTTTCGATTACTGTGACATACTCTATCACTGTGCAACACAGGCCAATCTAAAGAGACTGAACAAGCTCCAATACCAAGCTTCATTGATTGTCTCTGGTTGCTTACCAGGATCTAATGCAAAGAAAGTCCTTGATTTGCTAAACTGGTCAAGTCTAAATGAAAGAAGAATTTTTCATTTCAAAAAGCAAATGTATAATATATTTAATCAAAATACTCCATCATACATTAGCGACATATTTCATCCTTTTAAAAAGATAAACAATAGAATGTTGCGAGGTACACTGGACTATAGTATACCAATCACAATGCCAAGGAAATCACCTGTTTATAATATGATGAATATATGGAATAAAATTCCAAGAGAGCTAAAATCATTACCAAGTATAGCATCATTCAAGTACAACTTGAAAAAATTACTCTTCCAAGGCACAATCTCAACAATGACCTTAAAACTCTCAAGGAAACAAGAAATTATTCTAAATCGTGCCAGATCAGATCTCATTTTCAAATCACAACTCAAGGCCCACAACTGGACAACTGTTGACTCTCCAAACTGCGAATGCGGAGCCCCTGAGACTTTCCGCCATTTGTTTTTTAAATGCCCATTGAAAACTGAACAAATTCTTAAATTTAATAGAGATATTGAACTAATCACTGGAAACCAATCTCAGTTCAGGACCCAAATGGACAAAATAAATCTTTACTTATTTGCTCACCCTTCACTTACTCAGGAACAAATTGACAATCTTTTATCAGTGGTGAGCCTATATCTTATTGAGCATGCATAGTTACATGTAGTTGGAAGCTGGTCTACTTTTGTTCTCAGCCCTACCACTCCTTATCTCTACTGCTTTTCTCCCCTTGTTTCATTCTCTTACATTATACTGTAGCACCATGAAGTCTTCTTTGTGCCACATAGAAAGTACAGATCAGCCATTTAGCCATGGGAGACTATGGCGTGAACCTCTTTTCCCTACTCATACTACTATATCTTTGTTTCCAGGACCCTATAGGCAGAGGCAGCAGCCCCCCCCCACACTCCAATTAAAATGCAGATGCTTTCTTTTCTATTTTTTTTTTCTAATATATAATTGTGTATTAAAACCATGTTTACAAATTGTAATTACTACATTGAGGGACACCTATAATGCCACTGGCGATTGGGTCCCTCATGTATGATATGTACTTTTAATGATTAATGGCAATAAAATCTCTTGATGAAAAAAAAAAATTCAATTTTAGTGACTACTCTATTATCGCCCGCTTGAATTCCTTCGATAGTCGATCTTTTTCTGATTTTTTTGGTGTAACTTGTCATTTCACGATATTTGTTGAACTTTGTGAAGCTTTGAGAGTGGCGCTAAATATGGCGATCATTGGTATATTTATTCTCCTAATGAAGTAATGTTGCACGATCTCTGGGATCCAAATTCATTCTACATGCCTGCAAGATAGGCAAAACATGCGAGTTGACTCGAGTTATAGCTAGCTCGCGAGTTGAAATAGATTGCGAGTTTCTAGAGGACAACTCGAAGCAATGTATAGGAAGCTCTGACGCTCTGTACTCGAGTTATGGACTCGGGAGTTACACCTCTAATATATATACTAGGCATTTACATGCAAAATATTGCCATCTGCCATTTACTAAAAACACCAACCACCAAATACAGTCCACAAAAAGTTGGAGAATATAACAATACAAAAAAATGAAGGAATCATCATGATTTATGTGGTGTATTATTACCTTGTGTGTTAACTATAGTAATAGTTGGCTTTCCTGCCTGTCCAATACTGCTGGTGATGATTCTCTGACCTCCCCCTGGCATTGTCTGGATCTTGATAGGCTTACCCCCAGCAGTGGCTGAAACACAATCTACGCATACAGGAAACAAGTATAAACACAAACAATCACAAGTTGAATTCTGAATTTTGGACAAATTAATTGTACATAGATGAATATTAAGAGATGTAGATGCAAATCCGTACTCTGTTTTCACTGGGTTATAAAGATTAATGAATGTAATTTTTTTAGAAGTGAGCTAGTTCTGACTTTTGGTTGTTGAGATGTGTATGTACAGAACATCTACATAAAATTATGTGAATGTGATGGGTTTAAGTGAATGGTAAGTGTGAAATAAGCAAAGAATTGTGCATAAAACCAGGTTGTTTTTGCAATATCCAAAGATCTGGCAGTGCCACTTCAAAAATCATAATAAAACAAAACAGGAAAGAAACACTCAAACTGACATAAGGTATCACCACTCCATGTTGAAACACTTCTATTTTAGACTTACTGCAATGTATCTCAGGAAATTCCATCATAGAAAGCCATTAAAAGGATGAAGTAAACACTAAATCGGATAAACACATGTGATGTTACGGAATATGTGATGAAAGAACAACCTAATGTGTAGAAAGTGTTAAAGCAAAAGCACACATACCAAACCTAGTACCTCCAATGGTAGAAGTGGCCATGCCACTAGGCCTAGACACAACAATAAACTGAGTTTGGTTCTGTGATGTACCACCAAGTTTCGGCATTGATGAGATAAGTTTGGTTGGAGTACCACTGACAGTAGACCCAGATTTGGGGGCTGCTATGACGATGGTTTGTTTTCCCCCTATGGTTGAAGTGCCTGTGAAGTTGCCTGATTTTCCAAGGTTGACTATGTTTTGTTGCGGATGTGTTTTTATTATGGTCTTAGGTGAGGAATATGTAGTCTGAAATATGAAATGAATATGAATTAAATTTAGATCTAAGATATGGATTCCCAAAAATGAGGGAACAGAAAAAGATGTGCAAATAATATAGAAATTCTCATAATTCAAAAATAAAATCATCCCTGAAAATCGTACATATAATTAAATAACAATTACTATGTCAAACGAATTATATTACATCATTATATCCAAACAAATACTTTAGAACATGTAAAGCTCAATATCACATACTTTAAATAAAACACCTACGCTTAATACTGTATAAGTGGTAATTTTGCCTAATCATTTAATTTGCCTATTTCCTAATTTTTGCCAATGTCGGAAATATTGTCTTGATAATGTTATCCAATGGGAGGTTTCTTGTCATTAGGAAAATTAAAATTAGGAAAATAATGAAATTTGACCATTCGGAAAATTAACCACTCGGATTAAATACCACTTATACAGTATTGTAAAATTCGCAAAACATGTGTCAGTTTTCAGCTTTGAAATTCACATAATTTTAACTTAATTTCTTATGAAAAGACTCCACTAAGCTCCTAACCTGTGGTTGTACACTGCTGATTCCCATAATGTTACTAGGTGTAGAGCCAGCTTGGGTTGTGATGATTGTGGTTGGTTTGCCTTGTCCTCCTGCCTGGCTTGTGACCAGCTTCACTATTGTAGCACCTTGTGGTATGGGAGTCTTGTTCTGCAATAACATGTAACATTATAGAACCGAACAACTGACAAAGTAATCAGTTATCACATCAGATCAAAATAAGAGAGATCAGAAAATGTCTCTTTTAATGTTTTGACATTATGAGTATGAAATGACTCAAATGCAAAAACAATTATTACATATTTTTTAAATCTAAAATGGTGACAAAAAATGAAAGTTGCAATGTTATTTTCTTATGTATGAATGAAAATGAAAATACATGCCAGTCTGTATCAATCATCAAATGAACCTGCCAAACACCATACTGGCCATATGTGGCCATACTGTTATGGGCCTCAGATGGGACAATTTACATGGCCGATAATTTCAGCCAAGCAATTATTTTCATTAATAGTTCCATATTTAACACAATAGACTGCATGCAACTACTAAACATGTAAAACAATAAAACAATAACATACAACAGACATACAATTGAGCCAATGTTGCATGACTGAGTTTGTTATTCTCTTCAAATTACAAAAACATACAAAATAAACAGCAGCCAACTAGAAAACCAAATAAATCCAACACAACATAATAACTTGGTTAAGAAAAGGCATATTTAATAGAAAATAATTCCAATCAAATTTATATACTTTTAATTTAAACATACACAGTTGGGCTCATTTTACACCCAGTACATGTACTCCAATATTTGATGCATAGATATGAACAAAGTTAAAGTATGTTCAATCCATGTAATTAAATCTAATACCTGGCATGATATATATTTACTTGACAAAGGTATGTTTTATACCCCATTATTAGCCATGCAGTTAAAAAGCCCAACACAACAACTCCTGAACTCCAACATAAACATTTGAAGCAGATTACAAAGTATCTCTTCCATATATCTCCATGCTTGTCACTGAACATTGATGTTTAAGCTAGTCTTCTACCAAGTTCCTATGCCTTCCCTTCCCACTACAATATTTTTTCAGGAGTTCAAGCAAAAAGGGACTTAATACAAGAACGGTTCATTTCTTTGTAGTGACTAACATGTAGGGCTATGAAAGAGAAAGCTCAGCTAAAGCCACAGCCTTAGATAAAAGGCTAAATACCTGCAAAGTTTGCCCTTGAATATAACTCTGGGCTTTATTCCCCAGGAGAGTCACTTTGGGCATCTAGTGACAGAAAATGAAATATGTGTACAACATTGGAGAGCAAAACCAACAAGTATTGGTGTGAAGTAGTCATTTTCTCGTCAAACAAATCCCGAGTTTGATTTGAACAGTAAATCTTCTCAAATAAGGCTTTTCACACACGCTAAAAATTAAGCGATCAGATTTAAGAATCTATGATAACCCCAAATAGTAAAGATATGCACACTTGGAAAAACTCTTATATGCTCAGAATCTCAACACAGTGATGAACAAAAACAAAACAAATGTGAGTCATATAGGAATACATACCGAAGCAACCGTCATCCCTTGTGTAGTCTTAACTAATGTTACGATCTGAGGCTGTGTAGTACTTGCTCCAGATTTTCTCACTGTAATGATTTGCTTGCCCTGGGCTCCACCACTGACCACCTGACCCTGGGCGTTTGTCTTCAGTATTGTGGTCCCTTGAGGCAGCTGTATGGTTTGCCCTGATGGTGTTGTATATGTCTGGGTGGCACCTGGAAACAATATAAACACATTTAATATGTAATTTGTCTTCTTCTTTTGTACGCACATTTCAACTGAAACAGTCTATGGATTGAAGAATAATTTGCTTTCGAATATAAACATGAAGACTGAACAAGAGAGGATGTTATATCACTACTTAATCTATTTGATAAGAAATTACACCTAAGACTCTTACCTTTTTGCACCTGGTTGACCTTGACCCCCTGTGGGGTTACGATGGTTGGTGTGAGCACCTTGACTCCTGTGTTTGATGGTGTTGGGGTTACAACAGAGCCAGGAGTGCTAATTTTCTGCATGGCTCCTGCTGCTGCAGCTAATGCAGCGATGCCACTCATCTGCGTTGTCGCTGTGGTCTGCAAATAAGTTGTTAAAAAGCCAAATAACAAGTTTTTTCAAATATTTTTTATCATCTACATGTAAATAGATTTCCTGCAATTTTAAGATTTAAAATATTTCAATTACCTGGCATTTTAAAAACAAAGACAAGGCAAGATTATCAAACACTCAAATGAAAGATAAATCACACTCTATAAATATAAATATAAAATTTAAAAGGTATAATACTGTATATAAGTACTTACAGCAGCAGACCTCTGCATTGTGATGACTTGTTGACCAGATGAGGCACTGATGACCTTTAAGCCTTGAAGACCACCTCCAACAGTTATGGGAGACTTCTGACGCTGTACATGCACTTGTCTTTGTCCTGTGTATAAGAAACACAATAATAATGGTAATCTAGCATGAATGGCCATGTATTTTTTTAGTCAGAGGTGATGGAGCAACAAAAACCCTGTTTCCCGAAAAAATTCTACAGATTGCACACAGACTGCTTATAGTTTATTAACTAGACTTTGAATTTTATGTTAACACACTATTTTGAGAAATTATCAGATTGAGCAGAAAATTAACTTTTCTGATTCATGATTGAGAGCTCACCTGGTGGTGTCATAGAAATATGGCCAGCTGGGGTGATCCCTGAACGTATTATCTGTTGCCCTGGGGCTCGAACCATAGTGATCTGTGGAGATTGACTGAGGGCCTTGGCCAGGGGGTTACTGGCAGTGTTGGACACACTGGTGGGGGTTAGAGCTGATGTTGATGGGGGTATATCATATTTCTGTAATTGCAGTAGGTAGGCATCTGCTGTAGGAACTGCTCCCCAACAAACCTCTAAGGTGGCTGTACTTGCACGGACTAGCTGGACCCTTGTGGGGGCTGGAGGCTTTTCTGTAAAGAGAGTAATTAGTAAGTAAAGTAACGAAGATTGCAAAACTTCAAAAATACAATAGATTCTGATAGATATGAATCCTCAAATCCTTTGATTATTGAATTTCAGATCATCATCTCGTCCCTAGTAACATCTACATAGTAACCCAATGTTATTATTCCATCAATATAAGATTTACAGTTTAGTGTTATAAATTTAAATTAATATCTGATAATCAAGTTGCTCACCTGATTCCAGAAACCAGAGGTCCTTAAAGCAGACTTGGTTATTCCATGCTTTTCTGTATCCATCACGTCCACTCCATACATAGAGACGTGTGTTAATAGCCACTGCGCAATGTCCTGCTCTGGCCCTGGGGAGGGCATCTTCAAACACTTCCATAGCAAGGGGCTCCCAAGTCATAGATTCTGAAAACAGGGAGCATATCATTTATACTGGTAAAATCACGCTTTTAAGGGAATTGCATTTTAATCATGGAGGACTTACATTTTCTTCTATTTGATGACATTTGAATTCCAATGATATATCCCTATCTTAACTATGTTTAATACTCTTGATCAATTTAGAAATAAACTAATTTTTGTCAGTTTTTTCATGGCACACTAGTCAAACTGAAACAAGCCCTGAATTGGGCTCCCTTGGCAAGCAAAAACTTATAATACATCTTATGTCAACAATGTACAGAATCTATAATTTCACCCGAAGTTAAACATGAAACTGCAGAGTTACATTAGCAACCATCTAGTATGCTTACCTAAGTTGAGTGAGGCCAGTGTGTTTGTGCATTTCCATTCCTTCTCATGTGTAGCAACCTTGACGTCATCCATAACAAGAGGTACCCAGCCACCAAACACAAACAACCTGTAACATACATTGTAATATAATGTACATTGTAATATAATGTACATTGTAATATAATATTCAGCTCCAAGCTCATGCAGATTTGTCCACATATCACAAAAATTGGTAATTTATTAAAACATTTCGAGATAGCCTGAAGTGTCAACTCTGGTCTCCCACCTTTCAAATCCAGAAACTCTGAAGTATATCGACTCCCAAATTAAGAGCTTTCCTTCTAGTCTCAAGTAAATTCATACAAAAAATATATTTTACCTATTTCCAATGACTGTAGATGAATGCAAGCTACGGGGGAGTGGGGCTATGCCTTGTAACACAGGCTTGCACCAAGTCAATGTATCTGAAACACATTTATGATTAGTATGATGAATAGCACTAACACCCAAGTTAATGAATATATAATTATTAAAAGATATTCATTTTCCATGTTGTAGAATAAAAATAATATTTTGCGCTTGAGTAAACATAGTCTGAACTTACCAACTTCTAATTGCCATAGATCCCCAAGGCGACAACCACTCATGCCCCCATATATAAACAAACGTGATCTCTTGGTCTCTTTGTTTGTATGTGCAGCTGCAGAATGAGACTCCCTGGGGGGAGGGGGTGACCCATTGGTCAGAGGGAGATCCCATGTCATAGCATGACTATTTGGCTTCAATTCAAGGGTGTAACAGTCATTTAAATATCTGAAATAAAAATACATGTACTGTTACTATTAGGTATTTCCTTCTTTAAAAGAAATTGTTAATTTGAATTTTTATGACGGTTCCTGGAAAAGTATTTGCATTTTTGGACACCTAGTCTTTTTCATTTACCTTGGTATGTTATTCTTGGGGTCTTCACTATCATTGGCTAGACCACCAAAAAGATAGGCTTTGTTCCCAATCAGTGTGAAACTGTGACCTGGAATAAATATACAACTAATAAGCAAGGATCTCTTATGGATTCTTCTTTACAAAATAATTCTTGTTATCAAAGCAGTTCCAGTAATTTCTACATGAATTTTTAATTTTTCAAATCTATATTTAAGAATTTGAAAGATAATCATACTTTATTTTTTAAATGTATGTATTAAATAGAAAAAATCTTAATAGAGCTTTACTGGAAACTTTCTAATCTTTCTAACTGTCCATGAATTTAGTAAATTATTTACCAAGTCTTGGACATGGTGGTGGTGCATTTTTTGGTGGTTTTGGCTTCAATCTTTTCCATTCCCAGCGACTCGCTTGCAACTCATAAACTTCATTGGAATATTTCCCATATTCCACCATTCCACCAAATATGAGAATCCTTGTGCCATCGCAGATGATGCCATATGCAGCACATCCTGGTGGTATATCACCTCGCACCGCAGGGACAAACCATTGTCCAGTTGCTGAAAATTAAAGCATAATTGATTAAACTATATGATGCTATAACAATCTGGAACAATCCATGGTAGTGACAAATGGCGAAGTTCTTTAATAATGAAAATGGAGAAATGTGTAAATAAATGGTGATATTGAAAATTTAAGGTTATATTACAATTAATAAACCTATGATTTCTATGGAACAAGGTCTAACACTTGGGGATTTTTAAAAATGATTCTGACTTTGATGCATTTCTTGGAAAAGTTACATGCTGTCCCGGAGTTCTGATTCTCTTTTGAATTTGTGCAAGAATAGTAAAAAAAAAATTGTAAAGGGTGAAACACAAAATAAGTTCTCTAAAAATCATGAATATTTATGATGAAAGAACAATATATTAAAAAAAAAATTATACTAAGGATGCAATAAAAGGATTTGGCAGCTACTGAGAATTCTGTTATTACTTAGTGATCGTAAATCATCACAATATTGATTTTCTGTTAACCTATTATAACTGCATGGATAAAACAGAACTATGTCATGATAGATGTCTATTTCATGAATTTCTTTTTATATTGGTTAATGAATTTATCAAATCTGCAAAATATTCATGATATGATAAAATATGATATCAGTTTGTAGCCTAAGTTATTGTTTTATTTTTCAAATGTGATTTTTCTATGGAGTTGAGATGGATCAATTAGGGAATTCATTTATTATCTATTTGTAGACACGCAGATTGCAGATACAATGGATTATGTTGAACAATATTCATTTGAGACTAGTTTTCAAAGTTTATATTTGTGCATTTTGATTTATATAAGTAAACCCACACAAACTAATCAAAAATAATATAAATAATATATATTCAAATAAACATGATAAATGTGGAAGATGGCATTGTTGCAACTTGCTTAGCTATGCTGTAGGGAAAAATGATTCATCAGCTGATACAGTTGTAACTAAATTGTTATACAGGTCACCAATAGATGGCGTCTTAAAGATTTTAGATGGACTCATTATATAGATGGCAGTTTATGTTTTTAGTAGAAACTGGGTTTCAACCAATATTCAGCCGTCTTTGATGTCGTATTGCTATTTTGATTTCAAAATGAGTAAATCAATTTCTTGTTTTGTATCAAAACGTTATGCGACCTATCAGATTTGTCTAGGAGTAAGGGAATATGGGAAAATAAACAAATGCACTCGTTTTCATGAGCGCAGCCATCTTGAAAATTTAAAATGTCCTATTTAGTCCAAAATGTAGTACATTTCATAGATCCAAGCTCAAAAGATACAATCAAACATGCAAGATCACACACAATCCCGATATCTTGTGCATTTATAATATGATCCCAAGCAACAACCAACGTATTTCTGAATAATATTTTCAATCTTGCAACGGTGACGGAGGCCGCCATATTGAATTATGACCGCGCCACTAATGAGGCCGTAACTTTTGAAGAAATGATTCAAATGTTACAAAATAAAGGGGAAGTGTCACACATAAACACATTCAGTCGTACTACAAATTACAATACAAATCGTTGAGTACTTATTGAGAAACAGATGACTGTATAAAAACAACAACAATGGTCAGCCATTTTGAATCCTTGTCAAGCCTAAACTTCAAACCTACCGGTGTTGAAGACATGCAACTCATCGACAATTCCTTCATTCCCACCACCAAAGACGACCATCAAATCTTTAATCGCGACTGCTCTGTGCCCATGCCGAGGTCTAGGGCATGGACCTGTTGTGTTTGTTACCCTTTTCCACTTCAGTATGGGTGCCGCCATTTTTGTTTTCGCTATGCTGGGGGTGGGTCACGTGATCATTATAATGTGACCTAGTTTGGGCCTAAATTCTCATTAAGCAGTAGTTTTCGTACATAATGTAGCAAAATCTGTTCAAAAATATATTACATATTATGATGTGGTCCAATCCCTTCATGTTCATCAAATGAGAAAAAATAATGAGATCGAATTGATATTTCCCATCAACATGTTGAAAGTCCCGGATAATAACCTTTGACATTGACAGGTGCCTCATTTATTTCTGACACAACTTATCATTTATAAACGCTTTTAATGAACAATAAAAACGTTATTGTAGAAGTGCTATATTAGGTATGGTATATGACATATAGAGTTACATATATTTTAATGGTAAAATAAGTCACACAATGTTGTAAATAGGTTTTTCATATAATCATTGTTCATGCTTTGCCCCCAAAAGGGGCCTCTTTGAACAAAATTGTAAACAAACCAATGTGTCAAAAATGCAAGAAAATAATTTTTCAGTTTGGTGATTTCCAGGTAGAGACCATTCAACAAACAGTTTGAAATGCTAGTTAGGAGCTTATTACACGTTTCTATCACATTAATCATCATTATTCTGCTGTCTTTCTCTGGGTTATTTGACTCTGTGCAGACAGAGCTTGGATTGGAACATTATGCTGAGAGACCCAGCCTTTTCTTACCTTTTATGTCCAAAGAGTGGATAGTATGGTTAAAACTCCCAGCAAATGCTACAGTAAATATTGGATACACCATCATTGGACTATATTGGTTGTTCTACACAAATAGAAATTACTCAGGACATACAATACACATCTATTATTTCAAAGTTTTTGGATGGTTTGGGGTGTTCTATGGATTTATCCAATTTGCTAGAATTGTGACACAGGAACATCGATACTCTGTATTGGATCAATGGGTGACATTACCATGTTTTATGTGGGTAACTGCATGGTGTAAGTCAATAGACCAGGTCCATAACCCATCAAGGAATGCATTACTGATATGCATCTCCGCTGCAAGTTATGGAGCTTGTCTGTTCCACAAGTTTGGATTTGAATTCATTCTAGGAATGCACATTGCAGCAGCAGTTTTATCAGCTTTAAGACTATATAGTGATTACAATAACATCAAATCATTTAATGCATTTATATATGCAGTGATATGTACAAGTGGTTTTGTAGGACTGAAACTAATGGACCATGAAATTGGAAAACTTCACATATTTTTTCAGTACTTCAGTGGACACTTCTGGTCTAAAATAGCCGACTTCATGCAGCTATACTATGTTCCTGTCTTCTTTGCTGGAATCATTGAAACAAAATTGAAAATCAACAAAAGTTTGTAAATCTTGAGTTTGGTGATGTAATTTATTAAAAAATTCGTATACATTTCTTCACAAATAAATAGTAATATTTTTTATGGATTTTTTATACTTTTTTAATAATAACAAACAATTGAATAAAAATGTTGGTAACTATACCATCATCTCAAAATGTATATACTGGTATATGTTAACATTTTAAAAGAAATAAATAACTTTTTATTTTGATCAAAAGCAGAATGATAGTGTTTATGTTCACATTTAATATGATATATTAGATCTGATGACACAACACATGACATCTGACTCGGGACCAATTTATCATTGATAGGTATAAAGTACCCATTGGGTCATTAACATAAACTTGGTAAAGTTAAGAATTCATAAAGTCCATTGTTCTCTTACGGTGACATCATTATATCCATAGTTACAATTGATTTATGAATTTGTAACTTTATGAAGTTTCTGTAAATGACCCCCAGATTAATAATTTTCCATAATTTTGAAAGGGCAAACCAATAAAAGAACCTAAATAAATGAAATGTTCAGAAAAATAGTCTTGCATCTTCACCACTTATATTTTGCTTTTTGATTTAGAAACATGAACTCCAATTAATTCAGTTTCTCATTTTATATAAGTGTCCCCACTCTTCGTAGATATCATTTTTGCACATCTCTGTAAGTCCATAACTATGTGCCAATCTTTATCAGCTCAGTTTACACTACAATCCAATCATCAATAGTAGATTTTGCGAGTGCATCTTTGGAGTGTTCTGGTGCTTTCAATAGTTTGACCAGACACATCACACATTCTTTTCCCTTGCTCACCAGTTGCTCCAGTCTCTCTATGACATTCTTTGGTGGAACCACAAGCTTTCCAAGAATGATCTGAAATACATATATAAATGTAAGTTATTATTACAGTACAGTAGTATTATGGCACTCTTCATGTTATTAATTTTGTAAGTAGAGATTTTTAACATGTCACCCTTCAATGCCCTTAAAATTTGATTCAAGTATACACACTTTGTGAAAATTTGTGAATTTGATTTTGAGCAAAATCAAACTAATTATTAATACTGTTACACCAAGTCCTAGTATAAGTCTCAGTTAATCTTAACTCTCAATCACCCCTAACTCACAAAACACAAGTTCAAGTGAAACACTGGGAGGTGAGATATGATGCAAAACTAAATGATTTATTTAATACAGACAGATGCTGGTAGTAAACTTACATCATCAATATGAGTGGTAATGAATACCATCTTATCCAACATGGTTACCAGTTTCTTCACCCTAGCTTGCTTGGGACTGGATGTATTTTGAAGACACACTGCCACATGCTCCGCAAGGTAATGAAGCTGAAAAAAGAAAATGGAAATATGCAACCAGAACAACGGCAACGCCAAAGCGTAGCGAATCCCATCGAACATTTTTCAAAAGGGGCACCTTCTACCAAAAGTGTCATTAGACAGTGTGCCATGCTTATAATATTCACATACCAAATATGAACAAAATCGCTCTACTACTTTTCGAGTTATAGTAAAATAAGTTAAAATGGCAGCCATTTTTCAAAATGTCCGCCATTTTTCAAAATGGCCGCCTTCTACCAAAAGTGTCATTAGACAGTGTGCCATGCTTACAGTATTCACATACCAAATATGAACAAAATCGCTCCACTACTTTTTGAGTTATAGTAAAATACGTTAAAATGGCGGCCATTTTGAAAAAAGACCGCCCTCTACCAAAAGTGTCATTAGACAGTGTGCCATGCTTATACGTATTCACATACCAAATATGAACAAAATCGCTCCACTACTTTTCGAGTTTTAGTAAAATAAGTTAAAATGGCGGCCATTTTTCAAAATGGCCGCCATTTTTCAAAATGGCCACCTTCTACCAAAAGTCTCATAAGACAGTGTGCCATGCTTATAGTATTCACATACCAAATATGAACAAAATCGCTCCACTACTTTTCGAGTTATAGTAAAATACGTTAAAATGGCGGTCATTTTGAAAAATGGCCGCCTTCTACCAAAAGTGTCATTAGACAGTGTGCCATGCTTATATGTATTCACGTACCAAATATGAACAAAATCGCTCCACTACTTTCTGAGTTATAGTAAAATAAGTTAAAATGGCAGCCATTTTTCAAAATGTCCGCCATTTTTCAAAATGGCCGCCTTCTACCAAAAGTGTCATTAGACAGTGTGCCATGCTTACAGTATTCACATACCAAATATGAACAAAATCGCTCCACTACTTTTTGAGTTATAGTAAAATACGTTAAAATGGCGGCCATTTTGAAAAAAGACCGCCCTCTACCAAAAGTGTCATTAGACAGTGTGCCATGCTTATACGTATTCACATACCAAATATGAACAAAATCGCTCCACTACTTTTCGAGTTTTAGTAAAATAAGTTAAAATGGCGGCCAATTTTCAAAACGTCCGCCATTTTTCAAAATGGCCACCTTCTACCAAAAGTGTCATTAGACAGTGTGCCATGCTTATAGTATTCACATACCAAATATGAACAAAATCGCTCCACTACTTTTCGAGTTACAGCAAAAATCGTAAAATAACGAGTAAAGGCCGCCATTTTTCAAGATGGCTGCCATGTGCTTTTTTAATATCTACATTTCTAGCTTTATTAATGTCCTATATAATTTTTTTTACATTTAAAACATATTGCTATTACAGTTTTACATATTGCACCTAAATTACTGTAAAATCGGCACTAAAATGGCCGCCATTTTTAAATGAGCGGCCATTTTGAAAATCGGCTTTCGAGCAGAACTTCTACCCCCATAGGGTATATGTGTACAAAATATGAATAAAATCAGGCCAACGGTATTTGAGTTATTGCCCGGACGGACGGACGGACGGACGGACGTACAGACGTACAGTCTGTACATGAATTTGAATTGCTTTGCCTATTCTCTATTCTTCTCCCCCTGAACAATTATAAAAACCCAACAAATAATTTTTATTAAAAATTAAATTACAAATATCTAGTCCACTATACAGTATAGTATACACTATACAATACATTTTATATATATTTTTACATATTTATATTTCATATTTTTCACATATTTACATTTTATGGGAAGAATAGGAAACCCACTACATTTTCTCTTTGAACTAACAATTGGTACCATGACTGTATAAAATAAAACATACCTGGACACTGACTGATATAGATGAGTTGATTGTGTCAATGATATGTTGCTTCTCTTCAACACTCTTCTCACAAGCCTTCAACAGATCACTGTAAGAAATTTGCTTTTTCCCAAATTCTTTTCTAGGTGTCTACAATAGAAAAATAACATTACATCTCTGTATACAAATGCAGTGATAATGTTCAAATGTGACAAAATACCTATAAACCATAGAAATCTGCCAGACACATTGTCCTCTCAAACTGAGTTAGAAATTTTGATGAAATATGATTATCAAATAAAAATACATTTCACATGACTTTGTACAGAAAACCTGTCTAAGTGGAACACCTTTGATACTGTTAAGTGTTCAGCTTGGGAGGTATTCCACTTATACAGGTTCAATTAACATTAAGTCAGTGGGTGGTGTTCCATTTCTAGAGGTGCTCCACTTTACAGGTTTCACTGGACTTATACTGTATCATATGACACTGTATACTATGTTTAAGTTTAATGCACAAGTACCTTTATTTTAGCAGACAGTTCTTTTCCCCTGAGCTTTAATTGTTGCACTTTCGTAGAATGATATGAACGTCTTTGTTCAACTGAAGCCACATAGTACTTGCCCTTCACTTTCTTATCAGGGCCTGGTTTCACATCCTGCAGCACAATCTTCTGTAAAATACAAATGCCATTTGTGAAATATTGATCAGTCAGGCAAGCTGCTTAGAATTTTACATGTATTAAGGTTACAGGCTTTTAATCTTATATCTTTAACAGTCTAATAAGAAGTACCAATTACTTTTACTGTATGGGGTACCATATTTTTTTCACTTATATTGAGAATGAAGAATATTATAGTCTTTTATGTACACTACATAATTTAAACAATAAAGAAGTCTCAAATGTTCCCCTCAATAACCAAGGACATACTAGTAGTTGAATAATTATCTATTAATTTTTTTTATTATGAAAATCATCATGATGAAAGACAAGTTTTCCCACAATACTGGCTACTGTACCTTTTTGGGCATGAATTTCAAGGGACATTTGTTGACAGAATTATGGTTATATGACCATCTTTCACAACATGTCCAACAGAAAGTTGTCCAACATTTAGGGCAATGTATCATAGAACAACCACCATTTTTCTCTATGTGACTTGAACAGCTAGGGCAACTTTTAACTTCTACACTTGTAATAAGTGGGACTTCTTTCTCAAAATAGTCTACGTCGTAATGACCTAGGGATATACAAATAAAATACTAAATTTAGTACTTGGAACACATTGGATAGGAGGAATGGGGCTTGGGAGCTTTGAGACTTCTCTGCCAAATCATTTTAAAGTGGAAGTTTACCTTTTTCACAAATCTACAATTATGATAATACTGGGTGGGTGTAAATTTGTGACCACAATTATAGCAGAATGCTTTTCCACAGCGACAGGTCATGTGGTTGCATCCATCAATCCGGGACACAATTCCTTTACACCAGGGGCAGATCTTGCACTCCTCAAGAAATTTGTTGAATGGAGACGTGTCCATGTCATAATAGTCACCTATGGAAAAAGAGACCAAATGCATCTTACACAAAGTTGGAGTTAGTTGCAGATGAATGGTGTGCCTGCTTGGAATATTGAGGGGGTTTGAGACTTCTCAACTCATAAGGGTGGGAATATACCTTTTTATATACAACAAATTTACAGAAGTGTGTGCCGCCAATGTATTTTTGACCACAGCCAAAACAGAAGAACTTCCCACAGCAACAATGCATGCTATTGCAACCGCCATTTTTGGACACAATGCCTTTACACCAAGGGCATACTTTGCAGCCATCAATAATGTATGAAGGGGTCACATCATCTTCATAATCACCTAATAACAAATATATATATATCTTTTTTGTAAGGTGGATTGCTAGCTGTATATAAAACTCTTTTGATCATTAATCTGGAAAATAATACATTTATATGATTGCCGATTGACAATTTGTCCAGGGTGTAAGAAACACCTGAAAATACGACTAAAAATGCAGTTTATGTAATACTAGTAGTCAGGGTTGAGCAGATTAAAAGTGGCAGAGTTCTCCTGATGTAGATAAAAATAAACATAAAATGAAATGCAAAATATCAAATTGACAAAGGGTCTCAGATTGGTCAACATTCTATTCAGAGTGCTTCTGTGATATTAGTCCTGGAAAATCAATATTTGCCTCGCATCAACCATACACCATATGGGCATTCATCCTTTATACACTTAAAGAACACCAGTACTTATTTGATCAAAAGCTATTTATATTATGATACATACAAATTAATCATTCAACAACATTTCAAGCAAATCTTTTGAATCATCAGTTAGATACTTTTTATTCCAATCCTGCTACATTGAATTTTCAGTTTTAAGACAAATCATTTATGAGGAAAAATCTGCACTGCATTCTTACCAAATGATTTTAGCCTGCTGATATAGTTCTTTGCTTGTTCACAAGTGGATGGCCAATGAGCAGGACCAAGACATTGGAAGCAGAAGTTATTACCACACTTGCAGGATATATTTGCAGCCTCATCTAAAATGAATTGCGCCAAATGTATACAATTGTATAAAACCATCCTCCAAACACAAGAACTCATTCCTCCTTTGGCTTAGAGCACTGCCGTCGGAAAATGTATTTAATGATTAAAATGTTGAAACATAACATATCAACTTGTCTCCTACAATGTATTTTAAACAAAGAGTAAAAATTGTAATTACCTTTAGTATCAGCAGTTATGACACGACCACATTTAGGGTTGGGACACCATTTCATGTTCAGTGTTGTTTGCAGTTTGTTGATCTGACATCTATCCATGTATTGTTTGTAGAGGTTCACTCCAACTGACTTGAGCACAGTTACTCCATCAACTTCTTTATCACACTTGTATTCCTGAAGTACATTTGTTTACATATTAATTCCTACATGTCCTATAGTACATTGTATTTATTAAATTAGTTTATGGAAAACAGGCACAATACGCAAATCTGGTGAGCTTGTTTTAACTTTTGAGGTTTTATTGTAAAAATCGAGACAACTGCTTTACAACTCTTGATTTGAGTTGAATTTGATCATCCAGTTAAATGCCTATCATGGCATTTAGGTTTTATCCATGTTTGAATTCATAGCAAACTGAATGTTACTTACTGGACACTTGAGTGATGGAACTCCAGTTCTGATTCCTCCAACTAGATGTCTCTGCCAGCATGCACTACAGAACCAGTGTTGACATGGCAAGAAAGCCATGGCCCCAGCCTCATGTATATCTACCTCATCAAAGCAAATTCCACAAAATGTTGTCCATTCCTCAAGTTCATGTCCAACAAGAGACAGTTGCCTCAGGGGGAAGGCCTGGAAAGAAATAACATTTATATAAATAACTCTTTATTGATGGAAAAAAAACATACAGGTTTTTCTGTTGGATATCATACTTTTCCAAACACATGTTTATTCCTTCTTCTTAAGGTTTATACACAAAAATGTATGTACCTAATGAAAAAATAATTCAAAATTGGTGATACTGTACTCCAAATGCTGTTTCCAAATGGCTCTTACCTTTGCTTGAGATGTGTCTTCCACTGTAGCATATGCCTCTTCTACTGTGCTTGCCCCTGTCTGCCACTTTGTTGCAGAGTTCAATAGTTCAAAGTTAACTATTTGATTCCCCTTAAGTCCAACAGGTTTCTGTGATCTCTCTTTGAACTTGAAGCTAAAATTAAATCATATATTTTCAAATACAGAATGTATTCTCACTAAAATTGCATGCTGCATTCAATTGCAGCTGAGGAAAATGTCTACATCAGAATTGTTTCATGATTGATAATTTAGTTCTTTTAATATACAAATCGTATAAAAGAGCATTACAAATACCTTTCAATTGGTAGTGTATCCATATATAGGGTAGCTGCAAAGACAGCATCCTCCATTGTGTAGAGTTCACCCTCACACAGAGTCTCGATGGAGATGGATTCCACTCCAGTATTGCACAATAGGGACAATCTACAATGTAATGAACAATTGATGCATGAGATGAATATCTGAAATAATGCAATCAATCATCAATCCACGGTACATGCTAGTGATAATGTTCGAAGAGTAAGAAAAATACATTAACTCATTTTTTGGAGTGTTCTCTGTCCAAAAACAGGCACATCTTTCAAATACAATGTATGTAGGAAATCATGATTATATACATATTGATATGATATGGTTCAGTTTTATGTGGCTTAAAATTTCTTAATGTTACATCCTTTGTAGCTTTTCACAATAATAAATTTAAAGATTTATTTAAACGAGGAACGCACCTTGCTGCTGATGATCCTTCACTTGTTGTCTCAATCACCTCACATACAAGCCATGAGTCCAGATCAACATCTCTGCACCAATCAGAACCTTTCAATTCACTGTGTCCTAGCAACTCAGTAACATTCTCTGTAATATTGATGGTGAAACTTCTGGGAAGGGTTCCACCCTCTGTGTATTTCTCCCCATATTTTTCCATTAGAAAACGAGGTTTAAGAGTGTCAGATATGAGTTGAACAGTAATAGGGAGAGCTTCAGGTCGAACAGTAAAGTTTGGTTCATGAACTGCAACTTCTTCTTCAATTAGTTTGTCCTCATTGTCAATATAGATGGCACAACCTTTACCATATTTGGATTTAGTTGCGACTTTGGAAGTAAGCTTCTTTGCTTCCAGATTAGCAAATTCATCAGACTGTTGTATTCTCTCAGCCTTCTCAAGGAGTTCAGCCAGAGAACAGGTAGCTGGTGTATTTAAGTAGGATTCATCTTCATCATTTGTCTCATCATCGGAGTAATAATCATAGTCATAGAGGTGCTGATTAAGGTTGCTTGCATTACGTGCGTTCTTCCCTCTTTTACCACTAGCAGCTGACTTACCAGAGCTGCGTCTGTTATAATCTGCAACAAAAGGTGAAAATATTTATTTTAAAAAATAGTTCATCTCTCAATATTTGAATTTTTGGGTAAAACTCTGGATGAGAAATATGATTTGAACAGCCAAACCTCCAAGTCAAAATTATATTAAGAATATTAAATGTTTTGTTCTGTCTACTTATTTTTATTGTTTGCTTATAACTCAGTATTTTATGTAAATGATTATAAAATGTTGCCCTTTGTGCTTTTAGTGAATAACTTTAACCTTACCATTGACTTCATAATCTCCAATGAAATTGGGTTTAACAGTAAGAGCACTGTTCTTTGGACAAGGGTAGTAGACGCTATATCTGACTTCTGGGGCGGCATTTCTGTAAACTGGTACCTCCCTTGTAACCCCATAATCTTCATCATCACTGTCATAGTTAACAACTCGCTCCATCTCCAATGGCGCATTGCGTGGATGGCGTGTTAAATCAGATTGAACAATTATACTTTTTCCATTCATGTAAGTTTTTGGGGTCGAGTGATGTAGTTTGCTTCTTCTAGGCTTGATGTCCTTTCTTGCTATTTTGTTGGCAAAGTGGCGGATTTTACCTTTGTTGCTATGGTAACTTATACAGGAGTTTGGTTTTGTGAGCTTGTGGAATTCAATGAGTGTCAGCTTATGATCATGTTTAGAGGATTTCTTGTAAGTTTCAGCCTCGATACATTTTGGAATCGTCCAGCGATAGCCTTTGTTTAAGGAGTATTCTATACCACCTAGAATATGGAATAAATCCAATGTAACATCAAGAGTAGCATATACATTATAAGTTAATTCACAAGTCATAAGCTGACCAAGTAAATGACATGTGGAAGTTTATTATAATCATATTTACCTTTGAACTCTGCAAAGTCACTATCATCATTTGCATCATGGTCTTCTATGTTAATAGCCTCTTTGCAAATGACAGCTTGTGTAGAGTATCTATTTTTGTAGCGGGTTGACACACCGCGAATAGTGTTGCCAGTGTTGGTATTGAGTTTACTGCACTTCAGCACCATGTTTGATCTTCTACCCGTAGGAGGACTGCAACCTAAAGTTAAGACAACTAATTAGATACTGTACTTCTCCCACATTTGACATTAAAATCATTTTCTCGTACTTGACCCGAAAAAATTTAGATCTTACTATTGAGCTCTAGACTAGCTAAGTAAAAGCCTGGCTTTTTATTTACACAGGACTACAGGCATGTTCAATAAAGATCTACAGTGAGCTTAGAAAATACCAAAGGTCAAGGGAAAATTGCTCAATATAGAAACAGACAAATATACAAACAAACAAATTAATTAACTTTCTTATTGAGCTTAGGCTACTACCACTTTTTAGGTACATTCACTGAACTTTTCCCTGGCCTCTTCCCTAGACTCTTCTATATACAGCTCATTATTACTTTTCCCTATGGTGTTCACTGTGAAATATCCTCACCTTTTATTTGATTTATCTCTTCTTTTTAACTTTACAGATGCTGCCCACCTCTTATCACTGAGTTCCTCAGTCGTTCTCTCCTTGGTGTCTATGGAGGCTTTGGCTAAATATGGCCTGAAAGTTGCTTTTATCAGCATTTCAATGTTTACAAACAGTTTCATATCTGTGGTGCAATTTTTCAATTAGGGTTACACTTCCGGTTTCTATTTTTAGAAATGACGTCAAGGTCAGGCAGACTTGAAAGGTCAAGGACTTTCAATATGGAAGACATGATCTTAGAAAATATTAAAATTTAGTACATTTTTGATCATAAACTCTTAATCTTTATTAATTTGTCGAGTAAAATGCACCTTTTTGTCATGGAAAGATTATTTCTTCAGGAGAATTCTTGAAATAGGAATGTAGCCTTCAGGAAAGGGATGAAATCTTCGTGTAGCACTAAAAATAAATTGAAAAAGTCTGTCACAAGATCATGACAATCTGAAGTGAAAGTGAAAGTAGATTTTGACATCACATGGATGGACGTTACAGTTAATACTGGTCGTTCATAAACTAGATTCATGTTGATAAAAGTGTAATTCCACAAGGTATATGCATAATAAATAACTGAATCATTTCCTGAACACTTGAGTTGAAATGTCTGGGGGGACGACGACAAGGTATGAAGAAATTGGGGCAGATCGACCACTATTTGGTGAAGCACGGCCCAGAGTAAGTGTTATGATGGGGTTTCAACCCATGGTGTTATAAACTTTTCCATTATTTTGAACTTGCAGGTGAGCTACATATTATGATGTCAATTTGCAACCTACATTTTTGAAGCGCTGGCAGTTCCCAGTGGGATTTAAATTAATTTTCTGATAGAATTTGAATTCAAAATTCAGATGAATCTTTATAATAAAGCTAACAATAAACAGATAGTTACTATATATTTCCAAGCCTACTTGTATAATTCAAATCTTGAAATTGTGAATTCATCATAAAGTGAAATACTATGAAATTGTTCATGAAAATTCCATGCAAGAATCAAATTTGTTTTACAATAATCTTAATATCACTTTAATTCCTATTTTAGGACCGTGTGGCAAATTTGATTGTCGGAGCATTTACAGCTTTAGTTGTCACAGTAAGTTTTTTTATTTTTCAATTCGACCATATTGTTAGGTTTCAAATGTTTCATTGTAGTATTCACTAACATACAATGCATGCCAATACCAACGTCATGCATAATGAATGAACAATCTTTGATACTGTAATTTACGGTATATAGTAAGAATTGATTAAAGATTTGCAATTATGCATTCAGATGAAATTTTTAAACATCATACCGGAATTTGAGTTTATTGCGAATAGGCCCATGAGTGTTTTTTTGAGGGCCTCTAAATAAATACCCAGTATTTAAATATTTAAGAAAATGGGAAAACTGAAATGAAGTAGAAAATATATGGCAAAACTTTACATATGGGACATTAGTCAATGTTCATGATACTCTCAGACAACAGCATGAGTATGAAGGCCAGGTTTCAACTTTATGATTGATAATATCCCTTGAAATAAACCTCCACTGGCTTGGGAAAGTAATTTTTCCCCTCTTAATAAACGCCTTCCCCCACCTGGGTATTAATTTTAAGGATTTTCAAAATATATGCCCAGTGGGCCTATTCATTAGAAATTGTGGTATATACAGTAAAAACTGTCAGGTCACTCAGGTGGAACACCTCTGAAACTGGAAAGCCAAAGGAATGGCATTTTACTTGGTTTTACTGACTACCAAGTTATGTCAGTCAGTTTTAGTTTAGTACAAAGCAAAATACAGAAAGGTGCAGATACTAAGAAAATTCCTGTCTTTTTAAAACCCCATTGGCATTATTTTTGATTGCTTCCAAATGAACATCCAATGGGCGAATAAACTGATATTTGGTTTGATTGCATTCTATCACTGATAATATGAAGTAGGTTTCATTGATAAACATGAAAATGAGGGCATTTGTATAAGTAGAAATGAACCTCGTAAATATCTTTCACTGTAACAATGCCCATGGGCAATTCGTAGGAAAGCTGATAAAAAAGTTACAATATCAATCATGTCAAGTGCCACATGAATATCTCTTTATATAAACTCATGTTGTTTCAGTCACATTTGTGAAAAGTGAACTACACCCCATGTATAAAAGTACATCTGTCAAGTACTTTACTTCTACTTAATTTGGTAGTACTTATTTTGGCGGATTTGCTGTTTTGAACACTTGGCAACTACTTAATAGGGCGGACTTGTAATATTACAATGTACTAATGGTACTGATTTACAGGGTACTAAAATTACTGGGGAATTTGATGGCTATTTAATTTGGCAGATTCACCAAATTAAAACTGCCGCCAAATTAAGTAGAAGTACAGTAAGTTGATATGTCTCAACTTGATGAGTCTTTAATATTGGACATTTTAAATTTTCAGGTGACAGTGGTCAGTGGGTTTATATTTCCCGCAGGTGGACCTAAAGGAGTGAATATCTACTTTGCTTGCTGCATTGTATTTATTCTAGGATCTCATTTAATACTTGTAAGTACATATATAGTGTATGATTTCACAGGCCCATAGCCAAAATTTCTTTCAAAACATGCAGTTTTTCATGATTCTGAGCATTTTCATGTGATTTTGAGCCAAATTTGTCATGTGAACCCCGTGGACTTTTCTGAACCCCCTTTAGCAAAAGCTGGCTACAGGCCTGTTACATCTTATTACTATTAGCATAATAGTATTGTGATTAAACTAATTAACCAATAAATAAATATCAATATGATAACGAATGTGATATTGGTATTTCTGGATTAAAAAAGAATTGCATTGAAACATGGCAATTCGAAGATCTGGCCTAGCATTTGATCACTCTCATGTGAAAGTTTATTATTAATGGAGAATCAACAAAGGCCTATACATGTACAGTAGAACCTGTATATCTGAACATCTGGCTAATCTGAACACCTCCCAATCTGAACACTTTTTTCGGTCCCATTTTTTCCTCCCATTGACTCCCATGTTAAAAAACCTTGAAACGTGAACACCTCCCAATTTGAACAGTGAACAGTCATATTTGAAAAATTCGCCTGTCTAATCTGAACACTTTTCATAAAATTTCTGATGTTTCATACAAAATTGCTCAAATTTTGTCATGATATCAAAACTTTGGGAAATAATCTTGAATGGTCTCATTCATAATGGGGCTTTCCAGCATGACTAGATTCATTTGAATCGAATTTTCAAATTTCTGGAATGCCATAAAGTTATGTGGTCAAACGACCTATAAATATTTACCGAGAATGTGTTCACATTTCTTCAGAATCTGGAATATTGCGAATGCAAATACCTTGAAATGTGAACACCTCCTAATCTGAACGCTTTTATCCGGTCCCAATGGCGTTCGGATTAGACAGGTTTTACTGTATATAGTTATTTTGCAGGGGACAAATGCATGTAATATCAAGTATTTGTTGTGCTCAGTGCTACTCACTGAAATTGTAAGCTGTAAAATTTTTATCTCTATGTATTTCCAGATATATTGGTATAGACAAGGTGACCTTGAACCAAAGTTTAGAACACTTATATATTTCAATGCATTCACAATAATTCTTCTCAGTGTCTGCGCAAATCTTTACATTCATGACTTGGGCAAATGACAGCATTGGGAAGGCATTATGGTCCTGAACAATGGACAGAGTTGCAGCTTCAAAAAAACATACAAATGCAAGCATATAGTTATGCCAAACAATATTTGGAGAGCAGATTAAGAAAATGTTTTTGTTTGACTACAGCCAACTGATCAACTATTTATACGGATACATTCAGAGACCCAGTGAACCAGGAACATATGAAGTTGACAACAACTTTTGTATTGTTTGTAACTAGAAGCAAATAATGCGATGAAGTAATGACCATAATGATGGTGATTTGAACTTACAGTGAATCTACCTGTAACTCAGAAGAAAACTAAGTGTTCATGTCAAAATAATGACTTCCATCAAAAAATGTAATTGTATATGATAATGAGGTGGAGGTTTTTATCTGACTCTTATGTGCATAGGGTCTTAATCTGTGTGATACATTAATAATTTTACATATCAAATCACTGGTTTAACAGAGTTTTGTTAGCTCTCTTGAACGTCAATTTGATTTAATTGATGGAACAATTGTATCATTATCAATGCAATGTTGCAGTATAGAAAAAGGAACAAACAGTGTTTGAAATACATGTACAAACACATAGTCACATAGTTGACTATATTTTTATATACATGTACAGTGTGTATTTCTTTATTCAGACATGGCAAAATGTATGAACAATTTATTCCCTTTGAATCAGGCATTTATCTGATATCAACTTAATTTGCTGACTGATTTAATTTGGCGAGCTGCAAAAATTCGCCAATTCGTGTCTTCGTCAATTTTATAAAAATCCCCAGGAAAGTTTTGTCCAGTGTAATTTCTTTATGTTTGGAAATATGGTGTGTCTTGGTTCAAATGTTCAAGATCAGTCTGATTTATCCAATAAAGCACATTGATCTCCACATTGGCTTCTTTTTCAATTTTTTATCTACCTGGCTTATTTTTTGTTCGAATGAGGAGTGTTAATACTGGTTCACATGTCAAATTCGCCATTTTCATTCGTATTCTTTCTTGGTAAATTTACGAAATTAATCCTCTGCCAATTTTCCAATTTTGCCCAATTCTCCAAATTAAATAGTGCCAAATTAAGTTGACTAACAGTAGGTTTTGGTGTTTCTGTCAGAACACATTGTTTAGAAATGACTGCTTCTCTATGTATATTACTACATATGTACTTCTCCCAAATGCAGTCTTATTAAAGAAAAATAATAATACAGGGTTTCAGGGACTAATACAAGACTTATGTCTTATCAAAATTTTCCTAGTCATAGTCATTTTTGTAGCCTTGCCCAAGTCGGTCTCTTTTACTTATCTTTATTTCTAGATCAGATAAGTAAAAAATACCGACTTAGGCAAGGCTATCATTTTTGGAATTTCATTTTTTCTGAAATCCTTGTCCATGCTTTCATGTCAATATGTTGCATACAGTCAGAATGTCATTTTAAGATGGACTATGTTTTTGTTGCTTGATTTGAATGTGTATATGATATAAATGTAACAATGAACTGTATATAATTGAGGTACTACTATGGAGTTCAACTAGGTAAATTAAATACATGTACCTACTACCTTGCAAGGTTGAATCTTGTAATAAAACTGATACAGGTATCTGAGATTATAGGTTTTCAAGAAAACCTCATGAAAGCTTGTGCCCATCTCAAATGTATAAATAAGTTCATAAGTACAACAGATTTCTCATTTCGCTGAATTCTTTATCTCAGACATTTTCAACTACATATGTCTTCCTTGATGAACTACAGTATTAATGATTATATCCAAATAGTAAGTTTAAAAAATACATGATAAGTTACAGTTCATTATTTAATGATACAGTATAGCATATAAGTTTGGACAAAGAAATGCTGAGTACTAGTAAATTAACAAAATATTGATGAGTCAATGATGCATCTTTGGAGAGTCAACTCATGATGTGATTCTGTAAATACAGTTTAACACAGACCTAATTAGAGGCACCCCCCATTCATGTGCATACATGTAGACTAATCTAACATCGTATTCTCAGTTTGTTAAACATCTATAATTTTTTGAAAAGTTGAACTTGTTTATTTTAGGCAAGATCATGAGATTTTGCAATGTTTTTCACATTGGTTTCCATGGATCAAATTCAATTATCCTGATTGTATCCTTTGGGGTTTAACTTATCCACTTTTGCAACTTGGCCCGTTTTAAAAAAAATTAGTATAAGGTCTCAACATGTGAACTGACCAAATGGTGCCATTTTTAATAAGTAATGTTGACCAGTAGAATATTTAGACCGATATGCCAAAAATTCCAATGCATTTAACTATGTATGCATGCATATTATTATGAACTGACCTCTCTGGGGCTGAGCTTTAGGGTAACATATTTTTTTACCTCATTTACACGGTCAGAATAGAGCTTAGTAATGTAAGATCAATAAAATCAAATTCAAGTACATAACATGAAATATGTTGCTTTATTTTATTAGGCTTTTCTGAATATTTTGTATGAATAGAACCCCTGGTAAAATATAAACCCTTCCAGAAATTATGTGTAATACTACTTTTACTACTGTAATACAGAAAAAACTAACTGTTGATTCCGGATACGAGGATTATGGGAAACTTGTACTGCATGTAAATTTGAGCGCTTGCTCACTATTTGTATTATTTTGTATCTCATAGGGGGGGGATACATGTATTTTATTTAAAAATGTATTGATGTTTGTGTTATCTAACATAAATGTAATACTAGTAGAGTATTGTATTATACAGAACAGCATATGAAAATAAAGATTATTTTATTTTTAGATTGATTTCCTTTGCTTAATGATATTTGATATAAATGAGTGAAAATAAATACAATGGAATTATTGATAAAAGATTACTCTATAAGATGAAAACCACAAAATTACCATTGCCACCCCTCCCATACTTGATCATATTTTCAATGAATACAGATAGAATATAATTTTATTGCTCTAACTCACTGAAAGAAAAATCAATTTAGAATATGTTTAAAGCGAAACAAGTTTAAACACAAAATACAGATAATGATTATATTCATGGGCTTTCCCTTGAAAGCCCATATATTCTTCCTTGATTATTATAAGAGGTAAAACATGGTTCCCACCCCTCCCCCTATTTTAAAATCTGTTCATGAAAGCCACAAAGCTTGTCAAGTTATCATGCAAAATGATATGTACTGATGATGATGGGTGAATAAAACTTCACAAAAATATTTTCAGTTAAGAATAAATCTAAAAGTTATTCTAAATTCCAAAGGTGTTTGTCTAATTACAAGTTGTAGACAAAAGGTCTTGTGCTACTCATATGACTCATCATGTGACAGTCATATGACCACTTGAACAAGATGGCGGCTGCACAGAAGTTTTCAAACTTATCAATTTTTCTCTTAGTTGTTACATTTTCCCTTGTTTATGGAGATACACCAGCGAATTGTACATACCCAGAGATTCAGGGTACTTGGATCTTCCAAATAGGCAAGGGAGATCAGGGAAATACCATCAAATGTAACAGTTTAGGTAAGAATCGCGATACAGTCGGAATTAATTTTTCTGTGCGCCAATCAAAGTTTGATTCAAACGTAAAAATAGGCATTCAAATACTGCCACAGGAACTGTGCACAGTTGAATATCATATAATAAATAGATTTATATTTTGCGTGCAAAAGATTTGTGTATAGTGGATTACTTGTGGGGTTGGATACTACAGTTCCCGGAGGTTCCAGTCAAATAAATCTGACCACTCTGTTATTTGTTATTTTTTGTTTGGATATTCATATTTTATCACTTCTTCCATACGGTGGTTGAAAATATTTTCCACTTTGGTCCTTCAATATTGCTTATTTCTTATGTTGCACAGAAAAAGTGATTCAGACTATAGCAAGATGCACCCATTGACCTTTAGTATCCCTTAGGGTTATCCCGTTCCAGGACTGGAATGGGATAACCTTAGGGGACTGAGGGACTGAATGGATGAAATGCACAAAACGAAATTCTTGGGGATTGCTGAGTGGGGGATATACTGGGAGATATAAATATAATATATGCCTACCTCATATATCAATTATATTTCCGTGTGAATAACACTATTAAGTAGAGCATAGAGTGTGCTATTGATCACCACATCAGCTGTCCAGTCAAAACTGTTACAAAATGTTCATAAATACGATCACTACAGTGCTGATATATAATAATTAAGGGTGCGTTTTCAAACTAAACAGAGTGCTCCTACCAAAATAAATTTGCCTAAATACCCCTGAGACTCTTATCTGATAGATAGAATGCACAAATAAAACAAAAGTTTTGCTATTATAGGTAAAAAGTTCTCTTGAAATTACGAAGTGATTTTACCTGTTAATTCTGTTCATGGTCCGCCATTTTTGCGGAAGTTACACTGAAACGCAAACTCCATGAAACGAAACGAAATCACTAGAAAAAACATGGCATACATTGTGCGCATGTGCAGCAAAGTTTTAACCAATCAGATTATTTGATTATTTTGCGCACATGAATTATTTGCTTCTGAGCACTTACAAGCTTACCACAATAAACAAACCTGGCAGAGACTACCCTGAGCCTACTTCATTTTGGCGAAATTTCAGCTCAAACTCGTGACAAATGAACTATGCATACGCTGGTGTGAAGCCTTGGAGACACTCATTTTGGTATATATGATTTATGGTGTATACTTTTCTGCAGTTTGTGTGAGTTTGGGACATTAAATGTTAAAATTCAAGAAAATATGGCAATAAAACGACTAATCAATTAATATATACCAGCACTGTACCCAAATGTAACTATTTTCCTTTTTGTAGATTTCACAGTCGTAAGAACCTAAGTTGAACCATTCATTTTAATATATAATTTGATTTCAGGCCCAGTTGTAAGGACCTTGAAGGTTGACCTAACATTCCCAGATGTTGCTGTTGATCAAGATGGAAACAAAGGCTTTTGGACTCTTATTTATAATCAGGTATTTTACAAAAGTTGTACAGTAAAACCTGTGTAATTGGAACACCTTTAGTGCCTATAATAAGTGTTCCTCTTGGGATGTGTTCTACTTACAGAGGTTCATTTAACCTTTGTTAGCTGAACTTTGGAAAGTGTTCCACTTATGGTGATGTTAAATAACCCAGATGCGAGTAGAAATAATCTTGATTTACGTCATTAAGAATTCATTTTTGAAATCTACATGTAAAATTACATCTAGAAATGTGGTTTTAAAAAGTGTTTATCAACTTTGAAAAAATTACTTTTCTTTGAAAATGTGACTTCTAGCTCGGGGAGATTCCCCATAGACCCCATGCTATAAAATCACAAAAAATGAAATATCTTTTCTTTTAGTGAACAGATAATATTTTGCTTTAATGGACATATTTTCATTAGTATAAGTATTAGACACATAAGGGTTATATGAAAATTGAGCCACTCAAATTGATAATATTCAAGTTTAAGGGAACTTTCTTATATACCTGCCATGTTAATTGACCCGAATCAGCCACCTGGTGGTGAAACTGGTAACTACCTACTCGCATTTGGGTTATTTACAGAGGTGTTCCACTTTACAGATTGTACTGTAAACAGTATCATACATTAATGGGAAGTGCTTTTCATGCAATTACTTGTATAGTTTGTCTCGTTTTTACTTTCTATATTTGATATTTAATTTTGATATGGGCAGAAATGAACTACAGTCAGTATTATATATGTCTGTGTCGTAACATGTAGGGATTTTAAAGAGCACGATTAATATGTTATTATATCCAATCCAACATTAAGGCTACCTGTATAGTCTTGATATTGTTGGCATATGTAGTGATGTTATTTTGCAATTTAGTATATTTTTCTCTATTTAGTACAGTAAAATCAATTCAGGAATTAAAATGAGTCCAAGATAATTCAATAATAAGATTTGTTTCAGGGCTTTGAGGTTGTGATCAACAGTCGCAAGTATTTTGCCTTCTCTAAATATGAAGGTAAAGGTGAAAATGCCACCAGCTACTGTGATGAAACAATGCCAGGGTGGTCACATAACATCGATGAGATGAACTGGGCATGCTTCAAGGGAAAAAAACAAACAGCTCTTCCCCCTAAGCATATGCCCCCTGTAAAAAAGTATGTCTTCCTTTTATTAAGATATTAGAATCAAAATAGAATGAGTAAAATTATTTGAGTGAAAACAAGGATAATTGATAAACTTTTAAATAATTTTTTTGGTTCATCAAATGGAACAATGAATAAACTTGAAATTTATTTTAAATCTGATTTATATATTTTGTAAATGATAAAAAAATATGTTGACTTTTAATACACAATATTCAACAACTTCAATGTTATTGTAATCCAGATACAACCAATATCAGATGTACAGGAATAACATGGATCTAGTTAGGAAAATTAACTCAGTCCAGAGCTCCTGGAAAGCTGCTCCCTACGATGAACATGAGACATTTAACCTGAGAGACATTGTCAGAAGAAATGGTGGCAAAATGTCTAAAATACACAGGTGAATAAAGATAATTAAATCACCAAATTATTATTATGTATTTTTTCAGTGAGCCTTGACAATAAATGAGTCTGTATTTTTATCGCACTTTGAAAAAGTGCTATATTGCCGTCGTCTTGTGCTGTTGGGCGGGCGGGTGGGCAGGCGTGCGGGCGGCACATAAACCAAATCTTGTCATCAAATTTCCAGGATAACTGCTTACCTGTTCAACTTGAAATTTTTACAGATGCAAGAGCAGACTAGTACGAAGATCTGATAAGGTTAAGGGGATGCTGGGTAAACTACGTGGCAGCCATTTTGAATTTTTCAACAAATCTTGTCATCGAAATTCCAGGAAAACCACTTATCCGTTCAACTTGAAATTTTTACAGATGCAAGAGCAGACTATTGCCAAGATCTGATTAGGTTTTGGGTATGCTGGCTGAATTACATGGTGGCCATTTTGAATTTTTCAATTTGGCGGCCATTTTGAATTTTTCAACTTGCTCCAAATTGACCAAATTTTTTTTTTAAAAACATCTACAAGTTCTCAGAAGTTCAAATCTGACCTTAGATTTCAGATTTGACCTTTCGTTCACCTTCAGTGACCTTGAAAAGGTCATAAAAGTTGATTTTCTAAATTGATATTTTGGATTTAAATTTAGGTCAGCTTAATTACAAAACACCTACTGAGGTCTGAAAAAGTGAAATTTTCAAGGTCGAAGGTCATCAAATTAGGTCACAAACAATGTTATCTAAATTTTCCCAAAGTTCAAGACTACAAATAAATTCTTGTCATCAAAATTGCAGGAAAACCGCTAACCTTGTCAACTTGAAATGTTTACAGATGCAAGAGCAGACTAGTGCCAAGGTCTGATTAGGTTTTGGCCATGCTGGGTAAATTGCATGGTGGCCAGTTTGCTCTTCAAAGTGCGATATTTATCACTGTGTGTCTTGTTATGTTCTAAAATCAGATAATATATGTAGCCATTTTTATGCCTAGTCCCTTGAAAGCACGTGGTATTATTAAAAACCTGGTCACTCATTCCTCAAATAAAACCTCATATCATATCAATTTTGAATTATTGTCTCAAAAATCTTGAAAGTCCACATTATTTAAGTCACTGTGATGTTAATGTGTTGCAGTAAGCCAGTGTCAGCCCCCATCACCCAGCAACAGCTAGATATGATTAGAGACATGCCTGATGCCTTCGACTGGAGAAATGTAAATGGCACAAATTATGTATCTCCAGTTCGCAACCAAGGTAAGACATTTTCTTCTCTTAAAGCATACATTACAGAAAGTTCATGGATAACTGCAGTAAATCCTAAATTCACAATAAGAAAAGTAATTAAAATAGATGAACATTGTAAATACTGTTGTTCAGATGCATTGAACTACAGTGTACATGTATATGAAGTACATGTGTTAATATTATTTCTAGGTGGCTTAGCGCTCTCTCATATTCACATACGCTCAGATATTCACATCCAATGAATTATCTGTATTTCCTATTTTTGCTTACTTGTTCCAGGGGGATGTGGGAGCTGTTATGCCTTTAGCTCTATGGGAATGCTGGAAGGCAGACTTCGTGTTGAAACTAAGCTGAAGAAGAAGGACATCTTCTCTCCCCAAGATGTGGTAGAGTGCAGCGAATATGCTCAAGGTAAGTAAAAAGCATTGTTGTACTTTGATGGCATTTTTGTGTCACCCTGTACCTTAATGCAATGTCTTATTTGTTTTCCATTTGATATGTGCTTTTAGATTAGAGTATGAATAATTTATTATAAAATCTCTATAATGGGAAACCATTATCTAATGGATCCAGTATTGATTAAGGTGTGTTGCAATTATGAATCAAGAATGTTGCAATTAATTACATGATGTTCAACTTATTTCCATATCTTATGTCAATGACAGAAACAATACAGGGATATTTGTTGCCAAGCTTCATAACTCTGCTTTCTGTTGTACTTTCATTACTGCCCCAAATAAATGAATTGAACCAAGACCTCATTATGCAGTAGATGTACATTATCTCAGTTCTATTCTTTGGATGCATTTACTCTTTTGTTTTACCTATATTTCATAGAATAGGTAAGTGGATTTGTACCCTTTGCATTCGTTTGACTTCACTTCTTAAAAGAGAGCTCCATCTTGTAGTTTAACTAGACTCTACACGCAGGGTAGTGGATTTGTAGGGATTACAAGCGAAGACTTGGTTAACCCATACACGAGAAATAGATCAAGATCTCATTAGTTTACCAAACAGATGCCACGTTAACTGGACATGATTTAGGAGTTACATATGTAGTAATCAGTGTTATCATATCAGCACTCGTTATTGTGTCAAATACTTTAATAATAGTTGCAATATTGAAGTTTGACTATCTTAAGACAATCAACAATCAATATGTGCTGAGTTTATCATTTGCTGACTTAATGGTTGGATTGGCTTTGCCATATTGTAACTTAAGGCAGCTATACCCAGAAGCGAGCCTGGTAATAGATGGGGCTGATTCTGAGAAATATTCTTGTCTCGTGTGTCAGGTGGTTTTACACCAACCAGTTGCCGTTTCAATGATGATGTACACAGCTATTTCTGTGGAAAGGTACATCGCAATCACAAGACCTTTCTCATACCCTGATATATTTACTTTGAAGAAAGTGAGGATATCCATCATCAGTTTCTGGATTTATTCTTCATTTATGTCCATTGGAGCAAGCTGTTTTAACATATGGACACCTGGTGTACAATGTAGTTTGTCAATGACATTGTACCACCCTGCAGCTTTCTATGGTTTTGTTGAATCTGCTGGAATCCTCATGGTTGCCATTATAGGCACGGTATACTGCAGAATTTTCTACATTGCTTGGGCACAAAGGAAACAACAAAATGAGCAGCAGAATGTTCTAGGGCCTGTTGCAGGCACTTTGAAATCAAATATGAAGATAGTAAAAATTATGGTCATTATCTTTGGAACTTTGCTTGTTCTGTACACTCCATATTGGACATTCACATTTGTAGTGTTATTTTACAAGCAGAAGCCAAAATGGCTGGTCACATATGAACAATTTTCTGTAATACTGTTATATTGCAATTCATTTTGTAATTCGTTGGTGTATGGATGGAAAAGTAGAGATTTTAGAAGGGCATTTAGAAAGTTGGTTTACAGGCAAAACTCTGATAAAGTTTTTCCATTAGAAAATACTGAAAAACAGTGAACTTGGTGAAAACCAGAATGTGAAAATCTTTGGAAATCCTGAGGAAACTACATGTACAATGTATGACTTTATATGCAAATCAAACGTACATTTGTTTGAAAGCACAGTGCAGTACATGACAGTACAGTACAATATTAAACCATGACATCTTTGACAAGGGGATCATATTTTGTTAGTTGGGATTTGCTATTCCATGGAGTTGCCTTTATCAAGTTTTAACAGATTGGTGTGATATGAGAATGTTTTCTGTTGATCCATCACAATTATAATTTCATTCAGGATGTGAGGGAGGATTCCCCTATCTAATCGCTGGTAAATATGCAGAGGACTTTGGAGCCGTTGATGAACAATGCAATGTATACAAGGGCAGAGATGGACCCTGTCAAACTAAGAAGACTTGTGGGAGAACCTACTCCACAGATTACCACTATGTAGGGGGCTACTATGGAGCGTAAGTTTGTAATCGTGTTTGAAATTATTGAGCTAAGAAATGGAGTTATTGTATCATTTTCTTCACATACATGTGCATGTACAGTATTAACATGGGAACTGGTCTACTAGACTGCTCCAGGCAGTGATACATTAAACAAATTGGATCTGATATTTATATTACCTCCACAAGTGGTGACATAAAATAATTAAATAAGCCTCAAAATAACTTCTTGTTGTTTTCGCTTATGCCTTGTCTTGCTTTGTTTTTGTAGCTGCAATGAGGCTTTGATGATCAAGGAATTGGTGACATACGGCCCTACATCAGTGTCATTTGAGGTCTACCCTGACTTCATGCACTACAGGCATGGGATATATCACCATACTGGACTCATGGACAAATTCAACCCATTTGAAATCACCAATCATGCAGTGTTGCTTGTGGGGTATGGAGCCGATAAAATGTCAGGGGAGAAATACTGGATCGTTAAAAACAGTTGGGGGACTGGATGGGGAGAGGATGGCTTCTTCAGAATCAAGAGAGGAGCTGATGAGTGTGCGATTGAAAGCATTGCAGTTGGTGCCAAGATTTATATGGAATAACATACTCATATAGTGGTTTGAAAATGCTCAAATACTTTAAATACAGAAAAATTTATTCTTGAGTGCCAATGGGCAAGTTTGAGAACCAATTTACAAGGGGAATACTTAGCTTATGCATAAGTGGAGGCTTACATTCTCACATGACTTTAACCACAGAAGAATTGTTTATTTAATAAAACGTAAACTTTAAAAAGTTAAATATAATTACTGATTCTGTCTTGAAAATAGTAATGGTCACTCATAGAATGAATTGTTTTTTATGAAATCATACGAAATATAGTCATGTGAGAAAGTAAATCCTTATCCCAGGAAATTGTAAAACATGTTTTGTAATCACTGAACAACCATTTATCATTGTAATGTGTACATATGACTTTCAGAGAGTATAGTGTCTTACCTTATTCAATATGAGTACAACTACAATTTCATGGAAAATGCTCCCTAATAACTCTGGGTCTCTTTAAAGGGTCTTGTCTAATAAAATTTTGAATTGGAAGCAAGACCCTCAACTGGACCTTCCTGAACAGGAAATATTACTTTTCAGGATTTATGTTATGTTTTTTATTTGTTATCTTGTTATTCTACTGATCTGTTCTCAATTGCAATGTTTATATGTATACTACAGATGTTATCTTTGGCTGGTTTATGATGTGAATATAAATTTTTGAGAATGGCCAAATTGACTTTCTCAGTCTCCATCCATCATTATTCTACCTTTATGCCAAGTAAATATACACCGTACTGTAAATATGTTGCATAATTTTTAATTTCCCTATTTGACCTCTGATTTTTACTGTGCAATAAAACTTTAGTTTCATGTAGGTATGTTTTTGACTTGCTTAGTCTTCACCCTATTATGCCGTGGGCCTAATATAATATTAAGTGCTTAAATCTTGTTACATATCTGGATATCCAATTTTATTTTTTGGAAACAATATCAAAATCTGTATTTCCTTGATAAGAAAATCCTTGGAATGTTAAGAATAAAATCATGACAAGGAATGAGATGTCACAAAGATACTGAAGAAAACAAATTCAGCTCCAAGGACTAACAGGTGTAATTCTTATCCTGAATAACCTTCAAATATTTGTACATGTAGTTCACAATCACAATATGTAACTAAAAAGGCACGTTCATGTTCAACATGAACTTTTTTAAGCTTTAATTACAGAAAGGGTTTGTGTCTAGTAATTAAATCTATTGATTGTATTCTTTGTGTGAGATACGTATATTTAGGAATAGGATAAATCTATGTTCAGCATTGTATTGATTGTATATTTGGAGTTAAAATACACAAGGCTAATTTTGTAAATATGTATTTTCACTTTATTTATTTCCCCGATTCTAATCTCCCACATTGTACAACATTGACATGATACATTCAGAGATTCCAGATATTAACTGAGGAAGTAGTAACTGATACATTAACATAACATTGGCAGGTACAAACTGTAATGTCATCACTCCATTTGTTCTCCTTGAAAGATGATTTGTTGAAGACTCCACGACATGTAGAGTGTTATGGTGTTCCCTAATGGAGAATTCTGCCAGCTTTCCATTCATAATCCACTAGACTTTCAATCATTGACTTAAAACATGTCTGTTCTCTTCATAAAGGTGTATAATTCATTTGACTATTTCAGTCTTTCATATTCCTTCATTTCACTTGGTATTTTAAACATTTTCATGATAACTTTAAAGTCCTCATAATTCTCCTGCAAGGTCCAGTCTTCTGAATTTATCTAAGTTATAAAATCCTCCTCTCACAGTGCGACCACCAAAGAATCTTCCATTCATTCCTATCACAGCTGCAAATATATTAAAATTTTAACCATTAATACATCAAAAAATAAAAATCATGTTGAAAGAAGCATGTTTCACTTCAAGATGATGAAATATTTGTTTTTATCAATATTAGTTGGTTTTCACTCATTAGATGTCAATACTATTTTTCAGAGGGGACAACATTATATGAATATTTCATTCTAATGAGCGGCATACAAGTGCACCTTTTTTTCTTTAGAGGCTATTAACTGAGAGGGATTGAAAAGTCTGTTCGAAGGACAACTTGATCTTTGCCAAAGGACAAGAGGTCAATTTTAATATAAAAAATTTCCATTACATTAAACAGTAGATATATTATCACTTACCTTTGATTGCAGTGTCTAATTTCTCAAACTCAACAAATATTCTAACAGCCTCTTCTGGTTCTGCATCTGGAATCTGGAAAATAAAAAAATGTTTTTTTTATTCTGTTGATGTCTCCAAAGATAAGATAACGGTTAATAGTATGACCAATATAAACATTATATAGACTATTCATCACAAAATGAAGATGTAAACCTGTTACAGTATTCAAATCACAAAGTATACTGAATTGCACACTGCTTATCTCAATTTTGTCTACAATTTTTCTCACTTTTTGTCCATCGACAAGAATTTAAACAGATAATTTGAGAGAAAAAATGAAAATACCTCAAATATAAGACACTTTGTGACTTTGCCGTATTTGCTACATTCCTCTGCAGTTTCTCCTTCTAAGTCATCATCCACCTCACCAGGACCTACCATATTCTGCAAATTACAGATACATTTTATAAATTATTGTAAACATGTGTAGCGACCCTGGGTTGGCTAGTCATATTTTACTCTTACATAAATTGCCAATCTGGCACCCGGTGTCGCTACTTCCCTTCCGCTCGGAGCGCGAATAGTACCGCTGCAAGGTCTTAGGTATAATATAGTTGCTTGAGCTATATAGCTTTTGTATTCAGTACATTTGTTTTGCCAGGGTATTTTAACATTTTATTCTGTAAGGGTTGATCTCTCGCGAGAGACAGCGAGAAGAGAGTTGGCGCCATATTACTCACGAGGCAGTTTTGAATTAAATATTGGATATTTTCATTACTTTCGAGTTTCGACACTTGATCAGACCTGATCAATCGTTATGGCAGCCAGAGGGATGAAGAGAGTCGAGTGGCTGCGAAACTGAGGTTGTATTTTTGTATTTGAACTCCACTGCAGTGCTGAGCATATTTGTAGAAATATTGTGAATTATTTTCAGATTTTAGCCTAATTTTGTCATTGCAGTCTGTTTGACTCTGATTCAACTGAGTTTGTATTTGATTTGGCTATTTGGAATAGTTGATCTAATGTAATTGATTTTCTTTGAGAGAATAATGTAATTGTTGGCTGGAAGATCTGGCCTAGTTTTTGATATGCTCAGCGCGCAGGTGAGATTTTGCACAGCGCCACCTTTTGATAATCGCTTTACTTGAAGCTCGAAGTTGTTTTGATTTTGAGGGCTGAAATATAGTCGCCATCTTAGTTAAGACCTTTGTAATTTGTCAGGTTTGACTAAAGTCAGATTCTGCTTTTAAGAGCCATTGTAATTTGTGTAATTTGCTTTGATTTGTATTGATAAAACTGATGTAAAACCAGATCTTAATTATTTATTTACAATTAAACTTTAAAACTTTACTTGATTTGTCGTGTTGATTGTTTTTAGTCATTGATTGGTGGTTTAGATGGAATAACAGTTAAGTGGCCCTATAATTAACTTTCTGATATCTTCCTAACTTCATTTCTTCATTCTGTTCCAAATCATTTATGTTTAATTAGTGTTTCCAACTTTTGTATCTATTCAAAGATGGCAGCACCTTACATATAGTCAAGCAATCAATCTCTTTCAGCTCAAATCCGATACACTACGTGCTTTGACCGTTCAGCTTACCACGCTACCACTTGTTTGCTCGTTCGGTCCTGTTTGTTTGTACAGGTTGCTTTGTTGTACCTGTAGTACTGGTTTATTGATTGATTGGGCAGCCCGTACGTGGCAGTTTCGGGATTAAGACCGGAGCTGTTACACATGTATTCCATAAATCAGAAATTGACGACAGGAATTTTAATAGGCAATAGAATGGAAAAGCTGAAGTAACATTGTAATTCTACATGGAAGAGTTTTGTTCAGTTCAAAGAGCGTTCCTTGATCGCAGGTTTTACATACATTGGAGAAAAAAATATTTTCTGAGACATAGTATCGGTTTCAAGACATTTGTAGACCACAAAATACATTAACCAACTCTGAATAATTGTTATAATACTTTTTGAAAAATTCATTTGAACTTACTCTTAATACTACAACTTTAGATGGATTTTTGAGAAGTTCTGCTGTGTTCACTACGGGAGGTGGCTGGGGTGGAGGAGGGAAAGCCTCCACTGAAATAGAAAAATAAATGATCACATTCATAATTCATCATGGGCAGGTTAAGTCACTCTACCCTTGATATAAATTGGTAACAGACACCATAGAATTAAAAGGCCATTGCAGTTAGTTGTCAGCTCTTTCAGTTTCTATAGCTGATGAAGCAAACAGAACATGTTAAATACCAAGAAGTTGGTTATATCAGTCACAGAATTCTCATTAAATATTATAAATTATATGATATATAATATATGAAAAATAGTGCTGAATAGATACAAAATATGTATTAAAATGTTTGTAATACTTCTAGGTTCCCTAAAATTTCCAAAATGAACATCAAACATAGTATATTAAGATATAAACATGCGAAAGCAAGTAAAAATGAATAATAAAAAAACACTGGTAAAGATACATTTCTTACTTTTTGGTATATCTTTTTCATGTATAATTTTTCCTCCTCGTTTAGAAGTCTTTTCCACTTGAAGAGCTGTACTCATGCCCTGTTTATTTTTCCCTAATCCCTGCCCCTCTTTGTAACCAAGTTTGGCCATGATCTTAGCAGCAATGGAACTTTTCCTGAAAAATATTGCAGAATTCTTTTTAATGTTTTTCCCTAATCCCTAGCCCTCTTTGTAACCAAGCTTGGCCATGATCGTGGCAGCAATGGAACTTTTCCTAAAAATATTGCAGAATTTTTTATTGAATTTTCAAAAATTTGCTGCAGGATTTGATGTTTTTCATTTAAGTAATATTTTTGCATGTTTTTAACATGATACAAATATTAATATTGGACAATATGACACATCTGAGCAGTAATGATTCTCCAGACCCTGAAGGGACATGTTGTGTATAATACATCAATGTTTTCAATAAAACTGAAATATTTGGACTTACAACAAGCTACAAATTCAAGCTTGCAACTTGCAGGTTAAGTAAGAATATAAAAATAAAAGTATAAAATGTTCAAATAAAGTGTTTCAAACTCCACACATTAAACAAATGATAATATTGGCATTCTCCTTGTGCAGAAATGTCTTACTTGTTAAAACCAAAGCCTGGAGCTCCAGGTGGAGGGGACTCTGTGCGGTCCATGTCTTCTCCAAACCTGTCTTCATATCTATCATCTCCCTGTTGGCTATCTACAATACATTACCATTTTTCCTTGTCAATAACAACATTTTCCTAATTATTAAAAGAGTTGCCAATATAGATGTACAAAACATATAAGTACCTGGCATAAATAAAAGTACAAGTGCAGGTTACGTATTTATGTGTAAGACGAATGATATATATTAACAAGTCGATTATGTGGGGCTTAAGGTAGTATACATTGGTTAAACATTGGTAAAACATGATAAAATGCTAATTTTCAGGCCTAAGATAAGGGCAGCATTTTTTAACATAACAATTGTGTCACTTCATTAATTTACAAGGATACATAGGGCCATTATTCTAACCATGCATGTAAAATGCACCACAAATTCCCATTAAGAGACTCAGAATTTATGAGGAGACTACTCACCTTGGCTGTTTTCATTGCTGTCATTGTCCTCTAGTAACATACTGGGTGGAGCTATAGCTGCACCTCCAGCTAAAGTAAAGAAAAATACGTAGACATAACAACATATCAGCATTATCACCAAATGAGGCTAGAACATTATGAAAGAAACAATTTAATGGTACTTTTTGAGTGAATGGCCTTACAAGAGGATTTATAGTAATGCACTGCTTTTTGTAGGTTATTTGTTGTGTAATTTTCATATGAAGGAGGGCGGACGTTTTTTATAGGTTATTATGTCATTTTTTCATTGGGGATAAGGGAGTGTAGAGGCTCGAAAAACATTATTGGCCACCACATGCTATGTAATTTAAATATGATTAAGTTTAATGTGATATATGTTTAAAAGCTTACATCTCATTGGTCTGGTACGGTCATAGTCATCTTCCTCTTCTTCATACCTCTGTCCAAGTTCACTACCATTATCACGTGGTAGTCTGTCCTCATCCCTGTCTTTATCATAGCCTCTCTCTTTGTGTCTTTCTCTTCGTCTCCTAGTATACAGGAAAATATCTTGTTTGCATTATTACCCTTTTGGGGGTTATGGGGGAATACTCAAACTAAGTCAATATTCTAATCAAACTATTTTATTTACAGTGTTACCATTTTGTTTTTGACAAGTCAAATGGCTTTTAAGTTGCTTCCTTGTTAATTGATAAATGACATAGTTTGTCCAAAGGGTCTAATATACCATCAGAAAGGTGAGAGACTCAATTTTGAGGATCCTGCCTGCTTATCAAGATCTACTAGCCTATTCAACAAAATCAAACTGAGCCCATGAATAAAAAGCGAGAAATGCTTCAGTGTAATAACAAAATGCAGATATACAAAATGGTCATGCCCACAGAATGCCTGTGGTAAAGGTCTAATGTCAATTCCTATTTGGTCATACCTTATAATATTTCATAATTAATTTAATTTTGAACTTATTTACCAGAATAGTTTTAATACATAGTACTTGAAGAAGGTCAAAAGTACTTTCATTTTCGGTAAAAATCATATCAGGTCAAAATATTTTTCTAATATTAGACTCATATTTCATTTAAGCTAAATAGACATTAAATATATATTGGAATTTAATTGACCCTAACCTTTCTCTCTCTTCTATCTCCCTTTCTCGTTCCCGTTCCCTTTCTCTCTGTCTAACCTCTCGTCTTTTCTTAATAAAATCTTCATACTCATTGGGTCTAAGAGGATCATATTCATCTAAGACTCCAGTGAGTGAAGACTCTTGTGGTATAAAAGGGGAAGCAGCTGGGGAGTAATCTACTAGGGACACGCGGGGTGGGGGACCACTAGCTTCTCCACCTCCCCCTCTTTCCATCTGAAAAATAAAAATTGTATTGTATTTAATTGATGAGGTAAACTACTGAATATTTTTTTTTTTTTTTTTTTTTTTTTTTTTATTTATTTTTTTTTTTTTTAAATCATGTTTATATTTCTCATTTTATAACTTTGTATACAAGTACATCAGGTCATTTTACAATATTACAATATTTGTGAAAAATGATATAATTTCAATTCTTGAACATTATTACAATAGTTTACAAATATAACGTACCATAAGTTGTTTAACCATTCATTAAAATAAGTATAGTTAGTGTCTTGTACCTTATAGCCAAAGACAAGAGTTTTATACTTTTTCAAGCTTAATTCAATTTTAAAATGATCTAAAATATAATTTTCAAGTTGGTCTATTACATTAAGTACTCTATGACATTGAAAGAACAAATGTTTATAGTCTTCTACTTGTCCGCAAATATCACACTTGTCGTTAACACTTATTTTCCATCTTAGAAGTAATTGTTTGCATGGTAAAATATAATGTAAAAGTTTGTATTTAAAATTGGCCACTTTTTTATTTTTGGATTGCTTTAAAAGTATCCAAGTCTGTTGAAACAGCATTTGACTATTTTGAATTTCACAAAGATTAATCCAAAATAATTCCAAATATGTTTTAGTTGCTATATGTTCCAACAAGATTGAATATATGTCTCTAGAACTTGCATGTTTATCCAAAAATCTATAGTGCTTCAATTTACTGTCATAAAATCCTAAACTTACATTTGTATTAACATATGTACATCTGCTTGCCTCACTAAATATTTTAACTCTATATTGAAATGGCAAAGATTGCTTAACAGTTATATATTCTGCCATCCAATTGACCCTAGATTTAAGCTTATGAAAAATTTCATCTTGGGTACACATAAGATCATTAACATATAATATATTTGAATTTATCCAGTTTTCAAAATACAAACACTTGTTATTGAAAGTTATGTCTTTATTGTGCCATATCACCATTTGTCTAATTTCTGCAAATGTTATGTTATCAATTTTGGATTCTGAGCCTCCAAGAATACTCCAAGCATGGAGTAAATCTTTGTAAAATTGAGGCAAGATATTAAAAATACAAATATTCTCTGGTTTTCCATAAGTAGATTTAAATATCAAAGTATCTGGGAGTCCAGTTTTACTTAATATCTCTCTTGCTAGAATATTCCAACTTGCATGTTTATTCCCATACTCAATGTCTAATATCCATTTAATTTTAAAGGCCCTGAATTTAGATTTTAAGTCAGGCATTGAGAGTCCACCTTTAGACAAAGTATTAATTAAGACAGATCTTTTAATTTTATCTCTTTTTCCATCCCACAAAAATGAATAAAGTTCTGAAGTAATTTCTTTCAAAAAAGTTTCATTTGGTGTGTCAATGCTTTTTGCTAAATACATCAGTTTAGATAATGCAAGTGTTTTAATGATAACTATTTTCCCATAAAGAGTAATCTTGCGTTTTTTCCACAAAGACAATGACTTTCTCATTTTATCTGCTATACTATTCCAATTAAGATCATGCAATTTAGTTTGATCTATTCCAAAGTAGACACCTAATGATTTTACTTCCTGTTTCCAGGAAATATTACAAAATGTAGTATTATTATCATTTTTAAAGTTACCAAGTTTTATACCTTCTGTTTTTTCTAAGTTAAGCTCTAAACCAGAAACAGTTCCGAAACGCTGTATTTCTTTAATAGCTATATTAATAGAGTTTTTTCCATGAACAAAGAGAGTGGTGTCATCTGCAAGTTGACATATTTTGACTTCATTGTTTCTTACTTTAATACCTTTGATTCTAGAATTATTTCTAATATTGATTGCCATTGTTTCTGCTGCAATGAGATAAATCAAAGCAGAAATGGGACATCCCTGCCGAATGCCCCGAGATACATCAAAATATGGTGATAAGTAACCATTATTAGCTACACAGCTTTGTATTCCATTATACAAGGTTTTAATCCACTGGATAAAACTAGTGCCAAAATTAAATTTCTTTAATGCTTCTAGAGTGAAGTCAATTTCCAAACAATCAAAACATTTTGAAAAATCTGCAAAAATAATAGCAGAATCTAATGTTTTTCTATATTTATTAGCATAATTAATTACGTCATTTATTAGCCTTATATTAAACTACTGAATATGAGAACGAGAAGTAACACAAATAACTCAAATCTTTAATAAAGTGTACATTAAATTGGAAATGCATGTTCATTAAGATCAAACAATCTCCTTGTTATCGAATTACATTCTAAATGAAAACTTTCCCAACCAATCACATTGCAGTGTTTATTTAATCCTATACAGCAAAAACACTTATGTCAGGATCAAGATCAAAGGATCTCTTGATCATCTGATTACGCTAAGCAGATAACTTTCTAAACCAATAAGATTGCAGCATTTATTTGATCCTCCCAATAAAAACATTCATGCTGATATTAAGATCATAGATCTGTTGATATTTTGAGATCTGGCAGATTATCTTCAAGGGTGACTCAACTGATCCATGATCAAGGGATCTGTTGATCTTTTGAGATCCAGTAGATTATCTGTGGGGGCCAGTTCAACCGATCTAAGACAAACACCTCAGAGAAAAACAATTGTAACCAATCAGATTGCAGCATTTATTTGATCCACCCAATTAAAAACATTCATGCTGAGATTAAGATCATAGATCTGTTGATCTTTTGAGATCCAGCAGATTATCCGTGGGGGCCAGTTCAACTGATCTAAGTATGTGAGATCAAACACTTCAGAGAAAAACAATTGTAACCAATCAGATTGCAGCATTTATTTGATCCACCCAATTAAAAACATTCATGCTGAGATTAAGATCATAGATCTGTTGATCTTTTGAGATCCAGCAGATTATCCGTGGGGGCCAGTTCAACTGATCTAAGTTTGTGAGATCAAACACTTCAGAGAAAAACAATTGTAACCAATCAGATTGCAGCATTTATTTGATCCACCTAATTAAAAACATACATGCTGAGATCAAGATCAAAGATCTGTTGAGATTGAGCAGATTATCTGTGGGGGGCCAGCTCAACTAATCTAGACATATAAGATCAAACAACTCAGTGAAAAACAATTGTAACCAATCAGAATACAGCATTGAGATTATCTTCATCAATCTGTATAAATAGCAGGAATTTTTCTTCCACTCTTCAGACTTAACGTCAGTGATCTATACAGCACAACAAGCATAAATAAAGTGAAAGATACTTCAAAATGGCATTTCATTGTGAAACCACTACTCCAGCAAGATGTCTGTTTGATACAGTCTACAGTATGAACACTCCAGTCTGCAAGAAGAACCTGTTCCAGTCTCAACTAACAACACCAGCAGCAAACAGGGCACCAAAGAAGACCACATTCGATTCGCCATTCTCCATCAAGAGCCTACTGAACCTGGATGAAAACAAACAGACTATAGCAGCATCAACACCACCAGCAACAGTACACAGTAGCATCATGTCAGGCCTAGCCTCATATCCTGTCTTCAATGAGTTAACCAAGACTCTCGCTACAGATATCAACTCTTGCACTGTGCCATCTCAACTGTTCCAGACTATATTGCCTCAGCAGACACCAGTGTCTGTCTGTACATCTGCTCTGAAGAATCGCTTCAACTCACTCAAGTACAAGCTGCAAGACCACACCAAGCTGCTGGAATTGGAATCTTTCTACCTACAACAGTCTCAACAGATTGAGTATGAGCGTCACAGCCATCTCTCCAACTGCCAATCAGCACACCAGCACGCTATCAACTGCCAGTATGACCATCAACTAAGCCTCCTGATTGGCCGTGTAGAGAGCAGCCTCGGCATCCTAGAAAGCTCCATCACCTTCAGAGACTCCATCAGCCATGACCTGGTTAACTTCGAGACAAGGAATCAAGAGGAGGACTACACCAACCCAGGAAATCCACTCCTGGCATCTACACCAAAAAAGTGTTCCCTCAAGGCCAAGCGTCATCAAGGTCATCGTAAACCCTACAGTCGGCAATCAAAACGTGCATTGGACAATTGGTTCTCCATGAACATACACAACCCGTATCCGACAGAGGAGGTATGTTCTCAACTTGCCACAGAGACTGGACTTACTACATCACAGATTCGCAAGTGGTTTGCCAACAAGCGACAGAGGGGAGGTGTTAACAAGAAGCTGATCAACCATCTTACAACACAACACAGACAATCTCACAAACTCTTTCCTTGTGATAACCAAATGCACTGATCAGCTTGCATTGTGATAAATTGCCAAACTGTTGTAATTGTACATAATGTTAATTCATTGTAATATAATGTTATCTTTGTGTTGTTATCTGCAATAAATTATGAAAATAATCTTCCCTGTCTTGTTTTTTGAATTAAGGTTTCTGAATCCTTGTCAAGGTACTGGTTATATAATAGCCAATGACACATGATGAATCTCACAAAATTGATTCCCCCAATTTATGCCCTTTTTTTAGTTCAACACTGACTGTTTTAGAATGTAATTGAATAAAGTATGTAAATTTAAGTTTTAATTCACCAATCTTTTTAATAGCATTTAATTGATCCTACATGAGAAAAATGATTCACCCCAGGATCAAGACCAAAGGACCACTAATCATTCAATCACATTTCCACTGAAAACTTCTGTACCATTCAAACTGAAACATCTATTTGATCGTGCCAGATCAAAACATTCATGCTGAGATCAAGAGTAAAGGATCTTTTCAGTTTGAGCAGATTATCTGTGGGGGTAACTCAAATGATCTAGGCATAAGAGTTCAAACCTTCAAGGAAAAACAATTGTAACCAATCATATTGCAGCATCTATTTAATCCATCCAATTCAAAACATTCATCCTGAGATTAAGATCAAAGGATCAGTTGATCTTTTGAGAATGAGCAGATTATCTGTGGGGGGCCAGCTCAACTGATCTAGGCATATAAGATCAAAGACTTCAGAGAAAAACAATTGTAACCAATCATATTGCAGCATCTATTTAATCCATCCAATTAAAAACATTCATGCTGAGATTAAGATCATAGATCTGTTGATCTTTTGAGATTGAGCAGATTATCTGTGGGGGGCCAGCTCAACTGATCTATTCATATAAGATCAAACACTTCAGAGAAAAACAATTGTAACCAATCAGAATACAGTATTGAGATTATCTTCATCAATCTGTATAAATAGCAGGAATTTTTCCACCACTCTTCAGACTTAATGATCTATACAGCATAACAAGCATAAAAGATTCTTCAAAATGGCATTTCATTGTGAAACCACTACTCCAGCAAGATGTCTGTTTGATACGGTCTACAGTATGAACACTCCAGTCTGCAAGAAGAACCTGTTCCAGTCTCAACTAACAACACCAGCAGCAAACAGGGCACCAAAGAAGACCACATTTGAATCACCATTCTCCATCAAGAGCCTACTGAACCTGGATGACAGCAAACAGACAGCAGCATCAACACCACCAGCAACAGTGCACAGTAGCATCATGTCAGGCCTAGCCTCCTATCCTGTCTTCAATGAGTTAACCAAGACTCTCGCTGCAGATATCAACTCTTGCACTGTGCCATCTCAACTGTTCCAGACAATATCGCCTCAGCAGACACCAGTGTCTATCTGCACATCTGCTCTGAAGAATCGCTTCAACTTACTCAAGTGCCAGCTGCAAGACCACACCAAGCTGCTGGAATTGGAATCTTTCTACCTACAACAGTCTCAAAAGGTTGAGTACGAGTGTCACAGCCATCTCTCCAACTGCCATCCAGCACACCAGCACGCTATCAACTGCCAGTATGACCATCAACTAAGCCTCCTAATTGGCCGTGTAGAGAGCAGCCTCCGCATCCTAGAAAGCTCCACCACCTTCAGAGACCCCATCAGCCACGACCTGGTTAGCTTTGAGACAAGGAATCAAGAGGAGGACTACACCAACCCAGGAAATCCACTCCTGGCATCTACACCAAAGAAGTGTTCCCTCAAGGCCAAGCGTCATCAAGGTCATCGTAAACCCTACAGTCGGCAATCAAAATGTGCATTGGACAATTGGTTCTCCATGAACATACACAACCCTTATCCAACAGAGGAGGTATGCTCCAAACTTGCCACAGAGACTGGACTTACTACATCACAGATTCGCAAGTGGTTTGCCAACAAGCGACAGAGGGGAGGTGTTAACAAGAAGCTGATCAACCATCTTACAACACAACACAGACAATCTCACGAACTCTTTCCTTGTAATAACCGAGTGCACTGAATAACTTGCATTGTGATAAATATTGCCAAATTGTTATAATTGTAAATAATGTTAATTCAATGTAATACATTGTTATCTTTGTGTTGTTATCTGCAATAAATTATGAAAATAATCTTCACTGTTTTGTTTTTTGAATTAAGATAGGTTGCTGAATCCTTGTCAATGTTCTGGGTATTGGTTACATAATAGCCAAAGATGCATGATGAAGCTCACAAAATTCACTCCCCCAAATTTATCAATATCCCAGATGCGAGTAGAAATAATCTTGATTTACGTCATTAAAAATTCACAATTCAGTCAAACTGATGTCATATTTTGAATCTACATGTAAAATTACATTCAGAAATGTGGTTTTGAAAAGAGTTTATCAACTTTGAAAATTTAATTTTCTTCGAAAATGTGACTTCTAGGTCGGGAAGATTCCCAATAGACCCCATGTTGTAAAACCACAAAAAGTGAAATATCTTTTCTTGTGTTGGGCAGATAATATTTTCTTTTACTGGACATATGTTAATTTGTATAACTATCAGATACATAAGGGTAATATGAAAAGTGAACCACTAAAACTGATGCATATTTAAGTTTAAGGGAATTTTGTAATACCCTGCCATGTTAATTCCCCCGAATCAGCCACCTTGTGGCGAAACTGGTTACTACCTAATCGCATCCGAGTAATTGATCCCCCAAATTTTTTAGTTCAACACTGTTTTAGAATGGAATTGAACATAGTATGTTAATTAAAATTTTTAATTCACCAATATTTTTAATTGATTCAATTTAATCGCAGTTGGAGAAATGATTCGAACCAGGGTCAAGATCAATCAGTTAGCAGCATGCATCTATTTGATCCACTCAATTAAAAACATTCATGCTGAGATTAAGATCATACATCTATTGATCTTTTGAGATTGAGCAGATTATCTGCAGGGGGTGACTCAACTGATCTAGGCAGATAAGATCAAACACTTCAGAGAAAAACAATTGTAACCAATCAGATTGCAGCATTTATTTGATCCACCCAATTTAAAACATTCATGCTGAGATCAAGTGATCTTTTGAGATTGAGCAGATTATCTGCAGGGGGTGACTCAACTGATCTAGGCAGATAAGATCAAACACTTCAGAGAAAAACAATTGCAACCAATCAGATTGCAGCATTTAGATTTTTAATTGGATTTAATTGATACGTTGGAGAAATTTATAACGCAAAATTTTTAGTGCAACACTGAATGCATTAGTTTGTTTATTCAAGTTTTTAATTCCGCAATCTTTTTAATTACATTTAATTGATCCTATATGAGAAAAATGATTCATCCTGAAATCAAAGGACAGCTTAATCATTCAACAGCATTTCTTTCTGAACCAATCAAAGTGAAGCTTTTATTTGATAATGCCTGATAAAAAACATTCATGCTGGGATCAAAGCATCCAATGATCTTCTGAGATTGAGCAGATTATCCCTGGGGGGTGACCCAACTAATCTAGGCATCTGAGATCAAACACTTCAGAGAAAAACAATTGTAACCAATCAGATTGCAGCATTTATTTGATCCACCTAATAAAAAACATTCATGCTGAGATTAAGATCAGAGATCTGTTGATCTTTCGAGATTGAGCAGATTATCCACCCAATTAAAAACATTCATGCTGAGTTCAAGATCAAAGATCTGTTGATCTTTTGAGATTGAGCAGATTATCTGTGGAGGGGGGGGGGGGCAGCTCAACTAATCTAAGAACATAAGATCAAACACTTCAGAGAAAAACAATTGTAACCAATCAGAATACAGTATTGAGATTATCTTCATCAATCTGTATAAATATCAGGCATGTTCCTTCCACTCTTCAGACTTAATGTCAGTGATCTATACAGCATAACAAGCATAAATAAAGTGAAAGATTCTTCAAAATGGCATTTCATTGTGAAACCACTACTCCAGCAAGATGTCTGTTTGATACAGTCTACAGTATGAACACTCCAGTCTGCAAGAAGAACCTGTTCCAGTCTCAACTAACAACACCAGCGGCAAACAGGGCACCAAAGAAGACCACATTTGAATCACCATTCTCCATCAAGAGCCTTCTGAACCTGGATGACAGCAAACAGACTGTAGCAGCATCAACACCACCAGCAACAGTGCACAGTAGCATCATGTCAGGCCTCGTCTCATATCCTGTCTTCAATGAGTTAACCAAGACTCTCGCTGCAGATATCAACTCTTGCACTGTGCCATCTCAACTGTTCCAGACAATATCGCCTCAGCAGACACCAGTGTCTATCTGCACATCTGCTCTGAAGAATCGCTTCAACTTACTCAAGTGCCAGCTGCAAGACCACACCAAGCTGCTGGAATTGGAATCTTTCTACCTACAACAGTCTCAAAAGGTTGAGTACGAGTGTCACAGCCATCTCTCCAACTGCCATCCAGCACACCAGCACGCTATCAACTGCCAGTATGACCATCAACTAAGCCTCCTAATTGGCCGTGTAGAGAGCAGCCTCCGCATCCTAGAAAGCTCCACCACCTTCAGAGACCCCATCAGCCACGACCTGGTTAGCTTTGAGACAAGGAATCAAGAGGAGGACTACACCAACCCAGGAAATCCACTCCTGGCATCTACACCAAAGAAGTGTTCCCTCAAGGCCAAGCGTCATCAAGGTCATCGTAAACCCTACAGTCGGCAATCAAAATGTGCATTGGACAATTGGTTCTCCATGAACATACACAACCCTTATCCAACAGAGGAGGTATGCTCCCAACTTGCCACAGAGACTGGACTTACTACATCACAGATTCGCAAGTGGTTTGCCAACAAGCGACAGAGGGGAGGTGTTAACAAGAAGCTGATCAACCATCTTACAACACAACACAGACAATCTCACGAACTCTTTCCTTGTAATAACCGAGTGCACTGATCAACTTGCATTGTGATAAATATTGCCAAATTGTTATAATTGTAAATAATGTTAATTCAATGTAATACATTGTTATCTTTGTGTTGTTATCTGCAATAAATTATGAAAATAATCTTCACTGTTTTGTTTTTTGAATTAAGATAGGTTGCTGAATCCTTGTCAATGTTCTGGGTATTGGTTACATAATAGCCAAAGATGCATGATGAAGCTCACAAAATTCACTCCCCCAAATTTATCAATATCCCAGATGCGAGTAGAAATAATCTTGATTTACGTCATTAAAAATTCACAATTCAGTCAAACTGATGTCATATTTTGAATCTACATGTAAAATTACATTCAGAAATGTGGTTTTGAAAAGAGTTTATCAACTTTGAAAATTTAATTTTCTTCGAAAATGTGACTTCTAGGTCGGGAAGATTCCCAATAGACCCCATGTTGTAAAACCACAAAAAGTGAAATATCTTTTCTTGTGTTGGGCAGATAATATTTTCTTTTACTGGACATATGTTAATTTGTATAACTATCAGATACATAAGGGTAATATGAAAAGTGAACCACTAAAACTGATGCATATTTAAGTTTAAGGGAATTTTGTAATACCCTGCCATGTTAATTCCCCCGAATCAGCCACCTTGTGGCGAAACTGGTTACTACCTAATCGCATCCGAGTAATTGATCCCCCAAATTTTTTAGTTCAACACTGTTTTAGAATGGAATTGAACATAGTATGTTAATTAAAATTTTTAATTCACCAATATTTTTAATTGATTCAATTTAATCGCAGTTGGAGAAATGATTCGAACCAGGGTCAAGATCAATCAGTTAGCAGCATGCATCTATTTGATCCACTCAATTAAAAACATTCATGCTGAGATTAAGATCATACATCTATTGATCTTTTGAGATTGAGCAGATTATCTGCAGGGGGTGACTCAACTGATCTAGGCAGATAAGATCAAACACTTCAGAGAAAAACAATTGTAACCAATCAGATTGCAGCATTTATTTGATCCACCCAATTTAAAACATTCATGCTGAGATCAAGTGATCTTTTGAGATTGAGCAGATTATCTGCAGGGGGTGACTCAACTGATCTAGGCAGATAAGATCAAACACTTCAGAGAAAAACAATTGCAACCAATCAGATTGCAGCATTTAGATTTTTAATTGGATTTAATTGATACGTTGGAGAAATTTATAACGCAAAATTTTTAGTGCAACACTGAATGCATTAGTTTGTTTATTCAAGTTTTTAATTCCGCAATCTTTTTAATTACATTTAATTGATCCTATATGAGAAAAATGATTCATCCTGAAATCAAAGGACAGCTTAATCATTCAACAGCATTTCTTTCTGAACCAATCAAAGTGAAGCTTTTATTTGATAATGCCTGATAAAAAACATTCATGCTGGGATCAAAGCATCCAATGATCTTCTGAGATTGAGCAGATTATCCCTGGGGGGTGACCCAACTAATCTAGGCATCTGAGATCAAACACTTCAGAGAAAAACAATTGTAACCAATCAGATTGCAGCATTTATTTGATCCACCTAATAAAAAACATTCATGCTGAGATTAAGATCAGAGATCTGTTGATCTTTCGAGATTGAGCAGATTATCCACCCAATTAAAAACATTCATGCTGAGTTCAAGATCAAAGATCTGTTGATCTTTTGAGATTGAGCAGATTATCTGTGGAGGGGGGGGGGGGGGGCAGCTCAACTAATCTAAGAACATAAGATCAAACACTTCAGAGAAAAACAATTGTAACCAATCAGAATACAGTATTGAGATTATCTTCATCAATCTGTATAAATATCAGGCATGTTCCTTCCACTCTTCAGACTTAATGTCAGTGATCTATACAGCATAACAAGCATAAATAAAGTGAAAGATTCTTCAAAATGGCATTTCATTGTGAAACCACTACTCCAGCAAGATGTCTGTTTGATACAGTCTACAGTATGAACACTCCAGTCTGCAAGAAGAACCTGTTCCAGTCTCAACTAACAACACCAGCGGCAAACAGGGCACCAAAGAAGACCACATTTGAATCACCATTCTCCATCAAGAGCCTTCTGAACCTGGATGACAGCAAACAGACTGCAGCAGCGTCAACACCACCAGCAACAGTGCACAGTAGCATCATGTCAGGCCTAGCCTCATATCCTGTCTTCAATGAGTTAACCAGGACTCTCGCTGCAGATATCAACTCTTGCACTGTGCAATCTGAACTGTTCCAGACTATATCGCCTCAGCAGATGCCAGTGTCTGTCTGTGCATCTGCTCTGAAGAATCGATTCAACTCACTCAAGTGCCAGCTGCAAGATCACACAAAGCTGCTGGAATTGGAATCTTTCTACCAACAACAGTCTCAACAGGTTGAGTACGAGCGTCACATCCATCTCTCCAACTGCCATCCAGCACACCAGCACTCTATCAACTGCCAGTATGACCATCAACTAAGCCTCCTGATTGGTCATGTAGAGAGCAGCCTCCGCATCCTAGAAAGCTCCATCACCTTCAGACACTCCATCAGCCATGAACTGATTAGCTTTGAGACAAGGAATCAAGAGGAGGACTACACCAACCCAGGAAATCCACTCCTGGCATCTACACCAAAGAAGTGTTCCCTCAAGGCCAAGCGTCATCAAGGTCATCGTAAACCCTACAGTCGGCAATCAAAACGTGCATTGGACAATTGGTTCTCCATGAACATACACAGCCCTTATCCGACAGAGGAGGTATGTTCCCAACTTGCCATAGAGACTGGACTTACTACATCACAGATTCGCAAGTGGTTTGCCAACAAGCGACAGAGGGGAGGTGTTAACAAGAAGCTGATCAACCATCTTACAACACAACACAGACAATCTCACAAACTCTCTCCTTGTGATAATCGAATGCACTGATCAACTTGCATTGTGATAAATATTGCCAAACTGTTGTAATTGTACATAATGTTAATTCATTGTAAGATATTGTTATTTTTGTGTTGTTAACTGCAATAAATTATGAAAATAATCTTCACTGTTTTGTTTTTTGAATTTAGATAAGTTGCCGACTCCTCATCACGGTACTGGGTATTGGTTACATAATAGCCATAGACGCATGATGGGGGCCCATGATGAAGCTCACAAGATTCATTGCCCCAATTTTTTCAATTTATTCCCCAAATCTTTCAGTTCAACACTGACTGTTTTTGAATGTAATTGAACATAGTATGTTAATTTAAATTTTTAATTCACCAATCATTTTAATTGGAATTTAATTGATATGTTGGAAAAATCATAATGCAAATTTTTTAGTGCAACACTGTATGTTTTAGTTTGTTTAACAAGTTTTTAATTCCCCAATCTTTTTAATTGCATTTAATTGATTCTATATGAGAAAAATGATTCATCCTGAGATCAAAGGACAGCTTGATCATTCAACAGCATTTCCTTCTGAACCAATCAAAATGAAGCATTTATTTTATCCTGCCTAATAATAAAACATTCATGCTGAGATCAAGATTAAAGCATCTGATGATCTTTTGAGATTAAGCAGATTATCTGTAGGGGGCCAGCTCAACTGATCTAGGCATATAAGATCAAACACTTTAGAGAAAAACAATTGTAACCAATCAGATTGTAGCATCTATTTAATCCACGTAATAAAAAACATTCATGCTGAGATTAAGATCAAAGATCTGTTGATCTTTCGAGATTGAGCACATTATCCACCCAATTAAAAACATTCATGCTGAGATCAAGATCAAAGATCTGTTGATCTTTTGAGATTGAGCAAATTATCTGTGGGGGGCCAGCTCAACTAATCTAAGAACATAAGATCAAACACTTCACAGAAAAACAATTGTAACCAATCAGAATACAGTATTGAGATTATCTTCATCAATCTGTATAAATATCAGGCATTTTTCTTCCACTCTTCAGACTTAATGTCAGTGATCTATACAGCACAACACTCCATCAGCCATGAACTGATTAGCTTTGAGACAAGGAATCAAGAGGAGGACTACACCAACCCAGGAAATCCACTCCTGGCATCTACACCAAAGAAGTGTTCCCTCAAGGCCAAGCGTCATCAAGGTCATCGTAAACCCTACAGTCGGCAATCAAAACGTGCATTGGACAATTGGTTCTCCATGAACATACACAGCCCTTATCCGACAGAGGAGGTATGTTCCCAACTTGCCATAGAGACTGGACTTACTACATCACAGATTCGCAAGTGGTTTGCCAACAAGCGACAGAGGGGAGGTGTTAACAAGAAGCTGATCAACCATCTTACAACACAACACAGACAATCTCACAAACTCTCTCCTTGTGATAATCGAATGCACTGATCAACTTGCATTGTGATAAATATTGCCAAACTGTTGTAATTGTACATAATGTTAATTCATTGTAAGATATTGTTATTTTTGTGTTGTTAACTGCAATAAATTATGAAAATAATCTTCACTGTTTTGTTTTTTGAATTTAGATAAGTTGCCGACTCCTCATCACGGTACTGGGTATTGGTTACATAATAGCCATAGACGCATGATGGGGGCCCATGATGAAGCTCACAAGATTCATTGCCCCAATTTTTTCAATTTATTCCCCAAATCTTTCAGTTCAACACTGACTGTTTTTGAATGTAATTGAACATAGTATGTTAATTTAAATTTTTAATTCACCAATCATTTTAATTGGAATTTAATTGATATGTTGGAAAAATCATAATGCAAATTTTTTAGTGCAACACTGTATGTTTTAGTTTGTTTAACAAGTTTTTAATTCCCCAATCTTTTTAATTGCATTTAATTGATTCTATATGAGAAAAATGATTCATCCTGAGATCAAAGGACAGCTTGATCATTCAACAGCATTTCCTTCTGAACCAATCAAAATGAAGCATTTATTTTATCCTGCCTAATAATAAAACATTCATGCTGAGATCAAGATTAAAGCATCTGATGATCTTTTGAGATTAAGCAGATTATCTGTAGGGGGCCAGCTCAACTGATCTAGGCATATAAGATCAAACACTTTAGAGAAAAACAATTGTAACCAATCAGATTGTAGCATCTATTTAATCCACGTAATAAAAAACATTCATGCTGAGATTAAGATCAAAGATCTGTTGATCTTTCGAGATTGAGCACATTATCCACCCAATTAAAAACATTCATGCTGAGATCAAGATCAAAGATCTGTTGATCTTTTGAGATTGAGCAAATTATCTGTGGGGGGCCAGCTCAACTAATCTAAGAACATAAGATCAAACACTTCACAGAAAAACAATTGTAACCAATCAGAATACAGTATTGAGATTATCTTCATCAATCTGTATAAATATCAGGCATTTTTCTTCCACTCTTCAGACTTAATGTCAGTGATCTATACAGCACAACAAGCATAAATCAAGTGAGATTCTTCAAAATGGCATTTCATTGTGAAACCACTACTCCAGCAAGATGTCTGTTTGATACAGTCTACAGTATGAACACTCCAGTCTGCAAGAAGAACCTGTTCCAGTCTCAACTAACAACACCAGCAGCAAACAGGGCACCAAAGAAGACCACATTCGATTCGCCATTCTCCATCAAGAGCCTTCTGAACCTGGATGACAGCAAACAGACTGCAGCAGCATCAACACCACCAGCAACAGTGCACAGCAGCATCATGTCTGGCCTAGCCTCATATCCTGTCTTCAATGAGTTAACCAAGACCCTCGCTGCAGATATCAACTCTTGCTCTGTGCCATCTCAACTGTTCCAGACTATATCGCCTCAGCAGACACCAGTGTCTGTCTGTACATCTGCTCTGAAGAATCGCTTCAACTCACTCAAGTGCAAGCTGCAAGAACACACCAAGCTGCTGGAATTGGAATCTTTCTACCTACAACAGTCTCAACAGGTTGAGTATGAGCGTCACAGCCATCTCTCCAACTGCCATCCAGCACACCAGCACGCTATCAACTGCCAGTATGACCATCAACTAAGCCTCCTGATTGGTCGTGTAGAGAGCAGCCTCCGCATTCTAGAAAGCTCCATCACTTTCAGAGACTCCATCAGCCATGACCTGATTAACTTCGAGACGAGGAATCAAGAGGATGACTACACCTACCCAGGAAATCCACTCCTGGCATCTACACCAAAGAAGTGTTCCCTCAAGGCCAAGAGTCATCAAGGTCATCGTAAACCCTACAGTAGGCAATCAAAACGTGCATTGGACAATTGGTTCTCCATGAACATACACAACCCTTATCCGACAGAGGAGGTATGCTCCCAACTTGCCACAGAGACTGGACTTACTACATCACAGATTCGCAAGTGGTTTGCCAACAAGCGACAGAGGGGAGGTGTTAACAAGAAGCTGATCAACAATCTTACAACACAACACAGACAATCTCACAAACTCTTTCCTTGTGATAACCGAATGCACTGATCAACTTGCACTGTGTTAAATATTGCCAAACTGTTGTAATTGTACATAATGTTAATTCATTGTAAAATATTGTTAATTTTGTGTTGTTATCTACAATAAATTATGGAAATAATCTTCACTGTTTTGTTTTTTGAATTAAGAAAGGTCGCTGAATACTTGTCAATGTCAATAGCCAAAGATGCGTGATGAAGCTCACAAAATTCATTTCCCCAAATTATCAATTTATGCACCATTTTTTTTAGTTCAACACTGACTGTTTTAGAATGGAATTGAACATAGTATGTTAATTTAAATTTTAAATTCACCAATCTTTAATTTAATTCACCAATTGTATTTTATTTAATCTCTGTTGGAGAAATGATTCGTTCCAGGATCAAGATCAATCAGTTAGCAGCATGCATCTATTTGATCCACTCAATTAAAAACATTCATGCTGAGATTAAGATCATAGATCTATTGATCTTTTGAGATTGCGCAGATTATCTGCATGGGGTGACTCAACTGATCTAGGCATAAAAGATCAAACACTTCAGAGAAAAACAATTGTAACCAATCAGATTGTGGCATTTATTTGATCCACCCAATTAAAAACATTCATGCTGAGATTAAGATCAAAGATCTGTTGATCTTTTGAGATTGAGCAGACTATCTGCAGGGGGTGACTCACCTGATCTAGGCAGATAAGATCTAACACTTCAGAGAAAAACAATTGTAACCAATCAGATTGCAGCATTTATTTGATCCATCCGATTAAAAACATTCATGCTGAGATTAAAATCAAAGATCTGTTGATCTTTTGAGATTGAGCAGATTATCTGCAGGGGGTTGGCTAATACTGATCTATTCATATAAGATCAAACACTTCAGAGAAAAACAATTGTAACCAATCAGATTGCGGCATTTATTTGATCCACCCAATTAAAAACATTCATGCTGAGATTAAGATCAAAGATCTGTTGATCTTATGAGATTGAGCAGAATATCTGTGGGGGGCAGCTCAACTGATCTATCCATATAAGATCAAACAATTCACAGAAAAACAATTGTAACCAATCAGAATACAGTATTGAGATTATCTTCATCAATCTGTATAAATATCAGGCATTTTTCTTCCACTCTTCAGACTTAATGTCAGTGATCTATGCAGTACAACAAGCATAAATCAAGTGAAAGATTCTTCAAAATGGCATTTCATTGTGAAACCACTCTCCAGCAAGATGTCTGTTTGATACAGTCTACAGTATGAACACTCCAGTCTGCAAGAAGAACCTGTTCCAGTCTCAACTAACAACACCAGCAGCAAACAGGGCACCAAAGAAGACCACATTTGAATCACCATTCTCCATCAAGAGTCTACTGAACCTGGATGACAGCAAACAGACTGTAGCAGCATCAACACCACCAGCAACAGTGCACAGTAGCATCATGTCAGGCCTAGCCTCATATCCTGTCTTCAATGAGTTAACCAAGACCCTCGCTGCAGATATCAACTCTTGCTCTGTGCCATCTGAACTGTTCCAGACTATATCGCCTCAGCAGATGCCAGTGTCTGTCTGTGCATCTGCTCTGAAGAATCGATTCAACTCACTCAAGTGCCAGCTGCAAGATCACACAAAGCTGCTGGAATTGGAATCTTTCTACCAACAACAGTCTCAACAGGTTGAGTACGAGCGTCACATCCATCTCTCCAACTGCCATCCAGCACACCAGCACTCTATCAACTGCCAGTATGACCATCAACTATGCCTCCTGATTGGCCGTGTAGAGAGCAGCCTCCGCATCCTAGAAAGCTCCATCACCTACAGAGACTCCATCAGCCGTGACCTGATTAGCTTTGAGACGAGGAATCAAGAGGAGGACTACACCTACCCAGGAAATCCACTGCTGGCATCTACACCAAAGAAGTGTTCCCTCAAGGCCAAGCGTCATCAAGGTCATCGTAAACCCTACAGTCGGCAATCAAAACGTGCATTGGATAATTGGTTCTCCATGAACATACACAACCCTTATCCGACAGAGGAGGTATGCTCCCAACTTGCCACAGAGACTGGATTTACTACATCACAGATTCGCAAGTGGTTTGCCAACAAGCGACAGAGGGGAGGTGTTAACAAGAAGCTGATCAACCATCTTACAACACAACACAGACAATCTCACGAACTTTTTCCTTGTGATAACCGAATGCACTGATCAACTTGCATTGTGATCAATTGCCAAACTGTTGTAATTGTACATAATGTTAATTCAATGTAAGATATTGTTATTTTTGTGTTGTTATCTGCAATAAATTATGAAAATGATTTTCACTGTTTTGTTTTTTGAATTTAGATAAGTTGCTGACTCCTCATCAAGACACTATATACATTAGCTAATATACATGTATTGGTTATCACACACAGATCAAGTATTTTGTGCTAGAGGGGGCATTTTGAGACAATCTGAGTATTTTCCCACAATTAAAAGTATATGTATGACTTCACAAACTTTCTGAGGAATTTTAAAACAGATATTTTATCAGATCTTGTGCATAGTGTCCTTTCTAGGAATAATCCCAGGTCTGTGCCTTAAATGTAGGCCTTAGAAATTTTAGGGGTCGCACCCACCCCCGGCACCATGCCCTAGACCTGCTAGTGATAATAGCCACTGACATGATGAATCTCACAACATTCAATTGCCTTTATTTGGTCCATTAGAATGTAACAAGCTCTACAGAGATTCACTTACCTTTCCTGTATGTTGATTGAAGTGTATTTCATCACTTCCACCTCTTTTCAAATCTACAACTGGAGCTATGCTGGGACCTCTACGTGACTGAAATAATGGAATACAAATTGATAATATTGACCTGCCGGTTGTATGTGTCTAATTTGGAAAAGTTAGCAAAAGTTATTGTCTGTAAAAAAACTTTATAATGTACAATGTCCTGATAATAACCCCAGGGGTTCACTCTGAATAATTTGGGTCGGTTTGTGCAGCACAGCCAATTTTGGCTTTGGGCATCAACCATGGAAAATTGCCAATCTGAGAGGAAAAAACGAAAAAAATTGTCGAAGAGAATAACCTTTTAGGTCAAATCTGTTTCTCTACCATAAAGGTATTTAATTGATTAAATCAGTTGCTGAGGCCTGAACTAAAATCACCCACCCAAAAAAAGGATTTTCTAGTCAATTTACCGATATTTCGGGAAATTTAATCCCAGCAAACTCCAGAGGAATTTGACAATTGACATGGACACGTCTATGAAGTTGAGAGGAATAAAATTGACTTTTATAAGTCTAAGAGGAATTAAACATGGAAACCTTCAATCTTGAGAGGAAATTGACATGAAAATATGCTCAAAAAGGGGTCTTTGGCGAGGCACATAGATTCAAGAGGCATATTGGAGTAAAACCCTGGGATAATGACCTTTCTTTCCATGCATGCAATACATGTCTTCATTTATGCTGAAGTAAATTGGTGCACCTGATACTTCCTATACACTCAACCCATAAAATAAAATAAAAGTTCTGAATTTAATTTTGGAATCTATATTAAAGACTATACCTGAGCACGCTGGGCTTTTGTTTGCAGTAGATTTGCTTTCTTAGCCTGTAGCTGCGACTGCATCAGTTTCATGCTAGATGACCAACCTAAAAATTTGTGTTAAAAAAATTGATTCAACTTCAATATATAAATTTGTAGGTGTTACCAAAAGTGAACAGTTTCACTGATATCATACAAAGGGAAAATCTACAAATGATATCTATAGGACAGTTGTATGACCATTAGTCTAAAACATTTTCTTACCAACATCTTTCTTGATGTCTTTTGACGCCTTGCTGTCAATGCCAATATCATCATACAGAGACATCTGCAAGAGTAAGAATACAAAAAAATGCTTAAGATTTAAATTACTAAAAATGTATTAATATCAGGCTTTGCGTATATCAGAGCGAAAAGTGGAGTTTACTTCCATATACTACACAACTACAGTTTGGACAATAAATAAGTGAGTCATGGATTTGATGAAGTGAGGATTTCCCATGTTAAAAATAAGAGAATTTTCAAGAGGCCCTACATCAGTGGATGAGAGTATACAAAATGTAAAATATAGAAATTTAAGGGGATATGTATCTGGACATTATTGGAAACTATGGGCTTCCAAACTTCTATGATGATGATAGAAAATTGACTATTCATTTATTTTGGTCCAAACTGTTGTCTATTTTATTTAATTGAATGTACTTAACCTGTGGCCTCTTGTAATTTCACTTTTAAGATACTGGTGGAACGAATACATTTTTGAAAAAATTGCTATTCCTGCAGATGTTATTTTCCGGTGCAAATAGTATGAAGGCATGTGTGTTTTCTTTGCTTTTTTCAGGAAAGTATCATTAAATTGTTTTATTTTAAAATATCTGGTTTTGTTCAGTAGGATGCTGCTGAGTTTCAATCTACCCACATCTAGGGATTTTTTTATCTCAAAATGGACCTACAACTAGTTTTTATTTCAAAAATAGACCTATACTTAGAGGTAATTCCACCCACTTCCGTCTATTTTTTTCAAGAACAATACCCAGTTTTAGGATTTTCAAAAAAGTAGACCCATATCTAAGGTTTTTTCCCACTTTAGTGGCACATCCCCATACAGTCAATATATTGGAGTAACTCCTAGAGGCGTCACCGATACCCGATCCGCGGAATTATGCCCTCGGAACGGAACACGGAACACAAATTGAGAATTTTGGTTAGGTTCCGGAACAAGAACATTTTACCCTTTCACAACTTTTGGCCCTTAAATCGCCACAAAACAGCATATTTCTTTCAATATTTTGCACCAAAAGAGGTTTATTATTTTCACTCTTTCTCATTGAAGAGTTTTGAAGAGCTTTCGCTACCAAATAGACCTAGATGATCAACTTACAGTTGGGGACAAAAATAAATGACAGGTCGATTTTCGATCACCATTTCCTAATTATGGTGGTCTGAAAGCCCATAATTTCCAATATTGTCTAGATACATATCCCTTAAAATTTGTATATTTTACATTTTGTATAATCTCATCCACTGATTTATGGCCTCTTGTAAATTCTCTTATTTTTAACATGGGAAATCCTCACTTCAGCAAATCCACCTGTCATTTATTTATGTCCCCAACTGTATTTTAATCTTAAACACGCAGTCACTCTGTTCCGAACCGTTCCAAAATTGTTCCGTTCCGAAGCAAAATGTTCCGAACTGAACCGTTTCGATTTTTTTTGTTCCGTGACATCTCTAGTAACCCCCCCCCACGGATCGATTGGCCAGCCTCAGAACCTCGAAGACAGACTATATTCTACTGTATTTAAATATGGGTGACTATCAAAAGGGATATCAGGAGTTGATACAGGTGGTATGCGAATATGGTGGCTATTATTCTTCCAGGTTCATCCACCCAATAGATGTCAGGATATGATACAGGAAAAAAGATGGAAAATCTTGAAGTTGATTATATGCAATTTCTGATAAAACATGGCGTTTAAAATACAAACATAAGAGAGTCATACGGTACATTTAAAAAATGATTTGCATATATATACTTACAATGGTGAATAAGCTGATAAAACAAGAAGAGAACCAAAATGTAAAAGTGTAGTATTTTTCAAGCGACACACAGACGGAAATGCAGGAAACGGCGCCATCTAACGACAAGGTAATTTTTGTCTTTGAATTTTGGTCAGTTTTATGCTAGTTTTATGCGATAAATCAATCATTTACACCATAAATTGGATTATATTATAAAACAACAGTAACAAGTCACCTTTGTTTGCTATTTCTTATCCTGAAAATATCGTTGCTATATCAATAATCTAGGATGTTAAAATCTAAATTTGACGTTCCCTATTATCGCCCAATATAAAACTCAAAGTCCAAATAGAGGAGGGGAAACCTAGAAATCCTGCAAAAGTATATTTGAAAGGTGTAATAAGTATAATAGAAAAATTACTACATACCTGGATATATCTATCTACTTCCAAAATCATTATTTTATAGTTATTTTGGAAACGTGGTCTCGTGTCCTTTTCCCTCCTCAGTTTGGGTATTTCTCGCGTAAACGTCAAATGAGAAATCAAACCCCTCCAAGTCCCACTGACAAGTGATTGATAATTACCATACATTTGATCTGTGAATATCTTTATATGCTATGTGATTTTCATAATCAATGTACATTATGTATACGATGCATTCTCCTGATAGAATATATCCTGAAAAAAAATATCTGACAAGATTTCCTGCGCACCTCAAGCAGAGGTTTCACTATTCTCTAAAAACCTTGATGTCCGACGATCAAAAAATCCATCTATTCTCTCATTTGACCTTATTCTTAAGTTTTCATTCGAAACATAATAAGTTTGGCCGATGCCTTATCTAGCGCCACCTACCTTTTGTCAGTTCATCACAGGAAATTGAATAGAAACCCCTTCTCTCATATCACGCAAATCATTTCTCCCTCGCAATCATCTCACATTCCAACATGGAAGAGATTCTAAGAAAATGACGTCATTGACATCATTTAGAACAGAATGATTTCCCCGAAATGGGAGGAGATTCCATGAATGAGTGATTCCATGAATGAATGAGATTCCATGAATTTTGTCAAGAGTTTGAACTTCTATGAACTCTGACGTCATCCAGACAGAGGGCAAGAGAAAATTTTCTGGAGAAAATGAGAGTTTCTTACAGCATTTGGATCCAATTTCGAGTATCACTATGACTGACTATGGAATGGATACGACCGTTGGACAGGAAGGTGTTTAGAGAGTAGTATTTCTCACAACAGGCTTAATAAATGAAAACAACAGGAAAAATTAATAGAAATCATAAATTTAACATGAAAATGTAAGTCCCTAAAAACAACAGGCGATTTTGTGAAAACAACCATTGAAAATCGCCTGTTGCCTGCTGCTAATGAAACCCCTGTCAAAGGTCGTGAACTTTCTCGTTTATTATTAACATTTTTCATTATTCAAGACAAAGACTTTTTTTCACAAAAAATTACAATCTAACATTAAATGAAAAACATAGGTATACATGTAACTTCAGATCATACAGTCATAGGCCCAGGGAAAAGTATTGGTAAGCTTAATCTAAAAGAAACATCCCCTATGTCAAAAATATAAATATTACATTTTTGATCATGACACTCATATTCTTCACCAAAATCTTCATAACTCAGCTAGGTTGTGATATTCTGTTAATGCTTTATTTGCATATGAGTCTGGAAAAAAGGAAAAAATGATTATACTCTTGAGAAAGTACATGCATGTTTTCCAGATATCATCAAAGATCATGGTTCTCCCTGTGGTGATTGGTGTACCGGTGGCAGCGGTGGTGTTATGTGCAATTGGTGTACCTGTGGGATTATATGTTATCAAACCAGATTTACTAGTCAAACTGTTCATGAGGTAAAAGAAACATTGCTTAACATCATTTCAGCTGTAATACATATTTATGTTCCAATGTAAAGACTCGATACTGAACAAATATTTCACTCTATTGAGGTGAATACCTGTACATCTTTCACAAGTGATATTCCACGAAGCCCGAAGGGCAAGTGGAATATCACCTTGTGAAAGTGCTACAGGTATTCACCGAAAATAGAGTGAAATATTTGTTTTATTATATCAATGTCTAGCTAAACATCCCTAATATTATTAAGCCATTAAGTCTTCAGATATTTTTACGAATCTACTCGGTTCGTCTGCCATTTTGACTTAAACTGAACTAAATTATTTACAATGAACGAAAACAAATTCTTTGAAAATTCCCGGGAGCGTGGAATATCGCTAGATATCTCACGGTTGTCTTATCTGATTAGCATTGCAATTGAATATCGCCAGATATCCCATGACATGTGACCCGGTTTTGACCAATCATACTGTCGCTAGCTAGATAGTGATATAATAATATCAGTTATTACACATTTCAGCATGTGATACGGGAAATATTCCATGAAAGTAAAAATTGTATCACCACGAAAGCGCAGCTTGAGTGGTGATACTTTTTTACTGAGTGGAATATTTCCCGTATCGCATACGCTGAAACGTGTGATGACGATTTTATCACATACTATGTAGAAATCTAGTGATTTGATTTGAGCTTTCTTTGACGTTCTAACTTCTAGTTCCCCAAATGACGAATTCATCATTTCTAAGAAATAATAACATAGCCTGTACGTGACGTCATTTTGAATTAGGAAAGAAAAGAATGAAGTTGTATGACGTCATTACGTTGCCATAGACAACGTGTGGTACGTGTGCTCGTATCATATGAAATTCATGTGATACGGGAAATACGTCATAGAAAACAACCAATCAAATCACTAGATTTCTACATAGTATGTGATAAAAGTAAATCTCATCTTGCACGTGTGACTTTTTAGGATGAAAGATGACAATATCTTGCATGGGGTAATGATGGCCGTATCTTGGTTAATCATAAGAGAAATGCATATAATAAATTAAAATAATAATAATTTAAAAAGTAAAATATTTATGATTTAAAATTTTTTCAATATTTGTGTTTTAGATATGGCATGCGATCAGCTGGTCTTAAGATCAAAACAATAGAGGGAAATGACATCACATTTTGTTACGCAGAACGCGGCATTCCCAATCCTGATGTCCCAAGTTTGTTATTCATTCATGGATTCACTGCAAGCAAAGACATGTGGTCAACTATTATAAAGGTGACTTCAGGATAATTACTACTTCAAGGGGTAGTATTGATTTGAAAATGCAAATATGCATATTCAAATAGGGAAGGCTAGAATGATATAAATGAGGCAGTAGATATGCAATACAATGCAAAACAATACAATACCATACAATACAATACCATACCATACCTTACCACACCATACCATACCATACAATACAATACCATACCATACCATACCTTACCATACCATACCATACAAACAATACAATACAATACAATACAACACAATACAATACAATACCATACAATACAATACAATACAATACAATACAACCAATCGAATGGAGGAGATATAATTCTATAATTGGACTCCACAGTTTTAATTTACAAAATGTCAAAACAAAAATTTTGTAAAATTGCCTCTTTTAGTTTTCTCCTTATGGTCACTAACAGTTAAAACGAATCGCGTGGATTTAGAAAGTGTGTTGTATGCCATTGCTATGTTTATGTTAAAACCTATGTAATTAGTACAGTGATTGGAAAATGAGTCCAATTAGTATTGCAGTTTACTCCAAATTAAAAGTACATAAACCACTCATTAAGTCATAAAAAGGGGAAAACTCAATTTTAACATTAGATATATACATTTCAGAAAATGCCTCAGAACCTTCATACCATAGTTGTAGATCTACCAGGTCATGGTGACACTTTAACAAAAGTCGACGAAGATATGACATTTAAAGGCCAAGTAAAGAGAGTCCACGAGGTAGGTTTCCAGGATAAACTGGGTTTATTGTATGTGAGACCTCATTTCCGTCATCCAATAGGATTTGTTCTTACTTATAGTTGATATAAAGATTCAGAGAAAATATGATACACTTGAGTTTTACTGACTGAATCCATCTAGTCAAACTAATAATTGAAATGGAAACTCAACCAAACCAGTTCAGTCATTTGTGCTGAAAAAATGAGAACGAGAATTGAACTTACTGTAATTATTATGATTTTTAGTTTGCTGAGCTGATAGGCCTAACAAATGGGAAGTACCATGTGATTGGTCAGTCCATGGGAGGAGCTATATCAGGACTATATGCTGCTACATACCCAGAGGAGGTTGGCCTTGTCACTATGATATGCCCAGCAAGTGAGTACGACTATTCATCCATTGTTCAGCAGCTGCAATTCAACATTCTCAGTCATACTGATTGTTTTTTTTGTATATCTTTGTACATGTATTTATATTTTTATGAATATTTATTCTCTAAATTTAAAATTATGTATTGTTAGCACTCTGTTTCAGCATGAAACCATGAGTTACATGTATGTATGTCCAAGAAACAGTGTTTACATTATACATATATACAATACATGTATGTGATCGCCCCTTGTACATCTCAACAGCTTTAATGAGACCATATTCCACTTCATGTACGTTGTAGTTCTGTTTATTGTTTTACAACATAGATTTCGATTTTCAGTGGAGACCCCTGAGATGTCTGATTTTACTCATCACATAGCTTCAACAGGAAATGTTGTACTTCTACCAGAAACTGTGGAAGACATTGCAGAGATGATGACGTTTATCATGCACAAGCCAATCAAAGTCCCCAAACAGGTAACATATGCATTCTGCAGTGGTTGTAGTCAGGCATGAGGGAACTGTGCGTCAAAGTTTTACAGAAAAACATTAATTCAGATGGATTTTTTTAAATGAAACTGTAAAAAATAAAGGTCGGTTCGTGCTTTGTTCGAAATTCCTTCCAACTGGTGCTGAATTTCATTGCAATTGAATGGCCTATCATTATTGTTTAAGAAATATAGACTGAAGAGCAGGTGTTATATTGATGAATACAAACCGCAGGGCTAAGTACACACATTTTCTGTACTCCGAACGATCGAAGGGAGTGAGGGTTTCGAAATATTTTGTGCCTAGCCGTCAGGTATGTATTTGTCGATATAACACCTGCTCTGAGGTCTATATTATGGTTCAAATATTGGGTGAAATATAACGGGTGAAATATTGACTTTAAGTTTGAGTTTATAGAATACAGTCATGTTCGAATCCTTAAATAAGAAATGGTTGGTTGCCCCTACCCCATTGTACACATACAAGATTTAACAAAGTCTTATTGTTTCTAGATTCTGAAAGGTGCTCTTGGATTGCGACAACCAAAGATGGATTATTACAGGAAATGTGAGTAGAGATTAGTCACCAGAGTTTACTTTAATATGTATGATTGAAGAATGTTAAAAATATACTCCTCAAAAAAAGTTAAGGACCTCATAGGTTTACATGTTAATCCCCATATTTGTGTAACAACTGTTTTCTAAGCGGGGAACAAAAGAAATCCCAATAAAGTAAATAAATCTGTATCTTGATTCTATTCCCTATAAAGTCCGCAACGTTTCAATGTTATATCTCCATTACACTGGGTCAAAATTTGATGTCAAAATTGATGAATTTCATGAAATGTAACAAAAATGGCAGATCCCATGTTAAACAAATGGGGAATGGTGGCTAAGGGGCAACTCAGATTTTGGAATATCTATTCAGCAAAACATTTATTAAAATACTTTCTAAGTAGAAAATTGAATGATTTTACATTTTACACGCTAAATGTCTCGCTTATGTTGTTAAAATTAGCGATACGGAGCGTTCAAGTAATTTTGACCACCTCACTGAACCACCTGTGTTATTTCAATAAGAGGTTCATTAAAAATTATTGAATTTGAAACCATTAACTTTTGTAAAGCCTGGACAATTAAATCATATTTTTGTCGAGTAGACAATTTAGCAAATTTAATTATCTCTTACAATCTCAATTTTGAGAGCAATAGGATGGATGGATCGTTCCTCATATGACTTATGGCAACCCAACCATTCCCCATTTGTTTAACATGGGATCTGCCATTTTTCTTAAATTTCATGAAATTCATCAATTTTGACATCAAATTTTGACCCAATGTAATGGAGATATAACATTGAAACGTTGCGGACTTTATAGTGAATAGAATCAAGATACAGATTTATTTTCTTTATTGGGATTTCTTTTGTTCCCCGCTTAGAAAACAGTCGTTAAACAAATATGGGGATTAACATGTAAACCTATGAGGTCCTTAACTTTTTTTGAGGAGTATACTTTCAATAGTAGAGATAAACAATACTCTATTGAATGATTTGACAGTCTTAATGTGCAATTGTAAACTGTTACCATAGCAAAGTGCTAGAATGTTTTCATAATCAACTTGCATCTATTTTTACATCCTGTATTTTCTTGCATAAGCAATAATGTTTGTTTATTTTCATATATGCAGTATTCTTAGCATTGGTTGAAGACAGAGGTGCATTGAATGAATCGATGGGTTCAATTACAGTGCCGTCACAGGTCATATGGGGCAAACATGATAAGGTATGATTGCTTAGTTTTCATCTTCAAATTAAAATCATCCATTCATTCATGAGATCCATGGCAGGATATCTTGATTTGAACTTATTTAATTAATAGAAATTAAGATAAGATAACAATGGAAGTAAGGCAGTTCACCAAATTTTTTTAATGAGTTGTTCTTTGCATCTGTCATTATCGTTTTTGTGTTAATATTGCTGTATTAAAACACTTCAAATACACTGCATTTAGTCCTGCGGAATCGATGGAGCTGGTTGCTTTCTAGGATGTATGCTATGTCTTTGTATTTTCTTCATCTATATGTTATTGACTTTCAAAATCAGAACTGTGCCGGTTTGGCACTGGTGGGCAAAATTTTTTACAGCCTTGTATAGGTGGCGCCCCCTATGAAATACCCTTTTATTAAGGTATTTTTTATTAAATGATCTTGAGCAGAGTCTTTAACTCAAGCCACCTAGTATAACCTGTTATATATCCTTAATTGCATGTCTATTTTTTTTCCTTACCTAAAATCTCATATTTACAGAGAACTGGTCATTTATCCCCCCTGATATCACATATATTCCAAGGGGTCACTATGTTTTGAAGGCATAAAATTTAAACAAAGCGTAATTGTGATCTCAAATTATTCATAGATATGACTTGATACATGTTTGGGATGGTGTTAAAATAAAAAGCCTCTGTCTTAAATATCTTAAGAGAAAAAAATTATTTGTTACAGTAAATCCTAATATTAAACAATATGCAATTTGTAAAAAGGTTATATTCAAAAGTCTATTTTGACTAAATTATCCTTAACACCATCATGAATTTAAATACATTTTATTATATGAAGTAACTATTTTAATTCTAACACATGAAAACAGAAATCAAGGATTGAGCACTAATTGTTTAGTATATAACCTATGGTCATGCCACCATATTTGAAGGGGGGAGGGGGTTATGTTACCGGACATTGTGCCATTGAGTAGATGTTAACATGGAATACTTATTAACTTCATACAGGCAAGGCTAGATAGTTACTGAATGATGAAAGGGTTTGAAATACTGACCATAAAAATTTGTGTCTATCATTAATAAATTAATTTACCATCCTTTGTCAAAGATATTGTAGCTCATTGAGTGTCAGCTTTTATTCCGTTAACAAGGGTATCATTTTTGGTCTCTTTATCCATACTTCTTGGACAGCTTGCAGAACAATTCCATCATCGAGATCATCATCATTTGTTTCATTGGTGACTGTGACTATTAGTCTGGTATGTTTACGCAACTCTCTTCACCTTTGCAAAGGCAAAATAAACTGCAGGACAAAGTAGTCTTACAGCACAGACAACAATCTATACCACAAATGATATCATTGCTGGCACACTTCTCACGTGTACAAAGTATCATCTTTAGCACTGAGTCTGGTGCACACAAAACATTTGGTGGAAGTTTAACTGACACTAACATGTTGTTGACAATATCCATTTGCCAGCCATTCTCCCAGTGGTTGCAACTTAGGAGGTAAGGGTTGGGCTGCATGTTTACACAGGGATGTTTGTAGATGAGCATGTTTCCTCAAAGGCTTTGTTTGAAGGTGGCAATGATTGTACTTCTGGCAGCATTTCTCTTGGTCCACACAGCATATCTAACATCAGATGACTGGATTGATACCATAACATGCTGCTGTGAATTTAGTAGCCTGTGTCTTTCCATCAGATATTGGTATGTAGTCTTCTCCAATCCAGCTTAAAGAAGCATTTCAAGTCTGGTGTTAACTGCTTTAGTCTTGCCTATGCGGTAAAGACTAGATGTTGTGTCACAGTCTGTCAGGCTGTGGGCAGCAAGAAGTTGTGAGGTGACATTTTTGTTGGAAGTTGACACAGACTCCATAGTAACATAAGCAATTAGATGGTGTTTTTCATAGTAGTGAAGCAATAGGATTTAGACACTAGTGTCGTCACATACTACATTTACTTCCAGTTTTGCTGTTCATAACATACTTGTTTGTTGATGTTTTCAGGTTACCATGGGTGCCATTGACCTAGCTCAAATGACTTGATAGTTTTCATATCAACATTGGCTTTGGAAGGGGGAGGGCGCTTGGGGTGACCGCCCCCTCCCTTTTCCAGATTTTTTTTAGGCTAGAATTTGAAAACTCTTGAGAGCTAATTAAAGTCAAATGATACTATACCATTATTTAGTGTATATCAAGCATAGAAGATCTCATTTATCATTAATATATTTACATATGTTATTCTGTACCATTGTTTCTAAAGAACCCATTCAGTATGTAAATACTTTGGAGAATAAGAGCAAAATGTATATTTTATTTAGTAAACTTCAAAGTAGCTCGTTTTCTTGAAACACAATTTTCTCTTGTTTTTATTATTGGGAATGTTGTGCTGAGATGTTCATAATGCATCAGAGAGGATCTAAATCTGAACATTTTCTGAGGGCATGCCCCCCCCCCCCAATCCACGCAATCCACAGTCAACCCCCTCCCTTGCGAAATCCTTCTGACGCCCCTGTATCAAGTTGCCGGTTTATTACCAGGCTCAAACTCTAGAGTACGAGGCTCGATCAGAAAGCAAGTAACCAACTGCTCTTTTTTCTTCATACTTTATTCAATTTCATTGAAATTTTCACAGATAATGTAGAAAATATTAACCTATTAAACAAGACCAAGGATAATGGGTTAGCATCAATTCCATTGTTATTGCTGTTGCTATGGTGACAATTGTTTTGGGTAGGTGGGGCACCCTGTTTTAAGTCGTGTTTGAAGATAATTTATTGAGTTTTTCTACATGTTTTTCTACATGCTCCAAAGATATCAAATTTACATGTTAGACTACATTTTAACTCATAGTCTTTCAAATTAATCACCACCAAAGTCAATGCAGATGAGGCAATGTTTCACTGTTTTACTCTGTCCTTAAACATGTCATCATTCAATGACTGCAAACTGCCATTGAACGCTTAATGATAGCTACTGTTATTGATGTCCCGTTTAAAACCCCTATTCTAACTTTCTAAAATGAATTCCAGCAATATTACCCAACAGGAATCTACTTATTGAGATTATTTAGTTCTTCTGAGAAATTGAGGATTTCAGCAAGGGTGCATTGACTTAACATGGGGACATACCTGATGGTATCCTCACTCTAAGTCAATGGTCAATGGAATTTTCCCCATGTTCAGTCAATGCACCCTTGCTAAAATCCACATTTTCTCAGAAGAACAGTTGATTGAGTCTAAATAAGTAGATTCATGTGGGATAGTATTGCTATAATCCATTTTCAAAGGTAAGAATAGGGGTTCTTAAACAGGACATTGGGCTTGCTTTGCTTTGTTGGTACTAATAAATGGTCTCTATCATCATATTTAACCAGATTCCATTCTAAATGGGATGATGGGTGATATGCTGTCCTTGGAGAAACAACATTCATCAACAACATTCTGTGGAAATCTCTCCATGTCTCGTAGACAGAACAGTCCTTACTAGTTATATTGTCATGCAGCAAAGAAATATGGAAGCATAGATGGGTCAACAGCAGCCAAATGGAGCAGCCAGTTGCCTTCCCTTTCAGCTCTAACAAGTTGCACCATGATAAATACTAGCATTTGTAGTTTTTCTTTCTGACAATTTAGAGTTAAGAACATCTATGAGTTCCTGGTAGCTGTTTACCTGATGAATTACTTGCCTCAAAAGTTCTTCAACAAGGAGTCTCAATGCTTGAACATTGTTAGGGTAATTCTTGCCTGTTAATCTTGGGTTTCCCCAGCAAATTGGTTATCTCTACTTTTCAACTGTCTGACATTAGGATGCCGACACAACCAACAAAACTCATGAGCATGTACATGACCCAGAGCCTGTTGATGAATGTACAGGGTGGTCAAAAAATGGAAACCCTACATTTTCCATATATCTTTGTCATTCTCGAAAATTACTCCCTGATATTTCACACATTTGTACACCATTCAATTTCCTACCACTCTACCATATTTCATGACCATCAGACTGATAGTCACAATTTACAGTACTTTGAATAACATGCCTCAGGTTTGGCCATCATCACGCCGTAGACAAAACAGCACAGTTATCAATGACCCGAATGCATTCCTCAGCAGGTATGGGGACATTTTAGACTACGAGTACAGGTTTCCCAACAGCGCAAAAGTGGCCACTGGGGTATGTTCTTTAATGTGCTGTAAAAGTGTGACTTTTAATCAATCATGAAATTCAGTAGGCTGGTAGCAAATTGAATGATGTACAAATGTGTAAAATATCAGGGGGTTATTTTTTAAAATGACAAAGATATGAGGAAAATGGTGTAAGGGTTTCCATTTTTTTGACCACCCTGTATAATAAAGGTTGTTGGGGTCCAGAACATGACACCAGTGGCTACTTTGTACAACTGCTGGTGCGTTCTCAAAATTGTGTAATCTTGCTTATATGTTTGGGTCAACTCCTTTGCCTGATGCGTGATGGTTAACATTGTGCTTTGGTCCACTGGCTTAACATCAAGAAGTGGGCTGTAGGCAAGTTTTATTGCAGGTTTAATGATGGCGCCACTAGTCCTAGCTAACCTAGTATTGTAGCCCCTGAATGATGGTGTCCCTGGTACAGATGTATCACTTCCAATAAATGGTCTAAGATTTAACCCTTATACAACAGGGATGACCTACTTACACTGTCAACAATGAGTTTCTTTCACATTTTAAACGTGTCATCTACCCCCCCTCCCCCTATAAAAGGGTATACATTATAATTTTCTGAATTAATTAATTTAAAGAACCTATGTATCTTACATAAATAGCTTAGTTTGATAGATAGACTCACAGAATCTGCTGATATTATATTTTTCAATGTTTCACAGTAATAACAGTGATATTTTTCATACATATTAATATTGCTGAATACAAGGAAGTCTATATTAATTTTTTTTTTCTCTTCAACTAATTAAAATACAAGTCTCATATTTTACACTATCTCTGATATGGGTTAACTTAAAGTCATGAATAATTTCAGATCACAACTTTGTTTAGTTTGCAAAATATGCTTATTCAACATAGTGACCCCTTAAAAATAGGTGGCGCTAGGGTAACAAATCAAGCATATCTCATTAAATTTGTGATTCTATGTAATGAAACAAAGTTGACATGTTGTTTAGACTAAATACAGTTTATCTGAATTGGTTAAAGTTTTCAACTGTACCAACAGCCCTTTAAAAAAAAAATTTTGTGAAATGGGCATTTTACAAGGGGCGCCACCTATACAATGCTGTAAAAAATGTTGCCCACCAGTGCCAGTCCGGCACAGTTCTGATTTTGAAAGTAATTAACTTATAGATAAAGAAAATACAAAGATATAGCATACATCCTAGAAGGCAACCAAAAGTTTCAATATGCCATTATTCCGCTGGACTAATTAATCAAATTAATACACATTTTCTCTTCATGATGATTTACAAACATTGCAATTTATATTTGGAGATTTTCTGAAGCACTTGTTAAAGTATATAATTAAACCCACTGAATTCATCGCCATCTATTGACAGTCCCGAAGACCACTAAACACGTTTACCTTTTTTCTTGTAGCTGATTCATGTATCTGGAGCTGAAGTTCTACACAAAGGGCTGCCCAGTTGTCATAGGTTGGACCTGATCCCAGAATGTGGACATTCAACCAATATGGAGCGACCAGGGATGGTTACAAAGCTATTGTTAAAGTTCAGAGAGTTAGAAAAGAACTATGATCCCATTGATATTGACAATAATGCTAATGGAAGTACTGTATTGAATGAGACTTCAGCAGAGAAGGTGCCCATATTAGAGGCTTGGCTAGCAGAAAAGAAGGCATCCTTGTAATACAACCAACAGTGTCTATATGATTGGTTACAGTGTTTAGGGAATTAACCACCAAGGCAAGAAAGTAATTTGGTTATGCTACATAGACACGCACAAGAGTTTAAAAAGGTTGTAGTAAGTGAAATCCTAGTCATTCAGCCAAGGCTGTCTGTATTTTCAAAGCCTACTATGGACCTTGTTTCACTCATCTACTACATGTGTAGAATATTGTATTGTATTATTGATGATTGTCTGCATCTGTATTGCTATCAATACTTGCACAGTACTAGTCATGCATTTTCCATTTCCACCAATCAAAATGCAGTATCAGCATGCATTATTATTCACATTCCTTTGGGTTTTAGTGTTAAAGGGCCAGTATCTGTAATTCTTATACTAAATTACCCAAATAATTTTTTTTAATTCATAATGATTTGTAACTTGTACCACCAATAGATCTGATGTAAAACTGATTTTCTAAAGAATATACCAACGTTTGGTAGCAATTATCTAGTGAGTAACTTGATTGCCTTCAATGTTAATTGGTTAACATTGTTGAATTTTCAGTGTATGATATTGAATAAAATGATAAATGAACCTAAAATTAAAATGAATAAGAAAAATTGCCTTTTAATAATTTGAGGGCACAATAATTTGGAACTTTGACTTTGAAAGTGACCACATTTTTCAATCTTTGGTAATTTCTTCAGAAAAAGTTTTCTATCCAGTCAAATTCTATTGATGATACATTTTACAAATCATTATACTTAGAATCCTGTTAGGATGATATAAACGATATTTATTGAAAAATTACAGATAGCAAGTACCCATTTTGTATTTGTTTTGAGCAGGCATTTTGTTACATCAGTTTGTATCATAGTTTATTGCCACATTAAGTTGATTTAATATGTTACGTTTATTTTATACAAGTCTAATCATTATTACTCATTTCAAAATGCCAATGCATATGTATGCAATATTATATTATAATTAATTAATTGAATAGTTATGGAATATATTTATTTATATTTTAAACAATTATGTTTTTACGATCATTTCGAAATGAAATGCTTAAATAGTGTAATGAAGAAGGATCACAACGCTTCCCAGGTGGATTTACAACTGCTTATTGTTCCATTCTTATAAAGCTGTGTTTGGATGACACCTCACTTATTGGTCAAATTTGACTCAAAGAGCGAGGGAAACTATCGCAACAGATTTTTGACAGTAAATAATTTTTTTCTAGTAGTTTCTGGCTGTACAAAAATGAATGCATATGAAAGGCCAATGTATAATCTTTAAGAAAAATTCAAAGAATGGTTTCAAGATCAATTGGATTATCTCATAAGCCATGTTTAATCCACCCATCAACAAGCTTTTTTCAAAATACAATCGTCATTTTCACCATCGTCCCTCATTTTTTTTTACAATTTTCATGCAAAGTTACATTGTACTTGAACACATGTTTCATCACTTAAAATATATAAGGAACTCCTCGTGGATTAGGATTATGATAATCCAATATAAGGGGATCCAATGGGGATCTAAAAGCTATGCTTTTAGTACAGCACACTCATATAAGATGTCATTAGTGTGCCATAAAGTTAGTTCAAAATGTTTTCATAAATGAATGGTTGGACTTGTTTGATCCCCTGCTGTTTGATCCCCTGTTTAATCAATGGAGCATAACCGCAGCATTTCCCCAAAAATTCTGAATACCTGTCAAGTTGACTGTTTAATGTTTGAGTGCAGTTAAACCTGTGTGTGTGTGTGTAAGTTGCTTTGTTTGTTTGTTTATATCCATCTGTACTAGGTGCTTTGATGCCACCTTTGTTTATTCTCTGGTGCTTGTTTTTCACACTGTGCTATCACTTGTAAGTTTTACACTGATGGTTTGTAGAAGTCTCTTTTTTTATTATTTATAAGTTGCTAAAAAATTCTAAATACCTCTCTTTATGATAATTTCTATGATGCCTAATTATAGCATTTACTTTGAACAGGTTTTCTGTATCTTGTTTATCAGTAATGATTCACGAGGTACAGTGCTATTAAAATCATAAATACAGTACAATTTAGTACATCATACCTTTGCCAATAATTTTAGTAAGACAAATATTTTGATCCAGCTTCTGAAAAAAACATTGAACATATATGATGATGTTTTATAACACACTTCCTTATTTGAGTTTATCTCCAGATTGATTATTCAAATAATGAAATGAAGGATGATATGCTAAGAATAATTTTTGCATATTCATCAATTCAAGAAATGTTACCCTAAGAAAATGTTATGAGTAACATACACTCTTACCTTAATGTTAACATTAGGGAGATTAAGCTTGCATATAAAATCGAAACGCCAACCTATGACCAATCGCCCATACAAATGCATCGCTAAATATTTTCAATTCACATTTAGGTTGTGAAAAACATTGCAAGCTTAAAGTCCCTATTGAGAGTCTCTGAAAACCACAATCAATACCATTGAGTGTGTGGTGTATACTACCTTTATCATTGTTTCTAAGATTTACAATAACATCTTTTTAGCAAAATGTCCGATTTTCTTCCATATTAATGTGAACAAATATAAACAAACATAGAATGATTCTATTGGTTGAGTCAACAATTTCAGTTATTAGGGAGGTTAAGATCGCACTATTTTGATGAACGTACACATGGAATGTGTAAACTTATGGTCCCCTATTCACGGTGTTATAGCATGACGGTTACGTCAAGGCGATTTGCAAAATTTTGCGGTAACGATAACAAAAAATGGCGGATGGGAAAGGCAGCATGTCCTCTTTCTCGCCTGTAGGAAATATTCACAGATAAGATTTCCTTTTAAACTAGTTCCATTCGGTGACGTATATATGGTTGGTTATAAAGACTGGGTCAAATCTGCCAGGTGGTCTACAAGAAACAGAATATAATCTGTAAACCTACCGACTGAGATATCAAAGTTTATAATATTTGGTCCATTCTCGTGTTGTCTCAGTACATCAGCCACTCAAAATATTAACTGTAAGTATAAGTAAACTGTGTATAACTACTGCAAATTCAAATACATTATTATGGCTTGAGTAAAACATAGGTGGTTTCCAATGCTCAATTGGCTTTGTATGATCGTATGTAGGTTACATCTATATACCACAAGGTTTTTAGGCAATGTAGACCATGCCCTAACAACAAAAACAAAAATAAACAAATTACTAAATTTTTGTGTAGTTTTGAATTTCAAACTCGACAGTTTTTCTCTTATTTCATGTTATCCCCGGGCATCAATTTGCAAAGGCTACGTTCAAAATATACATTACTGAAAGTATCACCGAATGCGATTTTTACATAAATCGTTCATCCTTTCATTGATACACAGAAATAGAAAATAATGCGCCAACCTTAGTTTTCTCTTCCATCGCGGCCATTTTATTGGATAAATTAGTGAACGTAGCTGTCCAACCTCATTTTCAGAGGTGGCGTAACCGTCATGCTATAACACCGTGCTATTGACTATTTTCACATCACTGGCCTCTTTTTGTTTCCTGATTGATATAATGCCAATTGATGTAATGGTCCCCAGTTAAACCAGTTGAGAGATGGACAACATTACTGGGGGTCATAACAGTACTCGTTCATGTTCAAGTTCTCACACAAGTGTTTTACACAGTCTGTAGCCAGCTTTTACCAAGGGGTAGGAGCAGTTTTACCAAGGGCAAAGCTTTTGCCTAGGGATGAACTTTTTGACAGTTTTGGCTAAAAAATCATGCGAAGTGCTCAGATTGGTGAGAAACTGCATCATTTTGAAAGAATCTCTTGGGGGAGCAGCAGCTCCCTTTATCTCTCCCCCTCTACCTGGCTAATTTTCACATTTTTTATATTTCTACTATTCAAATTGACCAATCCCCATTCATGTCATTTTAACAGGTCCCTTCATTACTTTACACTTGTGTTCATTAATCCCTTGTTTTCTAGTCGTATGTGCTTTTATTATTCAGTTTCACTATCTATTGTTTTGCCATGCCAGTTTTACATGTTTGCATGCTGAGTTTGTTTTATGTAATGTTTTTTGTTCCTTAAATGGTTTACACATTCACTCAATTGAGTTGAGGTGTTGCCCCATTACTAGTTAATGTTGCCTAGAGTTTGTGACTGTACATACACAAAGTATTTCAAATATATATTTTAGAAAACATTTTATATTTGATTCCCACCCAAGGGTCTTCCACTCACCCATTAACATAAACAAAACATGAACTCTAATAAAAATGCCAACAAGACTGCAAGGGAAACTTAATCTATGAATTGGACTTTGCCATATCACATGTATTAGTCCCGTGATCAGGGAGGGGGTGGAGGGGGGTTGAGAGACGACCCTCTCCCCAAGCCACATTTTCTGTCAACATCCTGCAATTTTTCACCACTTTAGTACTTTTCAAGTGATGTTCGGATGATGCTTTCATTTAATTGCTTGCACTGATGGTTTCTCTTGAAAATTCATGCACATAAGGTGATCTAGTATTTCAACACAGGACCCTGAAAGCGCTATTTGAGCTTGAAGTAGAAGTATTCATAGTATTACTGTTTGTATTATTAATCTCTACGATTTTTCAATAGGCTAACTCAGTCAGTGAATGCAGGATTAAAACACAACACACATGAGTAATTCACCCACCTATGCATGTTATTATTGAAAAACATTGCCATCTTTTACATCACTCCTAAATTATTTTTGTAAACATGCATTTTAAGAGGTTCATTTTTTCAAAAAAAACACAAAAACAAACTTCATGGAGTTCCTTACATATTTTACTTGATGAAACATGTGTTCAAGTACAATGTAACTTTGCATGAAAAATTGTAAAAAAAATGAGGGACGATAGTGAAAATGACGAATGTATTTTGAAAAAGCTTGTTGATGGGTGGATTAAACATGGATTATAAGATAATCCAATTGATCTGGAAACTATTCTTTGAACTTTTCTTGAAGATTATAGATTCGCCTTTCCCAAGCATTTACTTTTTACAGCCAGAAACTACTCACAAAAAAATTTTCAACTGTCAAAATTATCAAAAGTCTGTTGCAATACTTTCCCTGCTCCTTTAGTAGGCTAATTTGATATTTTTGGCAATAAGTTCACACTTTTTTCACTTGGATTTGCTACTTCATGGAGATGATTTTGTAATTTAATTATTAATTATGAGCATAGCTGGACTATACTCACTTATGAGACTGGGTTCTGGTTACGAAAATACAAATCAAATAAATTTTTGTATTGATAGATATATATACTGATTTTTTCATTAGATTTTTACAATGATTTTATTTGTTTACAAGTAACCATGGAATTCCTCTATAAGGGATTATATGATTGGAAAGTGACCGATGCATTTACAGTATTTATTGTCCATGTATTATTGTTTTATATGCAAAAATCATTTAACGTAATAAACCTTAATAAAGCAATCTACATTGTGATGTTTCGGATTTGAATATCTTTATGTTATGTACTTGAAGGTGCTGTATCATCATATTTGAGAAATTGGACTGACATATTCTTTGGGAATTTCCTGTATCATCAAGTTAAGTTGCAAAATTTCCTTTTGATTCTGTTAGTTTGATTCTGTTTGGATTTTTTCCAATGCCCTCTACATAACATAACACTACATTATTAAATTCTTGTGTACCCATCATATGAGCCTGATCATCAACATAAAGTAAACATCAATAATAAATTATTAATTCCATATATTTATTTTCAAACAATTGCAAACTTCAATTACAATTACTAGAAATGTTCAGCATTGTTTTAAGTGAAAGTGTGCGTACTACCACTTAATAAAAACATCACTCCATCAAGTGTGACATTGTTTTTACATGATTCAGTTTTCAAGTCCAACAAAGTTAACTGCGTTCCACTTGTGTACATAAGTAGTTACGGTAGGTTATGACTGCATATCTCCAGCTTTGTACTACGTTATAATTCTTAGTCCCCATAGTGTCTCATCCAGCAGTGACAACACCAAATGCTAGGTTTTGTTGCTGAAGAACTGAAAAAAGAAAATAATAGTAATGCTATAATGCTATACTAAGTACTAACCAAATTCAACAAAGGAATGTAACTTGCCTTAATTTAGTGATTAATCAATTATTTACAAGATGGCAATTATATTGATCTAATAATTAATGATCCAGTCTTCATAGGGACTTACCTGTCTTATTGAGCTAAAGGCTGGTCCAAATCTTTCATGAGACACCACATGTTTGGAGATCCAAGTTGGAAGTTTGTTACGAATGTTTGGACGTGAATATCTGGTATCCAGCATTAGTATGGTGGCGTAATCTCCCTTGTGCCTAATTGCTCTGCCTGAAAGCAAGGAACATTTGGATTTAAAACAAAACAATATTATATACAATGCCTCTAGCAATTTCCACTACCCAAATACTTATATTGATACTTTCTTTGTATATTTAGAGGACACTAAATTGAATACTTCATTTTCTTATCATAACTGGTACTATTGAGTGGCTACATAGGAGTAAATGAAAGCAAAAAACACATGGGTATGACAACAGCAGTAGCGAGGCATTTTTAATATTTCATTGCTAAAGTTTTTTTAAAGTAAAATTTCAAAGTGTGGCTCACCTATGGATTGGTTGACTGCCTTCATACAAAGGTTCTCATAGTGTTCTTGTCCTGCTGTTTTACCATTCCTATTTGGCTGGAAAGTGCAAACAAAGAACATTTTCATCATTCACACTACAACAACAGGCTTTACATGGTCATGATTATTTTACAAATTCCTCCAAGTCCAACCATGATTCTTGTAAAAATGCTACTATGACAGCTCAATCCTTTTCAAAAAAGCAAGAAACACCCCTGAAAAATATTCATATTATGCAACATACAACTTGTATATATTTATGCAACATACAACTTGTATATATTTTGTTAGTACACAATTGAAACATTTAACTGAGAACAGTTTTTTACTCTATATCCCTCAATTGTAAACCTCGGTCCATGGTCTCGGTTCGCATGGTTGGCATATAACTTAAACAGTATCAATGTACTCACATGGTTTGCATTGAGGTAGTTCATCTTCTCTTTTAGTTCTGGTGAATGTAAATTTGGGAATGGCAGGCCTATCATGATTACACATCTGCAATTGAATTAAGAATTCTTGGTTGTATTTAGCAGAAAATTATGGGTATGCAAAATCTGAAATTTTGTGATTGTAATAGCTATGTTCTCATGATATGACAATCTACTACATAGTCATACAAAGACTTGACCAATTCATTCTTTTAAATGAACTTTTTACATAGGTAAATGCATAAGCTAGGGGATCTGGATCTAGAAAAACAGTGAAACAGTCAAATTCCCAAACCTTCATAATTGAATGATTTGGATATTAATGAGTTGAATGTACATGTTTGTTATTGGATTGTTACAGCAAATAAAAAAAAAAAAGAGATGTTATACATATACACGAATATAGTAATTCTTTACCATTGAAAGGGGGCAGCATAAGCGATGAGAGATGGCACATATAGTATATAAAGTACAATATAGACATTAGACACACGTGTACATACCTTCCTAAATTGTCAGAAAAGTTTATTCCCTCACTCATCTTTCCACCCACTACACATAATAGTAGGGCTCCAGTCTGTTCTCCCTTGCAGTCTGTGCATCCCTTCTGGAATACAGTGGACAGAACTTATATCTATTTCATACCAAGTATATGTGAATTCAAAATTCTTTGCACATTTGTATTATTTAAATGACATTGTCCATCACTGGTGTATTTCTCCACGCAGGATGTATTTTACAAAATGGAGAAAAAGTTATCAGATTTTGATATTAATAATTTTCAAATAATTTTATTTTTAATAATATCAGATACTGCTCTATTGCTTTTTCATCAATACCATCAATTAAAGTTTTGTTGTTTTTGGAAAAAATGCAACCGTTTTGAGAGTCAAAGAGAATTATGTCATCTCTTATATACCTGAACTGCTGCACTATAATCCCCCAGTACCTGGTCTAATTGACTAGCTTTTTTGGGTTCCCTGAAGATCTGCAATGTGAGGATGAATGTTAGCATATGAAGATATGAAATCAATTAGATAACCTGTTATTTTAAATTGATGTTCTATGATTGAATAGATGGCTCCAAACATCTGTTTTGATGGTGTAAAGGCTGGACTGTCTTAATTCTTTGTTTTACATTATTTTGTCTTGTGGAACATGAGGGAATGATGGTCTTATATCCTACAATCAAAAGTATGCAAAACTAAATTTATTTTTATAGTAGTGTAGATGGATATGCTGGAATCATTTTCCATAAACTCTACATAACTTAGCACTTGAACAGATTACTGAACATTATATTTATTTACCCTGGCCTCACCCTCTCAAAGGTTTGCTAGGAAAACAAAGAAATTATACCATGTTTGAATACTGTATATATTTGCATGTTTATATAGAAACATGGAAAAATAAAAATCTAAATTGTCAAATGTCAATGTCAATAGGACTGGTGAATATAATAGGTTCACATTTATTTTATTACCATCAAAATGTTTTTCACAAGTACAAGGTTTATGGTTGGTCACCTTACTTTCAAGTGCTTGATTTATACGCATTTTATTACTCTTTTGTGTTTCTTAATGACTGTGATTCAGCTATTTATACCATTAAAATTCTTTCATTTTAGAAGGGTTCCTTAAGTACATTTTTAAACAGCAAAATCACAAGATGTATACAACAAATGATTACAAATACTCACTTGTTTTTTGAGCCTCATTCTTTTCAGGTAGCCTTGTTTTTCCCAATGGTTGTATACAATGCGTTCATAGTCATATGAGGGCAAGAAGCAAACAAGTCCCCCAGGGATGACATTGCAAAGGTTGCACAGAACTCGTCCTGTTTCATCAAGCTGGAAATGAAGAGAATTCTATAGTATGATATGTGAGGGGTGTCTGATAAGTAAGAGTATTGGAACTACAGATTGGCAATTTTAAACAGCACTGTCTGACATTGTTCATAATTCCCAAATCAGTGCTGTGCTCAAACAGTGCTGTTTGATGAACAGATTTAAGGGTGCAACATGGGTCCCATGGCAAGGGTGGTCCTAGAAAACAAGAGGGGGACCAAAATTTAAATTGACAAAAGATATCCACCATTGTCCCTTTACTTGCACAGAATTTTTTTTAAAATTGCCCCCCCCCCCATGTCCACCACTGAATAGAAATAGGAATCCCTGGTCATGGATCCATATACTAGTTATGATACTGGTAAATTCAATACAGCATTTGATTAACAATTAATAATTCAAATATTCATATACATGTACGTCATTATGTTATATATCAATCAAGTAATGTAATATCATAATATAATAAAATAGGGTAACTGTACGCATGTTATCCTTAAAGAATCCCTTCGTATGTGCCCTAGAATTGCATGTCCTCACACTTATTTGCAGCAATTATCACCATGAAAAGTTGCCTCAGATTCTTCAATCGCATGACCCTAACAATGATGAGTTAATATTCTTGAAATCCTCATAACCTGACGCTGACCCTAGATCACCCAACATATAATGTTCATCTCACACTGTCCTGATTCCACCCTTACTTCTAATAGCACGCAATCTTACCTAAAATGAGTTCACCCGATAGATATTAAGTGTATATTTAATATAGTAAAGTGGACGAGTCTAACTTCTTTACATATAGACTTTCAAGGTCAAAAATGGAATCGTCCGATTCAACAGATGTGCTAACCACGACCTGTTTTTGTTGAAAGACCTAGATACATACCAGCACCTATATAAATATATCATCAACCCAAACACAAGATCCTGTTAACTATACAATTGCGAAAAACTCTTATTTACATTTGTAATTCTCATTACAGAGAAAGGTTGAATGCTTAAGTGTAGACTATCGTTACTTTGCATTCTTCTAGCTTTCTCTCAATATCGAAAATTAGGTCTATTAGAAAACGGAGTGCTCAATATACCATGAAGTATTATACAGGGGAAATAAAAGCCAATATGCAGTGCATTGATACTCATAATTTTCCAAGGTAGTAGAGATGTCACAATGAACTGTGTGTTGTCTATGCTGTCTATATAAGAGTGCATCAGTAATAATTATGATGTACTTGCATTGCTTGCTATTGTACATCTAGTTTAGTTTGATGTATTTTTATTGTTTGTTGGGGTTTGTTTTGGAATCTTAATGCGTTGGGGAATCTTAATGCGTTGGGGTCTTAATGCTTTACAAAATAAACTTAAGGTTTATTTATATTGAATAAATAGAACAATTCTAAATAAACAAAGTTCCATAGTGGGTATAAAGAAATACATTGGTGAATCAAAATATACAAGTTTCTAATTTTCAAAATGTCGAGGTATGTACATGTAATTCAAAATCGATGGCCATCATAATGCAAAAGTTAATAAGTCCATCATATTAAACCATGTTATTTCATTTCTTTTCAAGCATGAGATCATGTTTCTAATTAAAAAAATATGGGATGGATATCAGAGAATGAATAGAGTCCATCAGATATCAATTCTTTTTTATATTGAGAATGCTTAATCATGAAAGATTTCAGTGTTGAAACATACAGCATATCCAGGCATATGCAGTGTAAATATGCTGGGGATTAGTCCTTCATGGCGAATAATGGCAAAGTCAATTGACTCGATTAACCTCGAGTCCTTGGCTCTTACTCTACAAAAAAACATTAAAAAACAATTCCTAGTTGTTGTTGTAGAAATAGAGAGGTCATATAAGGACAAATGAAGTTGATCAGGAGTGTTACAGTTTCGATGTATTCTTGCCCTAGATTAGCAAGGCTCCTCAGAAATTGACCCAAACTAGCCCAGAAGTGACCCTTTCCCCTGAGTTTCACCTACAAGGACCAGCAACTAGGTTAATTATGCTAATTATATCTGTTGTCTAGGTCATCTCGATCTAATTTTGCATACTTTAATCAACTTTGTTATTGATATTTTCCTAAATAATCTCTCATTCTGATTCTCAACATTGTTACGTTTCTTGATTTGAAATATCAAATATCTGGAAATTTTAATTCTAATTTGTTTGATTCTAGTTTGTTTAAGTAAAAATAAATACTATTATATTGGTTTAACAATACTTTGATGTGCCTTGATGAAATATCAAAAACACATGTCGTCAAGTTTTGAAAATAATTCAATAAATCAAAATCTCTCTAGAATAATAACTCATTAGACACAAGATTTAAGCATATTGTTGTTTCTGGAAATTTTAGTTTAGTTTATTAGTTTTTAGTTTGTTTGAGTAAAAATAAATACAAATATGTTGGTTTAACAATACTTTGATGTTATGTGCCTTGATCAAATACACATGTAGTCAAGTTTTCAAATTAATTCAATAAATTAAAATCTCCTGAGAATAATAACTCATTACACATGCAAGATTTAAGCATAAGACCATGTTGACGCCTTTTCCATTCTATAATCATTTAATATAATCATTTGGGTCAAATAACATGGAAGGATTGTTCGTCTAAACTTGATAAAAGAAAAGGGCTTAAATGGAAATTCTAACCAGCCTAGAATCAGAATCCAAATTTTAAAGAAAATCCAAATTTTAAAGTTCCTAAAACAATTTTTAAAATCATATCAATTTTGAATGTAGATCTAAATAATAATGTCTCTAAATTTATTCTAAATGATGAAAAAGTATTTCTCCTAAATCTAGTCTTTTATATAAACATATTATCAATTTCTAGATAATGAAGCTGTAGATACACAGTGATGTTGGGCTCTATAGCAACAATCTGTCTGCCTAATGGCAAGTACTAAAAACACACAAGGAGGATTGGCTCCCAGAGTGCAACATCGATATTCTGTCCCATATATGGGCATGTCGTGCTACAAAATTTGAATTCCAACAGCCGCCATTTTGTTCACTTCAACATTTGAATCGTGAATTTTGGTCTTATTTCCTAACGAAAAATTCCAAAATTCACAGGAAATGATCGAGATATTGATTCGAATCTTTTGAACTGTTTATTTTGAATTTATAATCGGTTATAATTTCAGAAAATAACGACATCTCGGCGTTTTCATTGTTGGAAAATATCGATTTCGATTCTGGGAGCCAATCCTCCTTGAAAAACACATAAAAAACAACATTAATCATCATGTCATTGTAACTATAGAGATAGACTCTCCCACAAAACCCCTAATATGTGAATAGACTCTTCCAATATTAGTTGATTGACAACTATGTCCTGAAATTGTCCCGATCAGGTAAAAACCCAAACATAAACACATGCGTGGGTGGTGTAGGCGAACTATAGACCTTTGGATGAGTTCACTATTTTCGACAGGGATAGTAGATCTAATTACTAAGCTTAAACCCCTTGCATCTAAATCAGCCAGCCAAAAGTTTAATCAATCCTCAGACATGGGAGGTGACCTGAATGTAGTACATAATCAGGACATAGACATGCTGACAGGAAAAAACTAATTATTGGTGAAAACATGATCATCAACATTGAACAAAACAAGGATTTTGCTATAACTTTTAAAATCAAACAACAGCAACGTCAGTGTGGAGCAAATCCCATTGAATCTCGTAAATCATCGTATTCAGGGCTTCATCATAATAAGGGTTTAGCCAATTTTCTCTTAGAAATTTATGTGTAATGTAGATTATAATATCATATTGCAGAATTTTAGATTTTATTACTCTTTTTGTTATTCTCATCACCTTTTTTCTGGGGACATTTGATCTGATGAGATGTCACAAAAGTAATTACATTTTGGAATATCTCATACACTTTGCAAAAATTTGTGAAAAACTTCTAGAAATCCATTTTTAATTTTTTGCATGTCTTTCATAGCGAGATCAATAGTGCAAGAAAACAGGCCAATAGTTCATTCATGGAACAAAGCATGAAACTTTCCACATATCATCAGAATACCTTTCCCTTTGATTTAAGAGCCAGAGCCATTTTTGTGGTCCACTAGAATGATCAAAAAATAGTAAGTACCCCCTCCCACCAAATCCTGTGGGGGTGGGGAGATATAGGAATTTTTTTTTCATAAAAAAATTTATTTGAATATGATCATACTACAGTTTTAGTGTGCTATTTTCATGGTAAAGAAATTTTGCAAACATAACAAAATGATTTATCATCGATTTTCATCATTGTTAAAGACTTATCATGGGCGACGCCCACTTTTCATATCTTGAACATTTAGGTTATTAAAGCTCGATCATGGGTTGAATAAATGAATGTAATTCAGCTTTCTGGATAACACCAGATACCTTTTGATGTTAGGTGCTATAATTAATCTTAGAATTTGACTTCTTAAAGGCTCATAACATATCACATCCCTGTTTAGAAGAAAAAAGAAAGCGAGCAACAATGTCCCAGATCTACAACATGTATCCACTATGTACATGTATGTCGAGTCTCTATATTCTCCTGAAGAGAACCTATGCTACAGATACAAATGTCCAAAATCTAGATGATTATGTGCTTAAACAGTTTGATGAATGGTGTGCTGACCAAGTGCCTAAACAGTTTGATGAATGGTGTGCTGACCAACATAATGTACCAGTCTTCAGGCTTTGGTTTCTGATTATTTAAATTGAAATACTGTGCCTTGAATATGTGAGGGCTATAGGAGAAGAGAATTTTCCTCTTTATTTCCAGATGGTTTCTCTTTGATTTTCATAGTTGTTAAAGATTAGTCATGGGCGACGCCCACTTTTCATATGCTGAACATTTAGACTAGTAAACCTCTTTCATGGGTTGAACCAGAACCAGAAGGTCCACCTAAGCCACAGCCTGCAGTCTCTAAATTCTCAGGAGAGCCTATACGACATACGAGCGCTGTCCAGAATCTAGATGATGAAGTGATAA